GTTCCTGAGGCCATGGAGCAGTGAAACCAAGGCTTGCTTTTGAAAGAATCTTCCTCGCTCAGGGAGAAGCGTGGGAGCCCAGGGGAGGCACAGGCTTTGGGTCAGGAGATCCTGGGCTGGAATCCTGGGCCGCCCCGTCTCAGCTTTGTGGCCTTGGACAAGTTGCTGAATCCCTCTGAGTTGAACTTTCCTCATCTGTAAGATGGGAAGAATAAACCTTCGCTGCTGGATTGGTGTGAGAACTGGAAATGAGTCTGGCTTTTCTGTATTCTCCCAAGAAATATTATGGATGATCTACTCAGCACCAGACTTCCTGCTAGGTTTCGGGCAGGACAAAGAATCAAGGCCCTGTAGTCTGGGAGGAGGAGAGCGGGCGGGAGCGTCTGTGCCGAGTGCTTTTCTAAGTACCGTGTCGGAAGACAAGGCCAGCGAAGTACTGATTCACACTACAACATGGAGGAAGCTTGAAAACATGAGGCTCAGTGAAAGAGGCCAGACACAAATGGTCGCATATTGTAGGATTCCATGTACGTGAAAAGTCCAGAACAGGCAAAGCCATAGAGACTGAAAGCAGATCGGTGGTGCCACGGACTCAGGAGAGGGGCAATGGGGGGTGACTTCTTCATGGGAATGGGGTTTCTTTTGGGGTGATAGAAATGATGGTCATACAACATGGGTGTCTTTTGGGGTGACAGAAATATTTTGGAACTAGATAGAGGTGATGGTCATACAACACTGTGAATGTACTAAATGCCACTGACTCATGCACTTGAAAATGAGTAATGTCATAAATTTCGTTATGGGAATTTTGCCTCAATAAAAAAAAGCAGAGGGCCGGTTGAAGGACACTCTTTTGTATAGAATGCTCAGGGGTCCGAGAAGGTCCACTGATAAGATGCCATTGAAGGGAGACCTCAGGAATGAAAGGAGCCATGTGAAGAGGTGGTGGGAACGGCCAGTGCAAAGGCCCCACGGTAGGAATGAACGTCTGGGTGGTCTGAGGAGCACAAGGATGGTGAAGCTGGAGCAGAGTCACCTAGGGTGAGAGTGTAGGCGATGTCAGAGTGATGGGGGCCAGATTCTGTAGGGCACTGGGGGCCTTCCTCTGAGGGAGATGGGGTGCCCGTGAGAATTTTGAGCAGAGGAGGGACATGATCTGATTTGCATTTTAACCGAACTGATTTGGCTGCTGCATGGAACATATTCTGGAGGGAGCAAGGGTGGAAGCCACGCGCTGGGTATGACGCTATTGCAGTGGTCCCGGTGAGCGGTGGCTTGGGCGGGAGGTGGCAGTGGAGGTGGGGGAAGGGGCTGGCTTCCGGACATACTCGGCTGGAAGGTGGAGCTGGAGGGCTTGCTGATGGATGGGGGAGGGGAGAGGGGCTGGCTGGGGCACTCACCCAGTCAGAGCCTCCAGCCAGCTCTGTGGGAACACTGCCACCCTGGAGCGTCAGTGGCTCCTTCCTCGGGAGTCCCTACCACACCAGGTCACACTGCTCTGAGGGTGCATGTGTCTCTGTTGTGCAGCAGCCCGTGCAAAGCTTACAGGCAGAAGGGCTTGCCGGTTCTGTTACTGATTTTTACTCATTATTTTTATCTATCTGTCTATCTATATATTCATCTGTTCACCCACATGCTTTTTCTGATTCAAACCTAATATGTGTTTGTTGTGAAAAATTCAAACACTACAGAGATATTGTAATGCAGAAAGTTATGCTCCATCTACCAGCAGGAACTAGCTTCTGTTACGTTTGGCACCTCTTCCTCCACAATAATAATAATTAGTTCACTCTACATATAAATTTTTTTCGCTTAATACTGTATCTTGGACATCTTGGAACATATGGGTCGACCTGATTCTTTTAAAGCTAGTTAATAAGCTATGGCGGAGTTTCTCAATCCTGACACTACTGACGTTTTGGACCAAATAATTCTCTGTGGTGGGGCTGTCCTATGCATCGTAACGTTTAGCAGCATCCCTGGCCTCTACCCACCAGCCGCCAGTAGCACCCCTTCCACGCCCCACATATGACACCTAAAAATGTCTCCAGACATTGCCAAGTGCCCCCTGGGGACGCAGCTGCCTTCGGTTGAGGACAACTGGTCTGTGGCGTGGATGTACTTTCTTCTGACCATTTCCCCATCAACTGCTGTCCATGGCGTCAGAGACCATGGCAGTTGATAACTCTGTGCACTTGCGTGAGCGTTTCTGCAGCATGGAGCCCTAGAAGCATTGGGTCAAGCGGTGTATCTGAGGCGCCTCGAGAATCCGTGTGTAGGAAGGCCTGGGGGCAGCCTGCCGGCCGCTGGAGGACTTGTCCTGAAGGGGCGTTTACCTGGCAAGAGCGTTTTTTAAGACTGTAAAGTGTGCGTGTTTGTAGAAGCTGGGAGGGGGCAAGGGAGACCTGGTAGAGATTAGGGAGGAGGAGGGCCCCTGAAGCCCCCACAGGCCTCCTCCTTTCGGCACTGCCACTGAGTGATGGCGACATTTTAAATCAAACAAATATTGTAAGTTAAACCCTGAAATAGCTACCCTTCAAATTTTGTTAATTGAGAGTGCATTTCCATGATGAAATCATCATATAGGTCAAAGGAGAAAAGTTTGCAATTACAAAATGTAAAAACAGAGGACATAGAACCCCATAGACACTACCCACACAACTGCTTCCTTAACCTGGTGTTTTTCCTGTCTTTTCCGAGTGCCTAATTTTTAAAAAAATACAACAGTATGTTTTGTATCCTTTATTTTTCTAAGTATAAGCTGTTTCCCATGTCAGTAAAACTCTACTGGACAATCCTCTGTTAGAAACAGGAATCGTAAGGGTGGGCACACCCCCCGAGGTGACACCCCATTCCCTTCCTGCCGACAGGTCAGAGGCCTGGCGTCAGGCAGAGCTGGGTTGGAGCCCTGGTCCCCTTGCCCCTTCCTGGCTTTCTCTCCTGTAAGGTGGGGGTGCCAGTGGCACAGGCCTGGGATGACTGGATGACATGGGGACCGCAGAGCCTTTCGCCCAGTGCCTGGCTCCGCCTGGCTGCCTGGTGAACGCCAGCTTCCATCGTCCTGTTCTTGTCCATGTAATGAATTACAACCAAGGCAGTCTGTGGAGCCTTTAAACACAGGCTTTCGCAGCTGGAGGGGTCTGCTTTGTGTTTTGCCCTCCCTCCCAGCAGTCTCCTAGAGTATGAGAAGCTTAACAAGTGAATTTAAGTGAGAAAGATCTTCCCTTTCAGTCCTCTGTTAATTTTCCTACTTAGGCAAGGAGGAAGTGTCAGTTGTGTGATGGTTAAACCTCTCTTATTCTGAACGCCCTTTTTTTTTAAAACCAAGACACCCGAGTTTGAGAGCTCACAGCCTTCAGGTACGCAACAGCATCTAACTAGACTTTGATATCAGAACTTTATCTTCGCTGGTTTTTGTTATTTGTCTTTGTTTCTTTTTTTAAAGTCAATTTCTTATACTTAAGAAGTCAATTTCTTAAATTTAAGATTTTGGTTTCCCATTTATGGCAGTGATAGAATTTATTCAATGTAATTTAACATAAATTATAATTTATTTATTTAGTAGTTGACTTAGCATTTAAAAATGAGGGGATTTAAAGCAATAATCTTGAAGCTGCCATGGGCCTGACAGAGGAAACTCTGTGTGCAGCCATGTAGAGAACCCCTTGACTCAACTCGGCTCACGACAGGGCCTAGGATGATGGCCAGAGGGTCCCAGGCCCCCTGCCCGACATCCCCACCTGTCATTCTGTCCCCTCCTGGTGCTGCCAAGCTCTCTAGGTGTTACTCCAGGAGAGACGCTGATGGCTTTTCTGACTCTCATGCTCCACCTTGCTAGGATCGCCAGGGAACTTGCGCCTTTTAAGAGGGGATCTTTAAAGATTAGCTGGCAGCTAAAGGAGGTCCGCTTCGGCTGACTGAGTGCCTGCTGTAAGCCCTGCATTTCACGACTTGGTCTCTTCTCATTCTCCTAACAGCCCTTAAAAGCAGTATGAGTTTCCCCACATTGCCCCTGAGGAAGCAGCCTGGGAAGGGTGAAGTGATGTGTCTAAAGGCTGACAGGCCCTCATCCATGGCCACGCTGGCCAGTTCCAGAGCTCGTGCTTCACTGTGCCTCTGAAAGAATCTGGAAGGATTTAATAGTGGGTCAGTTTTTCCCCTCATTTATGTGAATAATTAAAAGCCCACACTAAAAGGCAGTGGGTGGCATGGTTAGGTGACTTATCCATAGCTATTTAAGGCATTATACCTTCTAGATTAATAAGATATGACTTGAAGATCAGAAATTCTTTCCAACCCAAAGTAATGAATCTTTAGTAGTGGAATTCCCAACACAGAAGGAGACTTACCTTGGGGGGGGCAAGCTTTGCATCTCTGTATAAGGTAGGCCCAGGATGGAGGGGAGAGATGGAATACATGACTGTTACCTAAAACAAGCTGTTCTTCTTGAAGGAGCATCTGAAAGAGACTTGGAGAAAGAAGGCAGAGAAATGCAGGCGGAGCCAACAGTGATTGAGCGCGCGTCCCGTGCCAAGCTCACATAGGCTTTCCCACCCAGGCTGCCGAGTGATCCCAGTAACACAGTGGATAGGGCCCCCATTTTGAATGAAGACTTGGCTCGGAGAGTTTAGGCGCGATCACACGGATGGGAAGTAGCAGAGCAGGCATTACAAAGAAAGGCCTGGGCAGCACCAGGCCCCCGCTGCTTATCCCAACAAATGAAATAGCAGTGTTGATGCAGAACGGGAGCCAAAAGTTGTACGGACTTCGACCCTCCAGCTGAAAATACTTCTCTGAAAACTTCAGTTTCCTTTTCTGTCAAATGGGGCTAACGTCACCTCCCTCCTGGAGTTGCCATGACGATGGAGATCACGTGGTGAACTGTCAAGTGTCACACAAATGCAATTTATGACCCTTCCTGCCTCTAGCTTTACTGGCTTTCCTTGTGTTTGTTTATCCTCAAGTCTCTGCTCTAACCTTAGTTTCCCCATTTCTTCCAGAACCAACGGCGGACAAATGCCAAGAACTCATGTGCAAGTGTGACCAGGAGTTCGCTTACTGTTTAGCCCCAACTACATACAACTTAAAGTACCTTTTCTACCCCCATTTCTTATGTGGCATAGACTTACCCAAGTGTGACCAACTACACTGACTTCAAATGTCCTTTTGCACAAGGAAATAAAACTCATTTTCACTATCAACAACTGCATCCAGTTCTTTGCAGGAGGGAACTGAGGCCAAGTGTGTTAAAGCTGCAAGCCTTGTATTTGCTTTCTCTCCCGTCCCGGAACCTGGGGCTGGAGCCTGTTTGGTTTCCAGTTTGATTAAGGTCAAAAGTCCCATGCCTCTATTATAAAACTGAAAGTGTGTTTATGATTGTGTTGGGTTTGATACCATTTTTGAGGTTCAACCTTTATGAAAAGGGGCAAGCCTTGTCTTCTAACCTGCTCTTGATGGTGGGTAGTCAAATATGAATGAACACCTGCCATGTGCCTGGTCTTTTCTAGGTTCTGGGTTGAGGAAATAAACAAGACGGCCACATGATGCCCACTCTTGTGAAGTTCAAGTCTAGTAGTTGTTAGCTCAAGAAAGAGTATTCTTCCCCATCCCACTCCACCTTTAACAGTTAAAATTTATTTCTTGATTAAAATAGTAGTACATACTCATTGCTTACCAAAAAAAAAAAGGAGGGGCCGGCCCACTGGCATAGCAGTTAGGTTCACATGCTCCGCTTCAGTGGCCTGGGGTTCCCCGATTCAGATCCCAGGTGTGGACATGGCACTGCTCGGCAAGCCATGCTGTGGCAGCATCCCACATATAAAGTAGAGGAAGATGGGCAGGGATGTGAGCTCAGGGCGTCTGCCTCAGCAAAAAGAGGAAGATTGGCAGTGGATGTTAGCTCAGGGCGTCTGCCTCAGCAAAAAGAGGAAGATTGGCAGTGGATGTTAGCTCAGGGCTAATCTTCCTCAAAAGAAATTTAAAAAAGGAAAATACAGAGAAATATAAAGGAGAAAAAAATCACTCCAATTCCCATAATCCAGAATAACCACTTTTAGCAACTTAGTGTGCTATCAGTCTTTTCTATAATTTTAAAAGACATAGTTGAGACTATACCGTATGATTTTCATAAGGTTTCCTCTATGTCATTAAAAAATCTTTGGAAACTTCATCTTAAATAGCTGTAGTAGACAGCTAACTTTTGGATACTGGTGCTATTTCCTGTTTTTATCCATTGTTGATGTGATGAGGATGCTTGTGAATTAACCTTTGCCACCTTCTGTTGCCCACCTTTTTATTATTCCCTAACGCAGACTTGCAGAAATCGAATTCTTGCCTCAAAGGATCTGAATATTTTAAGTAGACACCCCCTTTTGATGCAGCCAAGCCTGATATGACTGAGAGTCCTGGAGAGGAGAGAGGCAGCCTGTGCCTCTCATTCTGAACGTGCCTGTCCCTCCTGCTGGCGATAAGGAGCTAGAGTCCGGCCCAGCCCGTTTGCTCTAGGCCGTATCTCTTTGCCCTCCTCCCTAGAGCATACATGGATATTACTCATCTTTGAACAGGATATGGGGAACAGGGGTGGGGACAGTGTTTGGCAGGCCACGGGGTGTGGGTGGGGAGCACTGGACTAGGAGTCTGGCAACCTGTGGTCCAGCCTGGGCCCAGCTCCACCGGTGCCACCCAACCTCTATCTCTCCATCTGGAAAGAATAGTAACCCTGCAGGGCATGAGACCAGGGATGCGCAAGTCCTGCAGTGTCCCCAGACCCGCAGTGCTGTCAGCGTCTCTGCCAGGTCACAGTGTTAACCAGGTAAAGTCAGGCAGCCCTGGGGCCTGATGAGCAAACACAAGAGGAAGAAAAACATGCTCCCTCCTTTCACTTAAGATCCTTCGGGTGGCTCCTTGGCTCACTGTTGGCGTCCGGCGGGCGGAGTTAAGTGTGCCTAGTAGGTTGTATTGGCCAATGCACGTTTGCTTCATGTTTTCTCACTAGTTTTTCTCTAGGCGGAAGTTTCATCTGTATAAAAATCTTTCTTTTTATTTCAAGTAATGTCTTCAAACTTTCAGATGCAAAGGTTGAGTTAAATCTTCAAATACACAAAGGACTAATGAATGGGTCGTGGAGTCACAAAAACCCTTTGGAGGCAGACTTATCTCCGTGGGGCCAATGTTCAGAGGGATCCCATTTCACACCTGCTGCTTCTACGCTGGCAGGAGATAAAAGGCCATAGTTCATCCCACTCATAAGTACAACCACAGCTCTCAGCGTAATCATACTTGCTGTTTTATACATGAGAACAGGACAGTAAAGATTATACAGTGTGAGGTCAACGTACAAAATGTTTCCTTGAACGGAAGGATTATCCTGGAATTTATTTTACACATTCAATTCTTAAAAACAAAACAAAGCAAACCCCAAAACAATTTTAAGTAGCACTGAGGCAGCTCAGGCTGCTGTGAATTACCTTCCATTAACTGCCTGATGTCCCCCTCAGTCCCCTACTCAGAGAAGCGATGCAAGCTTTCAGCAATTACACGTGGACGCCAGTGACGACGAGGCTATCCATCAACTAGTCTAGACGGAATCCTTCCAGAGGGTGAACTCTGAACCGTTCTAGCAACTCGTCAAGAAGACAGGATCGTCGAGCAGACTGGGGTTTTTCCTCTTATTTTTTATGTGCCTATGCCTATGACAAAATCTTCTGTTTCCCTAAAGTTGACTTAGAGGACAGGACTGGCCCCAACAAGCCTGGTCTCAGATCAGGGCTCCACCTTGCCCTGGGAGTCTTTGTCAGTCACCGATGTTAGGGCAAGCGGCACTGCTGACGTGGCGGCCTTCTCATGTCGCACACATCGCATCCTCTGAGGACCCTGGGTCCTTGCCAGCCGTCGTGGCCGGGGCCTCCTAAGTCCCTGTGAGGAAGGCAGCTGGGTGGGAGGTGTGGCTGCTGTGTTGTCCCAGCTCTAGGATGTCAGTCCCTGCTGCCACGATGCCACAGGCAGAGGGAGAGAGGACCTGGCCGTACCCTTTGACAGACAAAGCAGCACCTTGTTTACTAGGGCAGAAAATAGGAAATCCGCTACCTTAAGTGCCCCCCCACCTCCAGCCACCCTAGGCATCAAACCTCAGACGTCAGGGAGGCTGGAAGAGTCCCTCAGAGCCTGGGCAGTGCCAGTCACAACACTTGGGTTTCCAGTCGTCGGACTTCCCTGACCACGAGATCGATGTTAATAATTGGGTTAAAGTACAGGGCCCAGTAAAATAAACAGTTGCAAACAAACTGAGGAATGAGGGGCCAGAACATGGCCACAAAAAGACCCTGTGTTGATACCTTCCAAAAATGGCTCCACATCCTCTGAGGCACAGTCCTGAAAAAAGAAGAGAAGCGTCTGAGAGGTAGAACCTTGATGGGATCCTAATGCTGACACAGAAGTGCCCAGAGCCTGGGCCTCCTTCCAGTGAGGAGGCTGGCTGCCCGTGCTGCAAAGACCTTGCTTTCTGTCCTGGGGCCCAAGACATATCTTTACCTCCCCAGCCCCTCTTGAAACCCCAGACGCAGCCTGGAGGGTGCCTCCTCGGCACCACTGCCTGGTCCCCACAGCAGGCGAGGCCTCCCCTTTACAGCCCCAATACCACCTGCCGCACTGCTGTGTCACACCGTATTTAACCTACACATTTTCCCTGATAGGCTGTGGGCTTTCAGAGGAAAGACTATCTCTTTACCAGAAGAGCTGCAGTGCCTGGCAGAGAGCCAGGGGTGGGACAGGGGCTCAATTAACTGTGCATGAACAAATGAGTTCACGGAATTGAAGTAAATGAGGGAAATTCTTGTCAGGTTCTCAGAACTTTCTAGAAGGCTGCTACTGATTAATGAGGCCAAGAACCCTGTCACGGGATGTCGAGTTATGGGATGTGTTTCAGGCTGAAAGGATGCTGGTGTGGTGATATATTACTTTTGCCATCCTCTTTCTTCTGGAAACACCTGATTTTTCCTTTGGGGTGCCTCCCTCCCTACTCCTTTCCATGTGGTCTGGGTGGGGCTGGAGCCAGCCCCTGGGTGAGGGTAAGTACGTGCCTCCAGCCTGGATAAGGAGGGCCAGCACAGCCCTGCACCCTGTGATGGGTTCGGTGGGCATGTGGCGTGTGAGCCCTAAGGCATGTAAGTGCTATGGGGAAAGAAGTGTTCTCTCCCCCAGGGTTGCTCAGCTGCTCAGATCCACTGCCCCAGGGACCAAGGGGCCCCACACAGAGAGCGCTGCCTGAGGCCAAACAACACAGGACGGAGCAGAGCTGTGACAGTGAGAGAAAGAGTCAGTCCTGATGACAGCATTTGGGTCTTTGGGTCCAGCCCTGCAGGAAGCCTTAACTGGGCATTTCCCTTTTTAGGAAAGCCAGTTTAGGTTGGCTTCTGTCACTAGCAATCAAGAGTCCTGACTCAGGGGCTGGCCCCATGGCCGAGTGGTTAAGTTCGCGCGCTCCACTCTGGTGGCCCAGGGTTCGGATCCTGGGTGCGGACATGGCACTGCTCGTCAGGTCACGTTGAGGTGGCGCCCCACATGCCACAACTAGAAGGACCCACAACTAAGATGTACAACTATGTATGGGGGGCTTGGGGAGATAAAGCAGGAAAAAAAAAAAAAGATTGGCAACGGTTGTTAGCTCAGGTGCCAATCTTTAAAAAAAAAAAAAAAAAAAGAGTCCTGACTCAGTGACTGGCTAGTCCAACTCCCTCATTTTATGCGTTGATCCAGAGAAGCTATTACTGTCCAAGTCGGTGGCCGAGCAGGACTAGAACTTGTGCCTAGAGAACTCCTCATCAGATCTCTTAATGTTCTGCCATACTGCTGTCTTCCACGAAGTGCCCTCTTCTTCTCGCTTGTTTACTCCTTAATTGTTAAAACCATTCAGGCACACCCCCCACCCCCAGGAATCACAAAGTCTATAGCATGTGGGGAAAAGATATATGGAGAAGCACCATGAAAACCTCCCCGTGACCAAACACACGGTCATTTTCCTATTCGCTGCTCCAATAGCGTTTCTAAACCAGAGCCCAAGGAGTCTTTTCACACTTGAGTGATACTTCAAAGAGGACTTTCCCACCATGTGGCATTTCTTTCCCAGTCTCTGTCGCTCCAACCATCTCCAACATAAAATACACTTACTTCAGTTCACTTCTTGACCAGATCCTCCAAAAGGAGAATAACTCCAGAACTGAGAGTAACATGGCGTTGACGATGAGAAACCGGGATGTCCAGTAATGGACCTCCAGCCAGTCCCAAGCAAATTCAGCAATCAGCTGGTACGGAAGGAAGGAGTACTTGACGAGGAATTCTCTCCACTGCTTCCATGTGGGTTCTCTGAGATCCTTTAAGAAGAACACACAGATAAATAAAATTGGGCACAAAAAATTACGAGGATTAACTTTTACAGTGAGTTATCCCAGTGTGTTTTACATTTATTAAAACACACACATATCCAACAATCTAAAATGAAATTTCCAGGGGCTGGCCCAGTCGCACGGCAGTTAAGTTCACAGGTTCCGCTTCAGTGGCCCAGGGTTCCCTGGTTCGGATCCCGGGTGCGGACATGGCACTGCTTGTCAAGCTGTGCTGTGGCAGGTGTCCCACATATAAAGTAGAGGAAGATGGGCACAGATGTTAGCTCAGGGCCAGTCTTCCTCAGCAAAAAGAGGAGGATTGGTGGCAGATGTTAGCTCAGGGCTAATCTTCCTCAAATAAAAAAAGAAAAAGAAATTTCCATCCACCAACTCGCCTTAAAATAATTAATCTTACATTGGCTAAATGTTACCAAAGAGGTTGAACTGAGATGCTTATTATATAATTGTGGAAGCTCAGAAGTAAAAATCTACCCAGGAGTTATAAATAGGTTGAAACGAATATAAATTAACCAGTTTTCAAATGTCTTCATCACTGCATGGGTAGCTCAAACAATTCCCTAAATTCAACCTCTCAGCTGTGGTGGAATAACAGGTCAGGGGAAAATTAAACACACACCTTGAAAAAGTTATTTTGGGGAAAGTAAAAAACTAATTACAGATATGAGGGGACAACTGACAAGAGTATTTAAACGACTCACAGGCATTCAGAAGACTAATGGAAGCTCAGCAAGCCTGCGCACAGTGGACCAGATCCTGAGCACTGCAGGAAGGACTCAGCCTGAGGAGGGGTGGGTGGCCGCATTGAAAGGGGAAGGTCAGGGCGTCTCTGTGCCCTGGCCCAGCAAGGGCGGGTAACAGCTGGAAGCTGGGTGATCAGAGGGACATGGCGCCAACAGGCTGATGAGCAGGCCTCAAACCACACCCAAGGCCAAGGTCAGGAAGGCACCTGATTGAAGTGCTTAACAAAGGGTCTTTGGAGATTTAGGAACTCCCTTTCAACACTTATGGGTGTGGATAATATACATATGATAATTCTATGTCCACGTGACTTTTTGATATAGACAGATCAGAGAGACTGCCCGAAGAGAAGCAGTGCAAAGGACACTGAGCTCAAATAAACAACCAGACAGAGAAACCACTGAGCCAATGCTGAAGGAATCCATGGGCCAAACGCAAGAACCAGGAGCTGTGGGAGCAACAGTCCCTGCCACGGGCCCTGCGGTCAGCTGATACGATGACGTCCATCAGGGAGAGGGACGGTGGCTGACTGTTCTGAGGCCTAAACGATGGCCACTAACCCTGCCTCATGGGAGGACAAATAATCATCCTTTGAGGATCCTCTTACGAGACAGAGTACGGAGCTAGAAGGCCCCTCAATCTACGCCGCAGGCCATCTGACCTGTGCTATCTTCTTTTATAATCAAAGCAATGCTGTTTGTTTTGTTTTGTCTAAATGTTTCAAATGCAGAGGGTAGCTCCCCTCTTGCTCTGCAATGCAGGACACAAAGCAGGCTTCTGGGAGTGGGGAAGTTGCTGCTTTGCTTTCTTTTGTAGGTCTCTTCTTGCCAAATTTAAATGAAGGCTGGGCATCTTTCGCTCGTCCCTGACAGGCTGCAGCCACGTCTCTGGTATCACACTGCAGACCGGCGGACCGGCTCCACCCGAGGCGCTCCTCAGACCTACCAACAGCTTGGTGATGAGGTCCTCCCCGGAGCCGTCTTCCGGTAGCGGGCAGATGGTGTGGATGAAGGGGAGGAAGGTGTCGGTGTAGTCGAACAGGTAGAGGTACAGCAGCCCGAGTCGGGGGGAACTCTTGAGGGCGTACAGCAGGAACAGGGACCTGCCCGGGTTCACGGCCTGCAGAGGATGAGGTGGACCCAGGGCCACATTACAACCATGGCGCCCAGCTCCCCACCCGCACACCTTCCACAGGCTCACGCCCTTTGCCATCAGCCCTTTTTGTGTGGTTTGCACAAACAATGAATGAATGAATGAATGGGCAAGAAGAGGCGAGGTCCTTAATCTACTGGGCTACACTCTATAAAGATGTAATCTCTCTCCACGGCTGGGGAGGGGAGGGCTAGGAGAAGCCCACTCTTAGGCACAGCTGGTAGAACACAACCTTTCTGGGAAGCAATTTTGCAAAGTGTATCAAAGAATCTTAAAAATCTTTAATTTAGGGGCTGGCCCTGTGGCTGAGTGGTCAAGTTTGCGTGCCCTGCTTTGGCAGCCAGGGGTTCACCAGTCTGGATCCCGGGCACGGACATACCACCGCTCAGCAGGCCACGCTGAGGCGGCGTCCCACACAGAGGAGCTAGAAGAACCTACAACTAGGATATACAACTATGTACCGGGGGGACTTTGGGGAGAAGAAGGAGGAAGGTTGGCCACAGATGTTAGCTCAGGGTCAATCTTCCTCACCAAAAAACAAAAAAACCCCTGAGATGTCAGATAATTAATTTTAAACGGAAAAGTTTAACTTACCCAATCTATTAGTGGGTACTACTTAATAAAAATAATCCGAAATAGAGAAGGCTCTATGCACAAAATGTTTCCTGCTGCACTGTGTCTAACAGAGAAAGAGTGAACTCTGCAACCTAAGTAATGGAGACCCAGTAGATAGTTAGCACAGAAGCCACAGGGCCATTGAACAATGATTACGAGAAGCTGTGGGTAATGCTCATATCACGACGTTAGGTGAAAACAAGAGTCAAAGACAGGTAGCAATCCCATCTCCACAGGGTCGGCGCCATGCAGGCAAGGCCTGGTTCAGGCTGAGGTCCCTTTCCTAGAAGAGCGCCTGGCCACGGCAGATGCCACCCAGCATATGTGGGATGAACAGAGAAACCAAAGGACTGTTTAAACTGCAGAAAATTGTCTAGAAGAAAACAGAGCAAAATGCAATGGTAACCGTGTTTGAATCTCAGGTGGGATTACCAGCATTGTTCATTCTCCTCACCTTTGTCAATTTCGCTACAATTTTAAAGTAATTTAAAAACTACTCGATGCTACTAAGCATCAATCAAATAAAATGGGCAAAAGATATGAATGGACACTTCACCAAAGAAGATCTAAAGGTGGCAAGTAAGCACATGAAAAGACGCTCAGTATCATTAGTCCTTAGAGAAATGCAATTGAAGCAGTGAGAGACCGCTGTACGCTTCCCAGGATGGGGAGGGGCGGGAAGGAGCGCTTCCAAAGGGGCAGCGGGCCACGCTGGGGAGTGACGGCTCTGTTCGCTATCTTGATTGTGCTGATGGTTTCACGGGTGTGTACGTATGGCAAAACTTACCAAATTGTACACTTTAAATATGTATATGTCAATTACAGCTCAATAAAACTGTTAAAACATATTCAACTTACTTGTGCTATGAATGGCTTACTATTAAATTTTTTTAAGTGTGATAATGGTTACATTTAAGAAGAGAGTCCTTCTCTTTAGAGATTCATACTCCAGTATGTAGGGGTAAACGAATGTGATGTTTGGATATGCTTTAATATAATCCCAGGATTGGGGGTGTGGAGAGTGGAGGGGTGCAGATGAAATAAGAATGGTCATGAGCCAGTACTGCTTGAGGCTGGGCATGAGTACACTGTTCCTCTACTTTTGTATATACCTGAAATTTTCTTTTTTTTAAAGATTGGCACCTGGGCTAACAACTGTTGCCAATCTTTTTTTTTTTTTTTTCTGCTTTATCTCCCCAAACACCCCCTGTACACAGTTGTATATCTTAGTTGCATGTCTTTCCAGTTGTGGGATGTGGGACACCACCTCAACGTGGCCTGACGAGCGGTGCCATGTCCGCACCCAGGATCCGAACCCTGGGCCGCTGCAGTGGACCGCGCGAACTTAACCACTCAGCCACGGAGCTGGCCCCGATACCCGAAATTTTCTAGTAAAAGATTTTTTAACAAGGCCCAACTTGTGAAATGGCTGATTCCAGGTCCGGGGCAGGAAAGGTACAAGAGTAACTTGAACATCTTGTCACATGACAAAGGAAAGTATCAAAGACTAATGAGGCCACGTCAAAAGGACTTGCTAGCAAGTACCTTATACCTCAATCCAAAAGTTAAGTTTAAAAAAAAGGATTCAAAATAATTTGAAGAGAGTCCTACTCAAAAAAGATGGGATAATTTGAATATCAATTAGAATAATTACTGAAATGTATTTAAACACATCAAGAACGTTAAAATGCTCAGTTAAGAATGATCCTAAGTAAAGAAATTGGGGTCAAGCCTGGTGGCATAGTGGTTAAGTTCACAGGCTCCGCTTCAGCAGCCTGGGTTCACAGGTTTGGATCCCAAGCGCGGACCTAGCACCACTCATCAAGCCACACTGTGGCAGCATCTCACATAAAAGATAGGAAGATTGGCAACAGATGTTAGCTCAGGGCCAATCTTCCTCACACACAAAAAAAGGGGCTGGCTCCATGGCCAAGTGGTTAAAGTTCCGTGCACTCCCCTTCAGTGGCCCTGGCCTGTGCTTTTGGATCATGGGCAGGGACCTATTCCACTCATCAGTCATACTATGGAGGTGTCCCACATACAAAATAGAGGAAGACTGGTACAGATGTTAGCTCAGGGCTAATCTTCCTCACCAAAAAAAAAAAAAGAAAAGAAAGAAATTGGTTGTCTTTGGAGGATAATAGAGAACCAAATCATTATCCTGAACCTGGCAAATAAAGGGAAAGAATCAAGATTTTAACCTGTCTTTCTGGTAAAAACTGTACTTAGGTAATCAAAATGGTTGCTGAGGGAAATTTTCCTTTTTTTTTAAGACGTATTTCAGCTAACAAATGAAGAATAACAGGAGAACTACAATATCACAATTATGCAACCCCTAATGAACATATGGATCTAAATGATGAATGACCACAGTGGCTGCTACCATCAGAAAAAGAGAGACAGCTGGACATTATGAGCCTCTTGATGGAAGAAAACACCATGTGAAAATTAATATAGGGAAACCTCAATTTAAAATGGAGTCAGAAGGGGAGAAGGGGGAGCTCCCACGTAGGACCACCTAAAGTCAATTACATGAAAGATGGACAAGCACAGACTCCAACAGAAAGAAGTGGACAGGCAAGAGCTGTCAATTACAGGAAGAAATGTACATTGCATCCTAAACAGAAATCCACTACCCCGGAAACTCAGCCAATGAGAACCAGCACTGCCTGGAACTCTTGTTTTTCCCCAATGGGCTTTCCAGCCCCTCCCAATTTTCTCCTTTTTCTTTAGAAAATAACATTCCTCTCCCCTCTAGGTTGGATTTGCCTATGGTCTGCCATAGCATGCACAGCCCAAATTGCAATTCTTTGGGTATTCCTGAACAAACTCGTTTTCCTGGTAAAATAACTGGCTGTTATTTCTAAGGTTGACAGCTACCACCATAAAGTAGTCTTGCCCAAATACCAACCCTAAAGGAAAGCAAGCCTCTAGACTGTAGGATATGCAGGGGACAAAGGGACCTGTTAGGGGACACTACAGAGAGACAATCAGCAAAGTTCAACATGTGGGAGAACCACAGGACAAAATGACCTGGTTTCCTCAACAAATGAGTGCACGGTGACGAAAGGGGGAGGGGCAACCTACAGACTAAACGAGTCTGAAGAGACACAGGCAAATGCGGGCCTTGTTTGGACCCGGGTTGGAGCAAATCAACAGGAAAAAAAAAAAAAAAGGCGATGTGGGATATTTGAATCCTGACAAATTATTTGATAATATCAGAGAATTACTGATAATTTTGGAGGGTACAAGGGTGATATTTTAATTTTGTTTTTTAAAAAAGTCTTTACTTTTTAGAGATTCACTCAAATATCTACTTATGAAATATAGGCTATCTCAGATTTTCAAAATAATCAGGGGTGGAGTAGTAGGGGTATTATTGAAACAAACATGGCCACGAGTTGCTGTCACAGTTATGGGTAAATAGCAGTTTTGTACTATTCTCCTGCTTTTGTGTTTGAACTTTTCCATAGTAAGATTTTAAAAAATCTAACTTCTAAAAATATCTTTGTATCCTAACTTAGGAGAGACACAGACATATGGAAGTAGTTCTTGACTCCAAAGCAGTGTTTCTCAATCCTTTTTTTCATTATAACCCCAAAGGAGCCTTTCAAAAACACTTCTTTCATAATTTCCCTCGCACCTCCATGAAATGCTAATACCACAGAAATGCTGTGTTATCCGTTTATGTACTGCGGTCTTTTGGAGGGCCATAGATCACTCTAATATCTAAGACTTTCCAAAGGAACACAAGTGCCAGAAATAAAGTCTGACTGCGTCCAGCCACATCACGGTCAGTACAAGAGAAAGGGAGATGGCCAGGTTACATATCTGTAGGTCTGGCGGCAGTGTGAGTGCTGGACTGAAATATTCCAACTCTTGGCGACTTCCTGTCAGATAAGGAGGAATGACCACCTGGTGAGGTGATTATGATGACAGCACTGCAGCGGGGAGCCCTCTCTTTCAAGTCTGATGAGAAGAGTGGCATTCAGAAGGAGCTGCACTGCGACCCTAGGCTTGGAGGAATCTGATCACACGGCCTTTCAGCTAACGGCCCCATGGCCATCCTTGGAGAAAGGCTGGGAGCACAGAAGACTGAAGGAGCAGGCTGACGAGACTCTGCTTGCTCCTACACCAGGGCCGGAATCACATTCCCATTCACTCTGCTTAAAATATTAACATTACTTTTACGTATTTTAAATAGAGGGTCATTGCTGGATACAGGACCCAGAGATGTTCTGCCAGATATTAAAACCCACCATAGGATTAATATTGGCTACAAAAAACCCAGAGTTTGACTGCATTAACAAAACTAATAATTTATGGTAAAAGAGAAGTATGGAATTTTTAAAATTAAAAAGCAACAGTAACAAAAAACAACAAACTTTCTACCTTAGGACCTCTATGCCTGTTCTTCAAAATTTTTTAACCTAGTGCTTTTTTAAGTTAAGTAATAGATGTACACAGTAAATGTAATTTTTTTCAAATGGCATAGAAATGTATTAAGTGACAAAATTCTCCTCCCGTCCAAATCTCAATTCCCAGATGAAACACTGCTAACAGTTTGTGTATCCTTCCAGAAATTTTCTATGTATGTGCAAACATATAGATACAAACAAATGTGTGTATTTTCCAATGCGCTTTCCTTTATTTCTAGGTAACACCACAACCTGCGTCCTTCCTTATTAGCACACCCAGAGTGCCTCCTCTCTTTGTGGTGGGTACACGTATGGGTGTCTGTATTATTTCCTGTTCCCGATAACAGGTTCTTTTCCACATGCTGCTATTACCAATGATGCTGCGGGGCACATCTTGTTGAAGGACTTTCTGTGACTCGGACATTCTGTTCTCGCTGTGACTCTCTCGGTCATTTACTGAGGACGAAATGGGCATCACAAGGCCCAGCTTGCTGGTGCTCCCACAGCCGGAGCGTCCTGGAGGAGCCCGGGCAGTGAGGCTCCTGAGCCCGCTCTGAGCACCGCGCTATACTGCCTGTGCTCCAAACGCAAAGAAGTGAAGCTGCGGATGAGAAAGTGGGTTCGGTTCACCTTTAAGAGTTATTGACAACCTGCTCTCCAGAGACGGCACCAATTGATGATCTGTAAAACACGAGCGCATCCTTCCTCATATGATTAAACATTCTCATCCTTGATAATGCCATAGGTGAAAACATGCCTTCTGCTTGTTTTAGTTTGCACTTCCTTAATTAGGAGTGAGCATATTTTCCTCATAAACTTATTGGTTATTTATATTTATTTTTCTCCATGATGTCTTTCTAGGGTATGTCGGTACATTGCAGATATGCTCTAACTAATAAAAAACATACAGTGTTCGTTTTACAGTACAGTATTCGCTAAATCCTCTCTGTGAGGGAGAACCAGTTGGTGCAGCCACACTGAAGAGCAATTGTTCAATATCTAATAAAGTTGAACACGTGCAATACTTGTGACCTAGTATCCCTCAGTATGTACCATAAAAAACTCTTGTACATGAGTGTGAGAGCTTGCAAAGAATGGCCACAGCAGCAGTGTTTCTAATAGCAAAAATGGAAACAATCTCATCAACCAGAAAATACATAATTATTGCATCCTCGTGCAATGCAATACTGCACAAGAAAGACAGTGAGTGAACGAGAGCCACAGAGTCAGCTACTTGCAGAAGGATATGCTCAGTTCACGCCTCCTCCATGAAGGTGAAAAGCCCAGAGAACAATGCTCCTTGTGCCTGCAGAGCCCTACCCCTAAAGCCAGGAGGAAAACATGCCCAGGAAGGACGCACCGCCCAGCTGCAGGAGCTGGGCACCTCTGCGGGGGGAGGGGACATGGGGCTTCACCTGTGTCTGCGGTGCTGTCTTAAGTAATGAGCATGCAGACCATTGCTATCTCGCTCTTTATTCTTTTTTCAATTAAAGAAATAAACAGTTCACCTTATATTCCCAGAGATTCTGGGGAGGTTTCACGCCTAGTGCTTTGACACGCTCCAGTTCCATGAGGATGGCTCTTCTGTGGCTGCTACTTTCTATGGTATATGGCGCCCTTGAAAATTCTTCCTCTGTCAGAGTTAAAAGCAATCTGCAGGGGGAAGCGGATAGGAGGGTAGTTCTTTCAGATGATATACTGGGAGCAAACTTTCCACAGTCAGTGACGTAAGGGAAGACACTCAGGATATGAAATAATATTAGCCACAGCAGACAACTGAACGCTTACTGTTTGCCAGCGACTATCTGAAAATACTTTCATAAGTCATCACTGATCCATTTAACAGTTCTGCAGGGTAGGAGGCATGATGACAATTTTGTGAATGAGGAAACTGGCTCGGAGAAATAAAGTGACCCAGCCAAGGCATACCTAGGTCTGTTTTGCTCGTAACCTCTGATCTTTCGGCTATGCACTCTAACCTCTCACATATTTCTCTATTTTTTAGTGTGCGTATAGAAAAAAAAAACTGGAGAGAAATCCAATAAATCATTACGACATTAGAAGTCATTGGTTTTGGGTAGTGATTTAACAAAAAAAATGATTATAGATCCCCTCTTTCTTCCTTTCATGAGGAAACATGAAGCTGCGTCCATAGCGATTTGTTGTTAAAAACATCCCTGGGCACTAGCAGATGCGAGACCAGCAGGCACACACAACCACTGCTGGAGGAGTGTAAACGGATGTCCTCTGGTGGGTAATTTGACATTTCCTAAACTTGTGAAGGTTTATTCCCTTTGACCCACCAATTCCAGTTCTAGAAATCTATCCTCTAGCAGGAAGACAATTATGCAAAGACAGATTGTATTAGCTAGGTAGACAGATTTTTTAAAATCACAATTTGGGGGAGTGGGCTATTTCTCACAAAAAATAGACAAACTAGGAGCATTTTGCTTCCCCAAGGGAGAGTCAAGTGTTGAGGGCTCAGTTCAGTGGGAAGAAGTGACTAGGGTGGAAGGTGGGGCAGTCGGGCAGCCTGGCAGTGAGTGGACGACATGTCCACAACAAACGGGTCAGAGAGTGGCTGCTTCCAGCACTGTGTGCTGTTCTGTGTCACATCCCTACGCAGTCTCTCCAAGGAAGAGAGGGACCGCAATGAAGATGGACAGTGCTCTGGAACGGGGTGGGAAGATTTGCTGATGGGCAGAAACAGCCTCCCCAAAGTCCAGGGGTTCAATTCGTGAGTTCCTCGTACCAGGGCACTTGCTACAATGTTATTTGGAATTGTCTGGAACAGGAAAAAGGAAACAACTCAAATGTGAATTGGTAGAGATGGATGAAATAGACTACAGTATACGCACATACATACAAACATGTGTATGTATACATATAAACACAGATCTGCTTAGTACAATCTATTTTCAGTTGAAATAAAGAAATGATACACAGTTACATGTGTAAGTCTGTTTAAACATTAAAAAAATCTGGAAAGATGTCCAGCAAGATGATACAGTGGTTTCTCTGATGAGTAGAATCACGAGGGTATTTCACTGCCAATATACTACAGTTCTACATTATTTTGAAAAATAAATAATAAATGTATGTTACTTTTATAATCAGGAAGCAACAAACAAATTAAAATGTCAATGACAAAAAATGGTACAGCCACTTTGGAAAGCAGTTTGACAATTCCTTAAAAAGTTAAATACAGAGTTACCTTATGACCCAGCAATTCAATCCTGGAGAGTACTGAAAATATATGTCCACACAAAAACTTTTACACAAATCATCATAGCAGCATTATTCATAACAGCCCCCAAATGGAATCCACCCAAATGTTCATCAACTGAAGAATGGATAAATGAAATGTGGTATAACCATATAATGGAATATTCTTCAGTCATAAAAAGGAATGAAGCACTGACATGTACTACAACTTGGACGAACCTTGGAAACGTTATGCTAAGTGAAAAAGCCAGACGCAAAAGGTCACACATGGTGTAAGATTCCACGTATACGACATACTCTGAATAGGTGTACCCATAGAGACAAACTAGATGGTGGTTGCCCAAGGCTGAGGGTGAGCAGAAATGAAGATTGACCAGTAAAGGGTCGGCGCTTTCCTTTTGAGGGGGATGAAAATATTCTAAAACTAGATTGTGGTGATGGCTGCACGTATCTATGAATATATTAAAAACCATTGATTGTACACTTTAAATGAGTGAATTTTACGGTATATGGATTATACCTCAACAAAGCTGTTTAAAAAGAAATTTCAGTGATGTGTCAGAAGATTTTGCTCCTCACCTTCCATTTACTCTTTCAGATAAAAATCTGTCTTTGTAGAGAGAGGCCCAAGGGCCCAGCTGCTCCAGCCAGAGGACAACTTCTTCTGCCGTCCATTTGGCCACAGGCTTGTGGACCAGAAGGTCGTGCTCAGATTCCCTGCTGCTCCAGTGAGACACGAGCAGGACCACCTGGGGAAAAGTGACAGGGACCTTAAGAAACACAAAGGTTAGAGACGCCAGTCTCTAAATGCATGAGCGTGGAGCAAAGAAGGGAAGAGGCTGAGCTGGAAGGGAACGATGGCAAGTCTCTACACAGAAGCAGGGCAATGCCACTGCCACAGAGAACTGGGGAGCACAACTCTCGGCAGGCTCCTCTCTCTGCTGGTTGTCAGGCCGTGAGGGAAGAGAGACAGGAACAGGACTCCTTGCAGGCACCTGGGAGCACTGCATCCTTGACCCCATTTAACTTGGGCAACATACCTGACTCACGTGCCGTTTCTATTGGAAAATTTGTAACATTTAGATTTTTGCGGCATGGAACTTAGAAAGTATTCTCTATGATGGAAGTTACTAAAGTGCTGTGCTCAAGACTCTATCATCAAGGCAACATGGTCTCAAATTCCAGTTCTAACACCTTTATGCACCTGTTTGCTCATCTCTAAAATGGGAATAATAATAGTACCCATTGAGTAGGTTATAAAGAAGAGGAAAAGGGATAAAGTTAATATTTACTGGGCTCTGAATATTACATTGTCTACCAGAGTAAGCAACATCCCCAAAGAATCATGCAAGCCAGCAGATTTCAATGTATGCAGTGAATTATCACATGCAGTTATATCAACAATTGTCTAGATGTATTTCAACAGAAATGTCTTTAGTGGGAACTGTGGGCGGGAGGCGGGACAGAGAAACTGATAAACTTACTGCCACACCAGTTAAAGCTGTGAGCACTCCGGAAAAGAATCCGCCCCCTCTCTGCTGATTCACTCGGCCAGTGTTGGGAGCTAAAGGAATCTGATCATTTCCATACTTCTGAAAGGCTGCAAGACTCTGGACTATGTCATTATTCTGCTGAATGTCTTCAAATCGCATTCTAATGGCATCAGGAAATAATTTTTCAATGGCATCCCTATGGAGAACAGAAAACAAATCACAAGACAGTTGTTTGACTAAATACACTTACAAAGTTTAGAGCCAAAACAAAACCAACAGTCAGCATTTCATAATATACGAGTATTCTAGAAGAATAGACAAGAAGATTGGTTATGGTTCTGTCGATAACAGCAAAAAATTAGAAGCAACCTACATGTCCACTGTTAGAGAAACAGTTAAATAAAACATGGTATATTCATACAGTGGAACACTAAATAGTTTTAGAAATGAATTTACTGGATATGACTGTGGATCAAGATGGACAAATTTAAGATATACATATTGTCGAATGAAAATTGTCAACTGTAGAACCATACAGATAGCACACCATGGATGTGAGAAAATACTTGCATTTCCTAATGGCACATACATAAGAATTTTTTTTAAATATGAAAGAAATCACAACTAAGTCATAACTGAAATTACTCTGAAGAAAAGGAAGGATTGTAATGTTAGAGGAGTGATACTGGCCCTGATATCGATTCCCCTACATTAAACCCAGCAGACAGGGGTTAAAATCAAAACACTCATCTCCTTTCCTTGCTTACTCCCTGGCTTCCTGGCACCAGAGTCCACCATCCTCCATGGAGACAAACAACCAAGGACAGCCACCTGCAGGGTCACAGACTCCCCCCAACCCACAAGCAGCTGCATTCCTTTCAGTCTTTAAAATTCCTGGCCTCCCATCTTTCAGGGAGAGGAGACAAGACGAGATGAGACGAATTTGAGGGCTTACTCTCCTCTCCCAACTGATGTCACCCAAAATAAAAATCCTTTCCTTGCCATAACCCTGGCATTCCAGCTTTTACTTCGCCCCTCTTGTATGGTGGGTAAAGAACCTGTTTGTAGGCAGTAACAATCTGGCGAGCCAGCCAGGAGGGCTCTTTGCCCGTGGCTCTGCGGTCCCAGGCCAACTGGGATTTCCTGGGAAGCAGGCCAGCAGCTGCCTAGATGATTTGCCCTAGGGATTGTCCCGCGTACTTTCCATCTGACATGGCACTGTTGGCCCTAAGGACTGTCCCGAGTACTTTCCGTCTGACACGGCACCGCTGGCCCTAGACACATTTTCTTATGGCAGGGAAACAGGTTCTAGATTTGTTTGTTTTTGCTTCTGGTGAGTCAACGGACTCAACCTGGAATAGGGAAAGTTGCCTTGGGAATGTCCGTGAACTTCCTTCCCCTCCTCTGGGGTGCTTTTCCTTCATGAAGGGGCCATCTGGGGTCCTTTCTGTTCGTGGATGGGCCATGTGGGCATGCATTCGGAGTGTGAAGAGTTGTAGGACTTTCTATTCTAAATCTGGGAGCCACATCACTGGTGTCTGTTTTTTCTGTGTCTGGATCTGTGTGTCTCTGTCCATCTCTGTGTATTGGAATGAGAAACATGCTGTCTGTCCCCAAGCAGAGCCCACTGGGGCTGATTCTGAGTAGATGGTCTAACTGTGAAAATAGATGTTACCTCTAGCTGGGAAAGCTTCCCCTACACAGTATTATGAGACTGAGACTCGTTACTGGACTCGATGAAAGCTATGATTAGAGGTATAAGAGCTAATAAAATTAAGAGGAAGTTTTATAAAAATTGTTATATTTAGGTGGGCTTTGTGTAAAATAACTACATCTCTTTTGCCTGATTGTATTATAGATTACGTTGTGGGAATAAACATTATGTCTCACTGGGGAACGCTTCCCCTGCCTGATACTGTAAGGGCACATAAATCCACCCTTCAGGCAATGTTAATTAAACATGCTACAGGAGATCTCACTTTAAAATGGCCAAAGTGGGGCAACTTCAGTTTACCCAAACTGATGTATGTAATTGGAAAAAGCCAACTACAACGGGAAGCCTATTTTAATCTTTTGAGGTTTCTAAATAAAATCAGGAATACTTTACTGCCTCTTCAAAAGAAAATAAATAATTAAACACGCCAACAGCGGAAGCCAAATCTGCTGCTCCTCTCTCACTGAGCCTCCCCATTTCAACTCTCCCCAAACTCCTCATCTAAATTAAGCAAGCGAAAATAAGTAAACTTTTGAGATAATTTGGAATTTTAATGGCCATTCTGGGGAACCTCTGTTTCAGATGAGTCCACCTTAACGGTCACTCTTAAAAGAGAGAATTCAAAACCTCTCATAAGGAATGCAGTCTTTGACTAATATCAAAAAGCTTCTAAAAGACAAAGTTATTTAACATGATATAAAATAATCGTTGGTAAATGGAAGCCTGTTTAAGTTTGCTGGTTTGAATTAAAATAGAGATGTCCTCAGAGTTAGCAGCAGTGGATAGAATGCAGACACACAGTCTGGCTTTACTGGGCAAATGACCTCATGTCATCTCTGCTACAGTTTGTCAACAAAAGTAGTAACAGAATAATAGCTGATTTTGTTTAATGTCTCATGAGGTTTTTGTAGACTATCTAAATATAATTGTTGAGAACAGGTAAACCAAATAGATGTAAGAGGATAAAAGTTTTCGGAGAAAGTTTTTAACAATAATTATGTACTCTGACATATGTACCTAAAACACCTGAAGACGACGGCTAACAGCTTTAACGCCACACAAAGTTTCTGAGAGTAATCTTAACATAATTGTTGGGAACAAATAATTTAAATAGATAAAAACGGGTAAACGTTTTTGAGTGCAATAATTATGTTTTATGGTCTGTGTACTTGGAAAATAGCTTCCAAATTTTTGGTAACTTAAAAACTTCGGAGTTTTACTAACTTAAGTTAAATGATAAAATCTGTTGAGTATCTGGGTCATTTTCAGATAGGATGGAACACAAACATTATTGCTGAACATGTCTAAGTTCATCTACTTTTGACTTCTTATTACAGAGAAGCTAAAAAGTGTCTGGGTCTATTAAACACATCTTGTCTTTTATTACCATGAAGTAACATGTTTCTAAAAATTATTAAAGGTGTTTGTAAATCTGTCAAGCCACAGAATGCTAATGTAAAGTTTATAATTGCTTACTTGGTCTTTACTTAGAAATTAAGGTTTCTAAGGATTAAAGATTCTAAGCAATATATATAATTAAAGCTACTAAAAATTAATTTTAAAAACGAGATAAATTCTGAATGTAAAAAAAAGGTTATAGAAGGTTTGTGGGGGCCAGCCCAGTGGCGCAGCAGTAAAGTTCACACGTTCCACTTCGGCGGCCTGGGGTTTCCCTGTTTGGATCCCTGGTGAGGACCTATGCACCACTTGTCAAGCCATGCTGTGGCAGACATCCCACGTATAAAGTACATGAAGATGGGCACAGATGTTAGCTCAGGGCCAATCTTCTTCAGCAAAAAGAGGAAGGTTGGAGGCAAATGTTAGCTCAGGGCTAATCATCTTCAAAATGGAAGGTTTGTGAAACAAAAATTGTGAAAAGAGTTTTATACATGGTCAAGTTGGCTAAAATTAAAATGAAGTTAATGAAGTAAATAAGTTTAAATGTCAAAAGTAAACTGGGACAAGGCTGGCCCCGTGGCCAGGTGGTTAAATTCACATGCTCCACTTTGGCAGCCCAGGGTTTCACCAGTTCGAATCCTAGGCATGGACATGGCACCACTCATCAAGCCATGCTGAGGCGGTATCCCACATAGCACAACCAGAGGCACTCACAACTAGAATATACAACTACGTACTGGGGGTTTTGGGGAAAAGAAGATGATAAAAAAAGAAAAGAGAAGATTGGCAACAGATGTTAGTTCAGGTGTCAATCTTAAAGAAAGTAAACGGGTACAAAATTAAAATTTGGTCTTCTCTTTGTTAAATGGGTAATTTTCCTGAACTTTTAGTCTGCTCTTCGTAATAAAATTATGAAACGTTTTTCCTTTGAGTAGTCTACAGAAGGGTAGGGATTTTGTGTTTTATCAAAATAAATTTCCTATATTGTTTTTATTAGGTCCTTAATCATAGATGCTAAGGTTTTTCTTACAGCTAGTTAATTCTCTGCATTTGCCTAAAATTCTTTAACTGTCACCATGGTTAAAGGGATAATTAAACATTGTTTCATAGGGACCTATGACATTGTATTGGTAAATATTATTGATATGTTTTAAAAATTGTATAACATTACTAAAATTCTGATCTGTCCTGATTATGTCATAATTCTGGTTATTTTAAACTGTTATGTGTCACCAAATTAGCCAAATTCTTTGTCAATTGCCATTCTTGGGTCTTGTTGTTTACAGACACTTATTGTTTCACTCTCATGTTTTTGCAAAATATGTTTCAGCTTCAGAAAAATTCATGGAAAGGACTCTGGCACTTACTCTAGAGTACAGGTTTCTAATAAACTTTCAGATTATGAAACTGAGCTGGATAAGAAATTACAGAATTCTAACAGAGAAACTGATGGCCTCATGAAACTGCCATCAGAAGATCAAGAGTTGGTTACATGAAACTAAATGAGCTGATAAGGATAATTATAATTTTTTATGACTTTTATTTGAAATATTGTTGATTTTTTGATATTTTGTTTTGTTTTCCCAGATTTAAAAGAATTTTTTTCTTTTTTCTCTCATGCTATGACATAGCAATTTGATAAAATTATACCTTTGTGAGCAAAACTGAAACATTTATCTTCTTCTCCCTACCTGATCCCTCCAGAATTTGGAAATTCTTAGTGAGTAAGTATTGTTTTCACGGCAATATAGTTGTTTGCATAAGTGCAATAAGAATCTGTTCTTCTTATAACAGGACACAATTGAAAACATTAGTTATAATAGCAAGGCTTTAACTAGAATGTCATATTTGAGGAAAACATATAGACTCAGATATGACAAGACAGCTTTTGAGGAAGAAAGGTTGACCTTTTAGAATAAAGCCACTTGGAAATATTGGTCTGGTACTTTGCTTACAGGGTTCCCAGTAACCTGGTAAGGTTGAGCAAAGAATGTCACTCCCTCTGGCAGGTGCAAAGAACTCTAGATATTTTGGGGACCTCAGAAGAGAGGAATTCACCCAAATCTGTAGGTATTGCAGGCAGAGTCTGATGACAAGATCTGGGTCTGGCTTTCCTGGCCTTGAGAGGCCTTTAAAGTTCAACCTGAGATTCCTTATAAAAAGTTCTAGCAAAGCAGATTTAAAAGAAGGCATATAACCAATTACTATTCTTGCTGCATTTATGTAAATAATTGGGCCAAATCTGTTGAAACTAGACTTATTTTGCAACCCAGTTAGTCTTAATTTGGCTGTCCTTGGTAAAATTGAGGGTGATTTTAGAGAGAAATTATTTCAATAAAAACTATAATATACATTTATAAATACTGGATTTTGGTTCTATCAATTGTCTTTGAGGCTTTTGTTTTATATCTGTTAACTGGACTGGATCCTGAATTCTTCTAGTCTCCCAAAATATCTGGCAACAAATCTCCAAACTAACATTTTCCATTTTTTCCATCATTTTCATCTGAAATCATTAAAAACTAAACCTGCCCTTTTTCCTGTGCAAACTGAAGCTGTAGGACTTGATATAAACTTAAAAAGATTCATGCCTCCTGCTATGTAAGCCTCTCAGAAAGCTACCTGAGTGCCCAATGATACCATCAGAGACATTTCAAACTGCAAAAGATGCTTTGACCCTGATCTTAGGAATCTTGACTGGCTGCCTCCTGGGCTCAGGAACTGGTTTATAATTTGCTCCAACCATTAACCTTGTTTTTCTCTTTTTGTTTCTCTAGAAATGCTTATTAAATATCTGGTTACTTACACAATACAGGCCTAACTTTGGGAGCCCACCTGCATGACCGCCTTATTAAAAGACTGGTTCAATGAGATGGAACAACCTATGCCCCATTTCAGCAGGAAGCAGCTGGATTGGTCATTGCCCCAAATCCCTCAAGACTGAGAAATGAACATAAAATAGGGGGGAATTTATACTGGCCCTGATATCAGTTTCTCTACATTAAACCCAGCAGATGGGGGTTAAAATCAAAACACTTATGTCCTTTCCCTGCTTACTCCCTGGCTTCCTGACACCAGAATCCACTATCCTCCACGGAGACACCAACCAAGGATGGCCACCTGCAAGGTCACAGACAACCCCCCTCCCCTCAACAAGCAGCTGCATTCCTTGCAACCTTTAAAATCTCTGGCTTCCCATCTTTTGGGGAGACAAGATGAGATGAATTTGAGGACTCACCTTCATCTCCCAGGTGACATCACCTGAAATAAAAACCCTTTCCTTGCCGTAAGCCTGGCATTCTTGTTTTCATTTGGCCTCTCTTGTGTGGCAGGTAAAGAACCTATGTTTGTAGCCAGTAACAGGAGGAGGGGTCAAAGGGGCCTTAGCTTTATCAGTAATGTTCTGATTTTTAAAAAAGAATGTAACAAATTAATGTAAATATGTATTGCTTATATTATTAAAAATTAATTCATAAAAAGGGAAAAAAGTGAAGTTCAGTAAGATGGATGGACCAACCATCAGGTCACCTGTACGGCTCTTCATTTTCAACTATACATGATCAGAGAACCCTCCTTCAGTTTAAGATTAACCTTCAGGGAAACCAAGGCCAACAGGTAACAGCAAAGTGCCTGTAAATACATTTCCCGTGAAAAAGAGAATGTTGGGCTAATGTTTTCATGGAACTTTCTGGTGCCCAGCTGATGTCAAGAAAACAACAAAAGAGACAAGGATTTTAGCCTCAAAGACCTCACAGGTACATTACTGCTACACAGAAACAGAAAAGAATCCACTATCTGAAAGGTCTTGCCATTCATTCTGTGATGCTCTGTGCGAGTAACTACCTCTACTAATGTGATAAACAGAACAGAGTTTGGTCAAAGACTATGAAAATCAGCATCAAACCAGTTATTCAGAATTGTACAGTTATACCAGTTTCTGTTAGACTCAGGATATTCTCAGTGAATACAAATCAACAAAAAATATTATATGACAACAGATTATGAGCAATGGTCTGATAACCAGATTCCTTTCCTTCATTTACAATAAGTAATAAACAAATTACAGTCACCTGTGAGGAAGGGAATCTGGATTTTCAGGTCCCTGAGCTCCTTGACTCACATTCCAACAGATCCAGAATGACCGCTGTGGAGGTCGGCTCAGTGCCTCCAGCCTTTTCAACCATGGCTGCTGCCCCCCCATTAAGAGAAACCACACTGTACAAGCTGTATATACTACCAATAAGCACCAAGCATTACCTGAGGAGAATATTGACTTTGGGGAAACCTTCCCATTTTTCTCTGCATTCTGGACACTCTGTTTTCTTTGAAGAGGTCCACCATAAAGCCAGACAGTGCCGGCAGAAGCTGTGCCCACAGTTCAAGGTGGTGGGGTTAACCAGGATGTCATAACAGCAGTGACAGGAAAATTCACTAACAGAAATCTGAGGGCCGGTACTCTTGAGATGGTCATCTTTCTCAAGGGTCATCGTATTCAGATCATTTTGCTGAGATTCCTCCATCGCTTAGCAAATTCTGGGATCCCCAGGCACAGAAAATTTCAGATTTAGAAAATTGCTGCAAAGCATCATTAAATCTAGAAAAAAAGGACAGAAATAGGAGAAATAGTTCAGTAGCTGTTTGAGATTACAGTCATTCTTTTAAAGCTGGTTATTTTTCACTTTATTTTTTTTGGTGAGGAAGACTGTCCCTGAGCTTACATTTGTGCCGATCATCCTCTACTTTGTATGTGGGACGCCACACCACAGCATGGCTTGATGAGCGGTGTATAGGTCTGCACCAAGGATCTGAACCCATGAACCCTGGGCCACTGAAGTGGAGCAGGTGAACTTAATCCCTACGCCACAGGGTTGGCCACTAATGCTGGCTTTTAAATGTGACAAATTTGATTTCTAAAAATTCACATTCCATAAATCACATAAACATCATAGAACTGCTTTCTGGCCTATTTGTCACACATTTGGAAATTAGGGAAAGCAAAACAGTGTCGTGGAAAGTTCAATGGACCGGGGGTGGGGGCATGGAGGAATTCTAGATCCTTCTCTTTCACTAACTTCTTTTGAAAATGAAATTTCTCTGGCCTCAGCTTTCTCAATTAAATTTCTAAAGTCCTTTCAATGTATATGATTTTCAATAAACCAGTTTCTTGGCCCAGTAAAATGTCTAGAGTTGGCACTAACAGATGTACTTCATGTAAATAACACATTTTATCCAAATAAATCTGTCTTCCCATTAGGTAAGTATTTATTTGACAAACATTTGATTTTGGAGGTTTCCATAGGAGCAGTACCGGGAAGTGAGTGAAGCCTTCTTTTCTGAGGCGCCCTGTGCCAGGTCAACTGCCTAGTGGCTCAATATACCCCCTTCCCACAAAACCAACCCAAACATGCATATTATACCCTCTGCGTCTGGACAATCTCGTGCCATAGAAACACGCTAATGTCACTACTATGCAAATAGCAAAGGACCATTCTCTTTTCATTCTTATCTGGGTCTAAGGAGATTTTTTATTGAAAGGCAGTATGATGGAGAATACCACAGAGTTAGAATCTCAGCTTTCCAACTCACTAGCTCTGTGAGCGTGCATAAGTTACCTGAGCTCTCTGAGCCTTGTTTCCTCAACTGTGATAACAGTACAAAAACTTTCAAGGGTTCTTGTGAGGATCAGAGACAGTGACAGGAGAGTGGCTACGAAGGCTTATGGTGTAATAGGGGCTAAAGAAGTGAGTATTCATACTATTCCTGGTATTATTGCAGTGTAGGCGCCAGTGGGAAAGAAAGGAAATCACTCTTGATCACCCAGACTGCTCACAGAGAGGGGCGCACGTTTTACGCTCTGCAGGTAGAGTGCTTCAGAAGGCACGTCCCAGGGCTGGGCTGCCTGGCTTCTCACCCCGCCTCTGCCTCCACCAGCTGCGGCGCCTGAACGTCTTTGGGTCTCAGCTTTCTCATATATAACCGGGGGTGGTAACACTGTTTACCCCATTGGGAGGTTCTTAAGAACTAAATCACAGGATGTAAGTAAAGTGCCTAGTACAGAGCCTGGCATATGGTAAGTAAACCATACATGATAGCAATTTACCTGATTTTCAAACGCAGCGGTGACAGAATTTTATCACCTTTTATGGGGTGCAAAATTTTACCTAGAGCATGATAACACTATATTTTAAATATGCAAATCTATACACAAAGACTAGACAAAAATAATGAATTATTAGAAGTGGGTGTGTTGGGTGGCTGAGGGTCATGATTGTCCTGGTTTTCTGTATTTACCAAGTTGCTCTTAATGAAAATGTATGATGTTACAATAATTGTAAAAATACATATAAATTGTAAAAAAAAAAATACTGTATTCCTTTTGGCCTAACAGCAATGGGAGATTTTCAACCCAGAGAATAAACACAGCTAAATTTTAAACTCAGTGTTAAAGTGGAATAGATTCCTTATCCAGCACTAAAAAGATAATTAGGTAAAGATAAGTGTATATTTAAAAGATTAAATGTAAGATAAATATAAATTTTTAAAATATACAATTAATAGTTATTCACAATAGTAGATGATAGTAAAGAAGGGACCAACCTTCTGTATAGGCCCATTAAAAACTCCTTTTTGGAAGACAGAGTCTAAACAAATGTTTTTAATCACAAATCCTAAATTACTTCTGATAATTAGATTTGCTCATTATTTGTATGTTTAGGAATATTAAAAAAATTTCTAAGTGTTTTCCTTTGGGCAGCCTCTTCAAATTGCTAAGGAAGTGGGAGATCTTTTATAGACAGGTTTTTGGAAAAAGGAATCATTTTGATGAAGTAGTTCCTTTATTTGATTAATATTGATTAAACAACTACCACATGGAGAGCACTATCCCAGGAAATAATAACGGAACCACTGCTATTTCCTGAGCATCTCCCAGGAGCTGGGCACTGGGCAGGCCCTTTCGGTATATTCAGGATCACATCTGGACTCAGTGTCAGAGGAAAAATACCGAGGCTGCCAGTGAGGGTTGTGCAAGGGGTCAGAAAAGATGGGCCTGACTGGGGCGCTGCTGTGTGTTTTCCCAGGGAGCAGGGAGCGACAGAGGAGACACAGGTCCGACACAGGGTCCTGCGTGTCTGGTTAACGAGAGGCGGGCCAATGGGGGCGCGTGAAGGTTTCAGAGGCAAGGAGATCAGCAAAGCTGTGCTTGAGGACGACAAACCTCATCAGGAAGGAGGGCTACGTGCGCCAGGTTAGAAGTGAGGTACTATCACTTCTGGGAATAAGGTGGCAAAGATGAAAACAGTGAAGAACGAAAGGTGGCAAAGGAAAGGACTAATTTATCCGAGAGATGTTTAAGAAAATAATTTATGGGCTTTGGTGACTACAGAGAAACAATGATCAAAGATGCTGGCTAGGTTTCAGAACTGGGGATGAAGAATGGTATTTCTGACAGAAATGGGCCACTGTAAACCAATGGAGCCAACCTTGGAAAGAAGGTAAGATGAATTTTAGAAAAGTTGAGTTTGAGATGATGACAAGACTTCAAGCAGAACTGTCTAGTGAGCAGACGGAGATACAAAACTATCGTTGGGAGTTAAGGGTGAGGCCAAGTGTCTGGATTCCAGAGTCGCCTGCAGAGAAATGACAATGTATATTGAAATTAATTTCTCATGAATTAGCCTTTCAAAACTAGAATGCATCAGTAGTTCCAAGCTTACCAGATCTGAAAGTTTACCTCTCATGAGAGAAAACAAATCACACACTGACGTCAAAAGTGTATTTTATAAGTTGGATTTTGAAAAGCGAGGTGGCCACGAACTTTGTTTTATAATTGTCTTTAACAAACTAGAAACTGCACACACTGTAATTACATCTTAGAAATTCTGATAGTTTCATTTTACCCTAAATTCCAAAGTGAAAGCTAATAGAGAAAGAATATGCAGCTTAACCAAACCCAGTTGATCTTTTCTGCTATTTCTGTGTGTACCCGGGTTATCTCCACTAAAGAAGGCAGGACTTTTAGAGGAGGAAAGTGCCTCTTCAGTGATAAAATCTAGCTCAGACACTAAAGTTGCAAGCTGCAGTGTTCAGATTGGGTAAACACCACCTCCTGCACTGGCAATGATTAAAGGCCTCTGTGAGGAGAAGGCCCCATGATCCTGAGCATGTTTATAGCTGTTCTTACAAACCTTGCACACTCACCAGCAGGCTGGAGCCGTGAGAAGCTTCGCTGGCTCTTTCTGAGTTCCTTCAAAAGTACAAGTGTCCTTCACATCAGGACATCCCTGTAGCCTTTTTCTCTTGTCTCAAAGGCCTCAGAGAAGACTGGGGGGCCGCGGTAGGATTGGGGCAAGGAGAAGCATTCCATTCCCACCCCCAGTGCCCCGTTCACATGGACACATTTTGGTTTAAGTTTAATCATCAACTGAAATTGCAGGTGTTAATCACCTAATTCAAAACTAACGCGAAGAATGCCTGAGTCTGGAAAAGTCTACAAAACTGCAAAGAGACAAGTTTAAAATGACAGGGTGAGCGCCAGAGAATTGAAGAGTACAGCCAAGCCTTCGGGGACTGAGTCACTCTGAAGAGCTGTGGTTTCTGAAAAAGAGTCGAGTCTTCAAGTGATGTCTGTAGAGGCGCCCCAGGAGGTCTGCGCATGCTCTGAAATTACACGCTGAGCTTGTGTCTGTGCACATGAGTGTGTCTATGAGTATTGACCTGAAGGAAATCTACAGCTTTTATTGGGCTCTCAAAGGGGACCAAGACCCAAATAAGGTTCTGAACTACTGTTTATTCACTGGGATAAAGGCTCTCTTAATGTACCACACCCTCCGCTTCCTAGAGTGGTTATAACGAACCCAGGTGAGCCTTGTGACAGTGACGCAGAATTATTGTCATCAGCATCCATAGTTCCTGTACTGGAACAGTCCCAACACTGGCAGCCACCACTCCACTGTGGCAACATCTGGCCTGCAAGCAGGCTTTCTTTCACAAGGTGCTTCTTTCTCTTCCCTGACCTTCTTCCTACCTTTCCCTCTCTTTCCTTCCTCCTCCTCCTCCTCCTCCTCCTTCTTTCTCTTTCTTTCTATTGAATTTGGTGCCAGAATTTTAAAAATCTGATTTCACATAAAAATCCAGATTCCTGGCTTCTACTGAAAAAACTCAGAAGATCTGGCAGCACTGGGCTCTCATTTTGCATGACAGCAATCAGCTCAACCTGAGTGGCTCAGCAGTTGCCCCCTTCAGACAGGGCATGCCCACCCCAGTTTGCTCCAGTCCTCACTCACTGTTTTCCTTGTTTCTGTTACTTACCTGACCCCTGGGGAAGTCTGAGTTTTCATGACCTGTCCCATAAGGTGATGTTTTCAGAGTCTACTGATAAGTGTATGATGTTCCCAGATTAACCGGTCTTAGGCTAGTAAGCTTTTGGAGAGCTGTCAACTTATAATTTTCCTGTCTCTTGATTTGCTGTCAGGTTGTTACTTATCACCGAGAAAGTGACTGCCTATGAGATCTTCCACAAATTTTTCTAAATTACTGCTTCTACCCTGCTTTAGACTCAGAAGCCAGCTAACCCTGCTCAGTGGATTGTGTGTATGACAGACTCCGGAGGAACCTTAGGGCAAGAACCAAGTCTAAAAATTCTAAGTGAGCTTTATTGTCATCATATCCCCAGAGACCCAGCTCAAAATGAAGAGAGTGAGAGTCTGCGGGCTTTTCTATGAATCAAATATTTCATAGAAGGCCTTTAAGACACATTTTAATTTTTTGGAGGGTATTCTTTACTTGCTGGTTCGAGAGAGAGTACAACACACCTCAGTTTTAAAATGAGAAGACAGGTCTGAGTCCCAGCTCCACTCTTTCTGAGCCATGACACCATGGACAGGCTACTCATTCTCTCTAAGTCCCACATTAGCAGGAAGAGGGTCACTGCTGCCAACCTCGCAGGGCTGTCATGAGCATCAAGAGGACACACGTAAGCTCAGGCACACAGGAAGTGTTCAATAAATGTGGTCCCTTCTTCCATAATGTGTTCCAGGTGGACATTTCCCAGTCCCTACAAGTGCGGGATCCCTATAGCAGTTGTGGTCCTTATGCTCAGGCCATCTAACCAACACCCTGTTCCAACATCTCACCAATGTAACTTTCAAAACATCCGGACGGATGCTACTTCCTGAGGAACACACCATCTCTAAAGTTTCACTATCAAGAAATGGCATGAAACCTTAGAAAGCATTTTATGTGAAATATGACATGAATACACATATATGAACAAATTTTTCTAAAAGTCAACCTTTTCTAAAACATTCATGTTTGGTATGTTGGCACAACCGACAGGAAACAATTACCAATCTCCAAAGACTTGGGCAATTGCAAGATATCTATCACCATAACCTTTGGTAAAGTTTTCCCAAAGAAACACCTGACATGGTATAGTTATCTGAAAAATCTATGGAAAAAAAAAAGGGTTGGGACCTAAAAACAATCTCCCAATAATTCTAAGTAACTGAGGAACCTGGAATGAACTTGGCTCTTCCTCCCTTGGAAGAAAGCTTGCTTGTCTGACTTGGTCAAGTGCTCCTCCGTAGACTTGTCCAGAGGGCCACTCTCTGGAAGGAGATGGTGGCACTGCTGTCATCTGTCTGATTCTTTAGTCACCCAACTAACATTTAAGAAAGTCAACTGATACAGTAATTTTTCTTAAGTTTATCAAAGAATGCATTCATTCTGAGTTTAAGTTAAGAATTTTTATACCTTAGCTTATAAAGACCTCATTATGTGTGACTGTTAACTCTGCAGAAATCATCATCTTCAAACTGCTTTGTTCTGTGGCATATAATTACGGTCCCACCTCTTCATTCAACAAAAAATTTATTGTGACTATAGCGCATACCTAATGTTTTAGGAATAATCCTTTGATGGGCTAATTTATTTGGATTCTAGCCTGAAAAATATGATTTCAATCATTTCTTAGCAAAGATGATCAATGAAAGAATAAAAAGATTTTGGCTGTATATGGGCCTCTAATTAAGCTATTTCTTCTCATTACATATTACTTAACAACAGAGAATAATAATTGCTAATATTTACTGAGCCCTCATGACGTGAAAGACATAATAATCCTAGGAGATAATTATTACCATCATTTTCATTTTACAGATGAGAAAATGGAGGCCTAATTAATATAGGACAGAGCCAGGTTTTAAATCATGGCCTGACCTAAACCCTGTTCTCATTACACTGTTTTACCCCAATGAGGTAAGAAATAACAGCTATTAGTTCAAAGGACTGACTTGTTCTTTGTCTTCTAGGTCACATCATAGAGCTGCGACTGCAAAGCTGAGAAATCCAAACCAGAGAAAAACTAGAATTTGACAACACTGCATTCTGGAACATGAACTCCAGCTTGCGGCTGTTAGGGCAAGCATGCTCTTCCATGAGCTAAATAAGCAGAAACATTCACAATGGAAAGAGCTGTGAGGGTGGTTGGGAGCAGCCCTATTTCCGGCACCCCTCAGGTCTACCTCTGGGGACACCGCTACAAACACTGGTGGAATACTACAGACATCATTAAATGCCCAAAGAGCGACCACACATTTTTAGTGACTATGAAATAAACAAATGTGCCCAAATGTAAGCAAGGCAAGGGTCAGAAATGGCAATAAGGAGAATATTATGTGCATTTCTTGCAGGTGGCAGAAATTGGCTTTCATTAATACAAGAGAGGCATTTCCAGGCTCTTACTGTATAAAACCTTGTGTTTTTTCAACTTCAAATAGACAGATTTTCTTTCTGGACGAGGTCAGAAATCACTAGGGCAAAATTAGCTACCCCACCGAATGTCGCCCTGCCACCTGAACTGTGAGGCGCCGTGATTTACTGCCTGGGAGTGGTGTTGGGCAAGATTTGAGCACACTGAGGAGGTGTCCCAGCTCTCCCTAGACTCTGTCCTCTCTCGTTTCTGTTATGTGGCATGTATGCCATGACCTATCCTGTATTAAACGCTGTAGATGTCCCATAACTCAGAAAGTGATCAATAACTACTTGTGGTTACCAGTAAGCCACACCTAAACTACTGGGTTTTACACTATTCTGTTTGATTCACATATTATAAACTAATGCAACCTTTTCGGATTTAGCTCACTCTTATGCTTTTTGCACACTACCGCTTGAGTAGTTTTTGCCTCTCCAACCAAATCTTCAGCTCTTTGAGGTTGAGAACCAAGCCTTAGGATTCTATCATGGCACCTGAGAGAAGCTGGTGTGAAGCTGGGCTCTAGATATTTGGACATGAAAACGGAATCAACAAATACTTGACTTCCTATCACGGAACCTCCGAGAACCTCCATCAGAATCACCTGGGAAGTCTGGTGACTCCGAACAAGGATATCTGGGAGAGAGACCCAGGAAGGTGCATTTTAAACAAGCCTCTCAGGAGACTCTTATGCACGTGGAAGTTTGGGAACTAGAAAGCTCTTACATACAAATAAACACTTTTATGCCTAAATATATGTTTCAGACAAGATACGGGTAAGGTGTGAACAAAATAAAGTTTAAATAACACTTCCAATCTCATTTCCTCTTCTCTCCCATCTCTCTTCTCTCCACTGCCTGAATCACCCTCCTGGAGAAAAACTCCGATCAAGCCCTCCCCTTGCTCAAAACCTTCCCGATGATGAGAAATTAAAACCTATAGCTGTAAGCCTGTCATCTAAGAATCTCCACAGCCCACTAGCAATCAACACATTTTAAACAAGAGCACAAACTCTGGAGGCAGAATGAATTTAAAGCCCAGCTCTACCAATTATTAGTTGTGTGACCTCAGGCAAGTCACTTAACCTCTGTGCCTCAGTTTCCTCACCTGTAAAATGGGAACAGTAACAGTATCTTCCTGATAGTGTTGTTGACAGGATTAAATGAATTAATACACACACAGCACTCAGAATAGTGCCTGGCACACACTAAGTACAATATAACCATTAGCTATTATTATTATCGTTGATCCCCTACTACTCACCTCACACACTACAATGTGTCCTACCTATTAACTCCTGCTCCTTGGGCATTTTCCCATATCACACTCTTCCCTCCATCTGTAAGACAGCTCCACACCGTCTCCGGGCCAAAAATGTCCAAACGACAAGACCCAAATCAACTGTCACTTGAAAGTCTTTAAAAAGTGTGTATGTTTCCTCATCTTCTAGATGATAATTCTCCTGGAGAGTCTGGGATAGTTAAAACAGTATGGTTTCAGGAATGAGAGAGACCTGGGTTCCAAACCAGGTCACATTTATCCTCCCTGAGCCTCATATTTCTCATATAAGTTCTGGATAATAATATCTACTTTGAAGGAGGTTTAAGCGACAAACGCCATCCACAGATACTCAAAAAGAGTCTACTGTATGGCCGATTGGTATATTAATAGAATTACCAATATTTGCATTTACTGAGTGCCAGCTACATACGTAGTGTCAGTGCCAGGCACTGGAGCTTTCAGAAAAAAAAATGCCCTGGAGAAGCACCGTTTTTCCATCAAGTTTACGGAGATAGGCAGGGAAACACAGAGCACAAACACCCCGGCTGGCTGTTCACACACCAGCCGCGACAAGGACAAACTAAACCACCTAACCCGTACGTGCACTCTGCGCCGGCTCTGGGGTGTGCCCGGGAAACAGAGGACAGCTCCTTCCTATTGGCCTTTCAGACCTTGACATCAAGACCACTCAATGGGCTTCGGCGGGGAGGACCCAACGCCGACAGCTGAGAGCCTGACAGAGGCTGGGCTCTCACTTTCTCCTCTCCATGAACGATGAGGGGCCGCCTCTTGTCCCGCCAAAGATCCCCAGTTTGACCCACAGCCTGACTCGCATTTGCTTCTTTCTTTTAAAGAAAACTCGCTTTTGCTCAAGTTCAGTTTTCTGAGCCGCGAGCTCGGAATCACAGAAGCTGGGTTCCAGCCTAACCCCTGTGTTGACTTTGGGGTTTCCCTTTCCCTTTCCTGAGCATCCGTTACCCTATTTTAAAACGGGAGCAATCGTGCCGCTTTGTGGAAGGACTACCTCGCTAATTAGACCTGAAGCCCAGCCAGGCGTCTATCAGGAGCCTAGTCGATTCCAGGCGCATTGTCCCAGGCCACAGTAGGCGTCCCTGTGGGGGGCGAGCGCCACGTCGCCCTCTCCCTCCGGCCCGGGGACGACCCTAGAGCGACAGACTCTGCCCCTGACCCCCGAGGGGGCACCGGCGAGGCCCAAGACAGGCCGGCCGTGCGGACGTGGGGGTCTCGGGAAGGGATGCGGGAGCTGGCCAAACGGGGGGTCCACGCCCGGAGACCAGGACTGCGGCTGCTCAGGACCCGGGCCTGGGTGAGGAAAGCCTCGCGCACCTCTTTCGACCCGTCCCCCACGCCCGTCCTCCACACCCCGCCCCGAAATCGAACCCGGGCCACCCGCTCGCCGCCCTCCGCCGCGCCGCTGCTCACCACTGCGCTCATCCCAGGGCTGACCTGGCTGTCTCGCTCGTGCGGAAGCAGAGGAGGAGTCGGCTGCTCCACTTCCGGAAGAAACCTAGAAAGGTCTGCGGAGAAGAGTTCCCACGGCCGGCGACCATAGAGGAGAGGCCGCACCCGACTCCCACACCCCCAACCCCGCGACCTCCCCGCTGCCTAGAGGGGCCACACCCAGGCCGAAGACGTCTGCGCCTGCGCACCACCGCCGATCCCGCCCTCTAGCTTGGACAGACCTCGGGCCAGGGCGTTACACTCCGAGGGTGAGGCGGTTCTCTGCGTCTGCTCCTCTGGGCCGTCTGTTGCTGTGCTTGAAGGACACATCTTTGCCCAGAAATTAAAATATTGTTAGACGACCGCACTGTACTCCCCACAAGGTTTTCTTGTCTTCATATTTTATGCAGAAAATCCGATGACCATGGCTAAAGTTCCGTTTACGGTATTAGAAGAATTGGGATTAAAATGACATTCTTATCACCATGTCTTTTCTCCCACCGTCTTGATCCGTTGAGAATTCTTGCTGATTATCGGTTTTAAGTCGCTGGCCTGGAGATTGTTAAACTCATCATTTGGGATGAGATTTTTTTTTTCCTACCGATCAAATTGGTAGAGTGAAAGGATGGGTAATGGCATGTGCTAGTGCTGGGAGTGTGTGAAGTCAGTTTCTGGAAGATAATCTGGCAATAGGTATCAGCATATTTTTTAAATCGTGTAAAAGGTACATAGCATAAAATTTACCGTTTTAACCAATTTTAAGTGTCCAGTTCAATGGCATTAAGTATATCCACATCCTTGTGCAACCATCATCATCATCATCCATCTCCAGGATGTTTTCATTTTCTCAAACTGAAATTCCATACCCATTCAAACAACTCGCCATGGTCGCTTCCCCAAGCCTCTTTTAGCCACCATTCTACTTTTTGTCCCTATGAATTTGACTACTCTAGGTACCACATATAAGTGGAATTATTCAGTATTTGTCTTGTTCTGATTGGCTTATTTCATTTAGCATAATATCCTCAAGGATATTATGTTGTAGCATGTGTCAGAATTTCCTTCCTTTTTGGGGCTGAGTAATGTTCCCTTTTATGTATATATCACATTTTGTTGATGATACTTGGGTTGTTTCCACCTTTTTGCTATTGTGAATAATGTTGCTGTGAATGTGGGTGTGCAAATAGCAGTTCAGGTGTCTGCTTTCAATTCTTTTTGGTATATGCCCAGAAGCAGAATTCCTGCCTTGTATTGTTACTGCACAAAGGGCACAATCAGCTCGCTGTGAGACAAAAGCCAATCATCAAGAGGCAAGATAGTGGCAGCGAAAGGGCATTTTATTATAGCTTGCTAGCAAGAGGGAAGATGGGAGACTGATGTCCAAAGGAGCCATCTTAAGGGGACACAGAACCTTGAAGTAGTTATATAGGCCAGTGGGTTATGGGGAGGAGCTTAGGAATGTTGACTCTCTGGTGTCATCGACTGGGAGTCACCACACCAGGTCTTTCAATTTTCATTGATGATGGCTATCAGCATAGACTCTCTGTTGGGGGGTGATCACATTCCTAAGGACTCAAAACGAAGTTATCATCTTATTGCAGCTGGGAGGTACATGTACAAGCAGGGGTCATAAAATCCACAGAGCAGGTGGATCTCCTGGAGGGTGCATATCCAGCTGGGTTAGTCAGTCAGAGGTCATTCAAAGTTACCATATGGTTTCTTTTCTACAATATGGCTTCCCTTTTGTTAACCTTGTGTTGAGCCGGTAGCAATATGATAATTATAATTTTAATTTTTTAAGAACCACCATACTGTTTTCCATACTGGCTGACGGATTTTACATTCCTACCAGCAGTGCACAAAGTTCCCATTTCCCACTTAATGGGTGTGAAATGGTATCTCATTGTGGTTTTGAATTGCATTAGTGATGTTTAGTATCTTTTCATGTGCTTGTTGGCTGTTTGTATACCTTCATTGGAGAAATGTTTATTCAAGTTCTTTGTCCATTTTTAAAGTGGATTGTTTGTTTTTGAGTTCTTCAGTTGTAGGAGTTCTTTATATATTATGGATGTTAAGCCTTTATCAGATTTATGATTTGCAAATATTTTCTCCCATTCCGTGGGTTGTCTTTTCACCTTGCTGATAGTGTCCTTCATACACAAATGTTTTCAATTTTGATGTAGTTCAATTCATCTATTTTTTCTTTTGTTGCCTGTGCTTTTGGTGTCATAGCCAGAAAAATCATTGCCAAATCCAATGTCATGAAGCTTTTTTTTTTTAATACTTATTTACTTATTTTTTAGGAAGATTAGCCCTGAGCTAACATCTGCTGCCAATCCTCCTCTTTTTGCTGAAGAAGACTGGCCCTGAGCTAACATCCATGTCCATCCTCCTTTACTTTGTACGTGGGATGCCTACCACAGCATGGCTTGCCAAGCGGTGCCATGTCTGCACCTGGGATCCCAACCGGCCAACCCCAGGCCGCCAAAGCAGAACGTTCGCACTTAACTGCCGCGCCACCGGGCCGGCTCCGCATGAAGCTTTTTGACCTGTGTTTTCTCCTAAGAGTCTTATGGTTTTAGCTCTTATAAATATAAGAGCTATTTGATCTATTTTGAACTGTTTTATATGGTATTAGATAAAGGTTCAACTTCATTCTTTTGCATATGGATGTCCAGTTTTCCCAGCATCATTTGTTGAAAAGTGTGTCCTTTCCCCCATTAGATGATCTTGGCATCCTTGTTGCAAATCATTTGACTATATATTAGGGAGTTTATTTTGGTGATTTCTACCCTATTTCATTGGTTTCTATGTCTTTGTGCCAGTACCACACTGTTTTGATTACTGTAGCTTTGTAGTAAGCTTTGATATTTATTAAATTTAAATTACTTAAAACTTAAATTTAAGTGGCCATATGTGGCTAGTACTTTCCATTTAGGACTTTTTTAGCTGAAATAAGAAGGCAGAGAGACATTTCAAGCTTGAGGTTTGACTATTTGTCATGCTGGTATTTTCCCTTCCCATTCCGTCTGAACTCTAGAGTTCACATTCACTGCTGCCCTCACTAGGGAAAGTGGGCATGATTTCCTATAGGTAAATTTCCATTGAATGAGGCAAGGAAAATGGACTTGTGGGACCCGGTGAGGAAAATATGGCCAGACTCTTATTTGTTCTTTAGAGTACTTAATATTTCCCTTTGGGGGAGGAAATGGTTAAAAGAGGTTTGTACTCACTATTTCTCTCGAACCTCAGAAGTGCAAATGTAGGGAAATGTGATAGCAAGTCAAAACTCTAATCATATCTTGCATTTATTTATACAGTGCTTTAAAATTCACATACGTTATCACCACTGGTCTCAATCCTATTTAGTGGATGAGGAAATTGAGGTTTAAGGTTGAATACATTCCAGGCCTAATAAATGACAGAACTAGCCTTTGAAAACAGGTCTTGTAACCAACTTCATAGTAGGCTTTTGTGAAAGACCAAAGTGAATTCATTCACTCAACCCATGTTTATTGAGCATCAACTATGTGTCAGCACTATTGTAGGCTCTGGGGATTAGCGGCAAATGTCAAACCAACATAAAATTCTGTTAGGCAAGACCTTATCTGTGCCGCTTGCCCTAGTATTCCCAGTGGCTTGTGCAGTAAATAAAGGTCTCAGCTTTGCTTTCCACATCGCCTCTCTAAGTAATCCTGCAATTATTCTTATTGCAACACCCTGCTCTTTCTCTTCTTGGCGATTATCGTGTTTCCAGGTGGTAAATTCGATTCCTATCTGACTTTCTCCTCTTTCACCAAATTAAGCTCCACGGGGGCAGGGACCTTGTCTTTTTCTGTTCATCACTGTATCCCTGCCCCTTTCAGAGCGCCTGGCATCCAATAGGAGCTCAAGAAATATTTGTTTATCAACTGGATGTCAGAACACGCCCCCTTGTAAAGCGAACGCCGCAAGAACGGACCTCACAAACTTAGGCCACGCCTTGGGGACTTCGATAGCCACGCCCCTCCCCAGTCCCTGGAAGGAGAGGGAGGAGCCCAGCCGGGGCCCCGCCCCCGCCGTGACGCAGGCGCACGTGACGCTCACCGGCGCGCGCTGTTTCCGGAAGTCGCCGCCGGGGTTCCCGGAGCTGCTGCCTCCGTGGTCGCCGCGGAACTCCACGCGTAGCACGGCGGAGGCGGGCTGGCGCGGGCCCGGGGTTGCGGCCGCCCTGCAGAATGGAGATAATCAGGAGCAGTGCGTGTCCGCCACACACCTCCCCGCGTCCTGGCGGCCCCCGCACCCGGCCTGCTAGGCCCAGACCACGGCCGGGCTGCTCGGCGGGGCCTGGCGCTGTGGCAGCCCCTCAGGGGTTTGTCCCCCTCCACCCCGTGCGCCTCTTGGGGCCATGTCCATCTGTGGCCCGTGCACCCCTACGAACTTTGTCCTCCCGCCCGGGCACCCCCTAGGCCTTGTCCCTCTGGCCGGTGCACCCTCGGGGCTTGTCCCTCTCTAGCCCATGCACCCCTCGGGGACTTGAGGCTTTCGGTTCCGTGCATCCGTCCAGGGCTTGTACTCCGGCCCGAGGTCTTAGATGCTCCTTGGGCCCTCCTTCCCTGTCCCCTTAGGAGCCTGTAGGCAGGAGCCACTTCTGAGCCTCTTCTCGGTTTCTCTGCAGATTTTAAGAGTAATCTTCATAAAGTGTACCAGGCCATAGAGGAGGCCGACTTCTTCGCCATCGATGGGGAGTTTTCAGGTATCCCTCGCTCGTAAGCTCGAGGCTGGCACCTTGCGCTGCACGGCCAAGGCTCCTGACCCCTTGCCCCTGGCTTCTGCCTGCTGGCCGCTCCTGCCTTTTTGTAGCCCTTGGGCAAGTCGCATGCGTTTCCTTGGAAACGTTTGAGAAGCGCGGAAGACACGCGAGGGGTTTGCGATTGTTCGGCGCGGAGAGCGGCAGATAGAGATTATGGTTTGTGCTGCTTAAAACAGTTTGATGTACGTGGTAGAGAGCTGCAGGGTTAGAGTCGGGCTTGTGTGTGCGGGTGGTAAAATATACGTAACCATGTTAACCATTTTCAAGTAGTTTTACAGTGCAGTGTCATTAAGGACGTTCACATTGTTGTGCAACCGTCTCCACCATCCATCTCCAGAACTTTTTCATCTCCCCGAACAAACTTTGTACCCATTGAACAATAACTCTCAATCCCTCCTTCCCCTCTGCCTTTGGCAACCACTGTTTCTGCCTCTGTGAATTTGGCTGCTCTAGGCACTTCTTATAAGTGGAATCATACAATATTTGTCATTCGTGACTGACTTTAGGGTCAGGCTTTTGCAGGTAAATGAGTGTGTTCCTTTATGCATTAGTGGAAATGTTCATTGCCTACCATGGGTGTGTATGTGTGTGTAATACTTTACCTACATTGATAATTGCAAGGATTTTTTCTTTGGATCGAAGATGAATTTGTCAGTTGTTGGAGTCAGTATGAACAGTTGGCTCCTTTTGGTGTAGATATCCACTTCCACTCCCTGATTTTAAAAAGCTCTTCAGCTCTTTCTAAAGGAATCCATGCTGGGGGTAAATACAGATCTATGGTTTTAGTTAAGCATGCTGTTTCTAGTTGGAGTCAATTCCCAAGGAAGCTAAGAGTTTTCACGAGAAATAATTTTCTCTTGACCTTGAAGATAACCTTTGTTGTATACACGTTATTCCAAACTGTTGGCCAAAACTGATACTCTAATGGTAATATACTTCAGAATTTGTTGATGTCTGATTATGCAGTAATCTTTTGAAAGCAGCAAAACTTATTTAATCATAGAGATACTTTTCTTAAATCATTACCGTGTTTTGAAAACCTGTTTTAGACACTGAAACTACCCATCAGCAAACTGAAATGTTCACATCTCTATATTCATTACTATAGAGTTTAGCTTGGTGGTCAGTGAAATGAATGCTGATTTTGAAAAAAGTAAGGAGCATTCCAATTAATCGTAATTCGCAAGAATATGAAATTATAGAGCCATTGGCTAGTTGACTGACATTTTTTACGCCAGCATTTATTTGCAAGTAAAAACATTTATTTCTTAAAATCTAGGAATCAGTGATGGACCTCCAGTCACTGCATTAACAAATGGTTTTGACACTCCAGAAGAAAGGTATCAGAAGCTTAAAAAAGTAAGTGAAGGTGCTAGAAAATCTTTTTTTTCCACATGTTGGTCCTCTTTATGTTGCACTATAGAGAAATATAATATTAAACTTACACATTAACTTCTGAACCCTAGCAACGAAACGATATTTTAGTGATGTTTAAAACAACAGCAAAAATAATTGTTTGCTGGAAAACATATTGGAGAAGGTTTAATATTTTCAATGTTAATTTGACTTATAGGAAATAGATGTGGTTCTTTGAACCTCTTGGAAATAGGCCTAATATGATGCTCTGGATGATGGATAGGTGCTTACTTGGGACATATATTAAGAAATGGGTATAAATTAATAATGCTTCTGATACATAATCTGTAATCTGTTCTAATCAGAAATATTCTGCCCAAGTTGAGTAATCAGAAAACTCACTTGATTGAGAATATTATTGCTCATGTAGAATATACAGCACTGTTTTGACCGATGTTCTGTTTCCCTTTTCCAGCATTCCATGGACTTTTTGCTGTTTCAGTTTGGCCTTTGCGCTTTTAAGTATGACTACACAGATTCAAAGTAGGTTATTTTAACAAGTGGTGGGAATTCTTTTGTCGTGACGTAACGTGAGCCCCTAAGTCTCCTCTTATCTTATTCTCCCCAGGTATATAACAAAGTCGTTTAACTTCTATGTTTTCCCGAAACCCTTCAGTAGATCCTCACCAGATGTCAAATTTGTTTGTCAGGTTAGTAGATCATTGAGTTTTTTTTCTGTTATGAGTTGCTGATGAGGCAGCGTGGAATTGCAGAATCAGAATTCTCTTTAGAATTTGCTTTTACCACTGACTTTGGGCTTTGGGCAAATCACTTCCCCTCTCTGACCTTCGGTTTTAGGGTTGTAAATTAGTGACACTATTATCTCCCCGTTTACTTCGGAATGAATTAAGGAGTGAGATTCAAGAGGCAGGCAGGTGGAAATCAGAACATGAGCCTTATTGTTACTAAAGCTGAATTGGAGGCATGGCTGGAGAATGTGGCTCTATTTGGGATTTTTAATTTCTTACCCCTGAATTGAACCTACAGATCAGGACCTGCACGTTTCTTCCCACCCCGCTCTCCTTGCACCCATCTCCAAGGGTAGAGCTTCATTTTCTGGAACAGCAGAGTGTGTGTGTTCATCCTCTACAAAAAGAGCGAACCTAGAAGGGGCTAAATTACATATGCTCAGTTCCTTTTCCCAAGGTCACTAATTTCGAAAGGGGAGGGGGAGACCACCGTTTCCTCCTGAGGAGGAGAGGTCTTACTTTATGAGCCGAGGTAAAGATGCAGAAGATGCCCCATAGGAACTTCCCCTTTAGAGCTGTAGCTGCCCAGGTAGACACTGAGTAAATATCAGTTTCCCCTTTCTGCTCTCTTTTAAACTGTTACAGTGGATAAAGAGAATGTGAATAAATGGTGTAGTGTATGGATACGTGATTAAAAATGAGTGTTAATCTTTTCTCCCTTGTAATCTTGTGCCCTGGCTTCTCTCCCAGTAGCAACGTTAGTTTGTTTGAGTCTTCCCATCTTTCCCTTCTCCTGCATGAAAGTGCTCACGCAGTTAAGAAAGCCTGGAGGGTAGGCTTCCGAGTGACTGAGTCATGTCAAATTCTTTCTCGTAATAAGGCAGGATATAAACAAATGAAACTGAGAGTTAATCATACGCCTAGGGCTGAAGAGAAAAGGAGAAGGTGATTTGGGTCTTAGAACTTGCTTTCTTAAATTAGCAAGTAAACCATAGTTGGTATTGGTGTGAAATTTGTGTGGATATAGTTTTCCAGCAGTACCAGGAGAAGATGGTTACTTACGGTGGGTTCCACGGTTCAGCCAGATGTTGGTCAAATAAAAACAACCAGTGGCAGTGAGACACCCTGGGGATGACACGCTCTTCTAAAAGAGCAACACAAGTACTATTATTCTACAAAATGTGTTGGAGACAGATCAGAGGAACTCTACCCACTGTACAAGGCCATTCTGCGGTTACACCGGGAACGCTTCATGTGGTTCCAGTTGCCAGCCTCTCCTTAAGAAAAAAAACATATAATAAACTTGGAGACAGGCCAGAGACTAATGTCTAAAATGCGCAATCGGATAAAAATGCTGCAATTCTCTAATCCTGAAAAGCAAAGGCAGTGAAAAGGTTTAGACTCAGTAGGTAAACATATGAATTGTATGGATGGGGTAAGTGATAATGTCTTTGAATTTTCTTTTTTTCATCCTTCATCTAAGGTGGTTTTTGTCTTGTTTAAAATTCTGTGCCTGCAGCAGGGTTGCGTCTTACAAGGGAGTTAGGTTCTAGAGTCAGTAAGTAGTGTGAAAATTGTGTCATCAAAAATCACTCTTGAAAAACTTTTTGTTGTTTTTTCTGCCGATGAAGATCTTCCTTCAGCTAACATCTGTTGCCAATTTTCCTCTTTTTGTATGTGAGCCACCACCACAGCATGGCTACTGACAGATGAGTAGTGTGGAACTGAACCTGGGCTGCTGAAGCGGAGCATACCAAACTTAACCACTGGACCACTGGGCTGGCCCTTGAAAAACTATCGCCCTTAAAGCAGATAGGTTTGGGGGTAAAACAACCTAACATGCTCTTTGAAAAATAAGGGTCTGTACACACAGTGAGACGCTCACACACTAGTCAGGACATGGAGGAATGGGCAGATTGAGAACTGCACACATGGCCAGGGAATGTACCCATCCAGTGGAATGGCAGGTGGAATGGCGCGGCATTTACGTTGTTTTCATCTCCTTTCCTTCTCTTCCTCCTTTTTCTGACTGAACATCTATAGTTGAATTCATGGAAGATATTACATACACAGTTGTGAAAAATCAAAACATTGCTGCTATCTGTAGAGTAAAAAATTAGTTCTTTTTTTCCACTATCTTGCCCATGCCACTTCCTTCCCCATTTCACTCCTTTTCTCCAGCTTGTATGTACAGTCATGTGTTCTTTAACAACTGGGATATGTTCTGAGAAATGCATCATTAAGTGATTTTGTTGTTGTGCAGACATCACAGAGTACACTTGCACAAACCTAGAAGGTATGGCTTACTACACACCTAGGCTCCATGGTACTAATCTTATGGGGTCGCTGTCTGTTGTGTCTGTTGTATCACAGTCTGTCATTACTGAAACGTCATTATGTGGCACGTGACTGTGTGTGTACATATACACATATGTCTATACATGTATACATAGTTTTAGCTTTTTTCTTTAATATACACAGAATCCTAATATTCATATTTTATATAACTTGCATTTTCCACTCAACACAATGTCTTCATATTTCCTAGTATAGATATGTGTAATTTATTTAATTGGAATTTAGAAGCTTTCCAGTGGTTCCCTATTTTAAACAATGCTGTAGTCAATATCCATGTACAGTATATCTTTGTGTATATGTAGGAATATTTTTATAGAATAGATTTCCTGGAAAGGGAATTGCTGACTCCCAGGGCATATGCATTTAAAATTTTGATAGATGCCTCAAATTGTCCTCCCAAATAGCTACTCATCTCTCAAATCCTGAAAATGGTACATTTACGACAAATCAAAGGTAGTGGATAGTAAACCACAAATAAATTTTATTAGTTTGAAGGTTTTTATTTTTTTTTTTTTGCTGAGGAATATTCACTCTGAGCCAACATCTATGCCAATCTTCCTGTATTTTGTATGTGGGTTGCTGCCACAGCATGGCCACTGATGAGTGGTGTATGTCCGCACCTGGAAACTGAGGTAGATTACGCCAAATTTACCCACTATGCGACGGGGCTGGTCCCCATTTTTTGGAAAATTGTGGTAAAAAACACATAATATAAAATTTACCATTTTAAGTGGTTTTAATTCAGTGGCATTAAGTACATTTACATTGTTGTGCAACCTAAAGGGTATCATTTGAGTGAAAAATATATAGTTTCAAAAAGGGAATAGATGAATCTTTGATTCTGGATTTTGTTTTTTGCGTTCATAATAGCTTACATCATTGGGAAATTTCAGTTGTACATTATTTCTTGTCCATCACCACATAAGTGCTCCCCTTCACCCCCTGTGCCCACCCCCACCCCCCTTCCCCTGGTAACCACTGAACTGTTTTCTTTGTCCATGTGTTTGTTTATATTCCACATATGAGTGAAATCATACGGTGTTTGTCTTTCTCAGTCTGGCTTGTTTCACTTAGATAATTCCCTCCAGGTCCGTCTTTTGTTTCCCTTTCTGAGAAGACATGGTATTCAAAAAGATCCTTTTAAGTTCAATGTCAGAGTGTACTACCTGTATTATCTTCCAGGAGTTTTGTGGTTTCAGGACTTATCTTCAAGTGTGATCCATTTTGAGTTTATTTTCTTATATGGCGTGAGAGAATGGTCTACTTTCGTTCTTTTGCATTTGGCTGTCCAGCTTTCCCAACACCACTTGTTGAAGAAACTATCTTTTCTCCATTGTATGTTCTTGACACCTTTGTCGAAGATTAGCTGTCCGTAGTTGTGTGGTTTTATTTCTGGGCTTTCAGTTCTGTTCCATTGATCTGTGTGCCTGTTTTTATACCAGTACCATGCTGTTTTGATCACTATGGCTTTGTACATTTGGAAGTCAGGGATTGTAATGCCTTCAGCTTTGTTCTTTTTTCTCAGGATTGCTTTAGCAATTCGGGGTCTTTGGTTGCCCCATATGAGTTTTAGGATTCTTTGTTCTGTTTCCGTGAAGAATGTTGTTGGGATTCTGATTGGGATTGCATTGAATCTGTAGATTGCTTTGGGTAGTATGGACATTTTAACTATGTTTGTTCTTCCAATCCATGTGCATCGTGATTCTGGATTTTTAAAGAGAAAGAAGTTAGGGGGGCTGGCCCCATGGCCCATTGGTTAAAGTTCCATGCACTCCACTTCACGGCCTGGGGTTCGAGGGTTCAGATCCCAGGTGCCGGCTCTACTTCACTCATCAGCCATGCTATGGAGGCATCCCACATAGGAAGTTGAGGAAGACTGGCACAGATGTTAGCTCAGGGCTAATCTTCCTCAAGCAAAAAAAGAGAATTGGCAATGGATGTTAGCTCAAGGTGAATCTTCCTCACAAAAAAAAAAAAAAAAGAGAGAGAGAGAAGGAAGTTAGGATTTTTTGGAATCTAGTGACAAGAGAGACAAAAATGCCTTTCCATCATCTATCTTTTGGTGCCCTTGTCGGTGATGGAATATTCTGGTGGGCAGAATTGTAAGACTACTCAGGCATGATAGAGAGAAAGGAGGCTTGTGGCCCAAGTCAGAAAACACTGGGTCTTGGTTCAAACCAGCATAAAAAGGGAAGACGTGGGGGAAAAGGTTGCTTCTTTTAAACCACAGAAAACCTGGACGTGATGGAAAATGACGTGCATGTACCCAAGTTTGTGTTTGTGTGTCTGTGGTAAGATTGTCTTTTTATATCCTGCCGTATTTTTAAAAGAATTTGTTGGCTAACAAGGATATATACAGTATTTACCTTTTAATGTAAAGTTAAAAAAATAAATGAAAAATTGAGAGAAAAGAAAAATGAGGATGTGATTACCATGGTATGATTAGAACACAGAATTTGTGCCAAAGAAAGTCAACTGTTTGTCTCTGAGCCTCCTACCCAAAGAGGGAAACACACAGTCAGTTCTGTAGTCCATAGGATCGAAACAAACCAGGGCTCAGAAGTTCAGCTTTCCTCAGACTAGAGACCTCAGTAAAGAAGTCATTAGTATAGAAAACCTTGTCTTCAACCCTCTCTCTAAAGCGAATACTGGAATGAGTTTACTGGGACTGGTACAGTGTCCTTCCAACTAGAGTGACGGTGTCGTGTCAAAGTACAGTTCAGGAAAGGTAGTTTTGTGAGTTCTGTGAGAAGGTGTGTCACCTTCTCATGTTATGATGTAAAATAAGAAGAGAGTTCGACTAGTGACAGTAATGTTTCCCACTCTTCCATCACTTTGAGTAAGAACTTTGTGATTTTGCCATTCTTGTGCACCATGTGTAATATTATTTACTTAATACTTTAATTTAAATTTACTTGCATATTTCGACGCACTCTAAGTTTGAGATCTGTTTGATAAGTCTTGTTACTGGGAACTTTTCTCTGTTTTGGTCTTGAATGTAAAGAACATCCAATTAAAGATTTGGGGTTTTTTAGAATCTAATTTGAAGTGGATATTGATGTCTTACAACCTGCACATGTGAGCCACCTTACACTTGAAGCTGGGGTGAGGTAATATGAATACATTTTATTTCCGTTGATAGTCTCCTAGTCAATATAGTGATTGGGAGGTTTTTGCCTATTGGGAGAATATATGTTCACCAAGTAAAATTTTCTTAAATATTGTGAAACAAAGGATATTTGTCGTAGAAGCTATACAGGAGAAGAACCCAGATAGTTTGAGTAAGTTAATGGGTTATTTGACAGCCTTGGACTAGAATTCCCATCTTCTGACCTTTGGTCTGTCGCTTCCTTGCCTGGTCGTCACTCCCGAGTTACTGCTCTGCTTCTGTTGACGTACCTGCCGCTAACATCCCCGAAATGTATCTTCTCTTTACTCTTGTTTCAGAGCTCGAGCATTGACTTTCTAGCAAGCCAAGGATTTGATTTCAATAAAGTTTTTCGCAATGGTAAGACTGTGTGACTTATCGTTAGAGCTTATAAATCTGGATTTGGTTGAGAATTATCTTTTTGTGCCTGCTCTCTGAGACAGAATCTCAGATTTCCAGTACATCACGTGCAGCCTTAGAGTTTTTAAAAACTCTTTCTTGTGTCTTTTTTTTAAGCCTAGTCAACCATGAACTGAACAGGAGAGTAGCTCCTACTTCGTTCAGTTCTGATGAGGCCTCTCAAACTCCTGATCTTATTGAGTGGAGTTTGTTCTACTGATGTGACCTAGTCGCCCAACAGACCGCCCATGGGGAGCGTTTCCCTCTTCCTTCAGTGAGACAGGTGGTCTGGTATAGCACATTAAAAAGTGGCTGTGCTCCCGTGGTGCTGTAATGCAGGGCTCCCTTTCCCAGTTGGCGTTTGCTGTATGATTGGAGATGGTTTCTCCGTTTCTCATGGGAGAGAAAAAGTCTCCACACACTGCACAGTCGTCATGGCTGACTTGCTGGTGTGATGGGCTGGTGAGCACCCTGAGGAAGGGGCTGTCTCATTCCACATCTCCGGGGCATAGCATGATTCCTCTTCTGTGTCAGGGAGGTGGCCTTTATTTTATTTTTTAAAGATTGGCACCTGAGCTAACAACTGTTGCCAATCTTCTTTTTTTTTCTGCTTTTTTCCTCAAATCCCCCGAGTACCTAGTTGTACATTTTTTTTTAGTTGTGGGCCCTTCTAGTTGTGGCATGTGGGACACCACCTTAGCGTGGCCTGACGACCGGTGCCATGTCGGCGTCCAGGATCCAAACCAGGGAAACCCTAGGCCACTGAAGCGGAGCGCATGAACTTAACCACTCGGCCACGGGGCTGACCCCGGTGGTGGCCTTTAAATATTCAGTGAATGAGTGCTGGACTTTAGAGCACCCCTGGGTGGTTTTCCTTCCTCCATTCATTCATTTCCAGAAAAGTGTTTGGGAAGGCGCCTGGTCTTCCCAGCAGTAGGCAGCACCTGCTGCTGTAAGGTCAATAACTACTTTTAATTGCATTATTCTCATAGATTGTATTCTTTCCCACGGTGAATGTAGATTTATTGAGTGAGGTGAGGAAGGAGATTTATCTCAACAAAAGTACTAGAACACAGGCTTCAAGTGAAGTCTCTTCTCCCCAGTGTGATCTCGCGAGGCTTTTAGAACCCATGCCGTGTTGTGTTTTAATTGCTTCGGTGGTGCTGCATCTTAATTTCTGTTGTTGATTTTGATTTTTGGAAATACTAAAAAAAATTCTGGAACCAAAACTGCTTAACATAATGGGTGAACCAGCTGGGTAACCCAATTTGGGTATTATAAAATAATTTTTTCCTTTGATTCACACTTGCCTCTGAAAGCCATTATACAAGTTCCAAATGTAGTTAGGGCGCCATATTGGAATAAGTACAAAATCTTTTGAAGGAACTACTTGTTTTACTGTTTATCATCTTATTTGTTTTGTTTATTTATTATGTTGTTTGTTGTTATGTTTGTTGATTGTCCTTGTTTTATAGTCAGACGTTGGAATATTTCAGTCACAATGGAATCAGGGCTCCCAGGCCATCTCTTGTTACCAAAACTCTTACCCCATGCTGTTGTTGCTACTCTCTCAATCTGATCTGGACCTTCACCTCTCTGCTTTATCAAATCTTTCCACTCCGGCTCCATAAACACCAGACCCTTTTCTCCCGGCAGTCTCCTCGGCAATTCCTTTGACTTCCCTCTCAGAAATGGAGCCAGGTGATTCCTCTTGTTACCATTCCCCTCGCCACCTTCTCTTAAACAGATGCTTTTACCTCTCTCTCTGTATCTCCAGCCAGGCAGCCGTAGGTATCCTTGTTCCTCATGACATTTTCAAACCACTTCTGAGGAGCCACAGTTCTCAGGGCTGTCACCCAGCTCTGCCATCCTTCTTTCTGCTGACATTCACCAGCAGGCCTGGCTTGGGCTCATTGTCTTTCTCCCCACCCCACCTCTCTCCTCATTCTACATAACCTCAGCATCCGCAGGGATGACCAGCGAATGCTCTGTCTTGTCTGTTTCTTGGCCACGTGGTCAGCAGTCCTTGCTTCTACCTCCCCTTAGCCGTCTTTGTATGATGGATAAAATAGAAGATGGATAGTATGGATTGGTCGCATCGTGGGTCTGATCACCAGTAACCATGCCCTTTCCGACAGTTCTCTTTGAGAGCTCTGCCTCATGTCCCCTCGTTCACGTGCCTAGGGCCTCATTCAGCCATCTGTGGACCCCCGTTGCTCTTTCACTAGCGGTTACATTCCGCTCTTCTGTCCTGGCTTCCTCCTCGCTCACGTGGTCCCATTATCCTTCCCTTGCTTCTCCCTCCCTCCATTGCACTTGCTTGCATCTGACCCTCCACCTTCTCTGTTTTTGAGCATCTGAATATTGCTGGAAAACATGACACGCTTGAGCTAATTTGTCACTTTAAATTCACGACCACTAGCTTCAAATAAGCATTCAGTTGTGCTCAAACATCCTACTTTTCTGCCTTAGAAATCCTTTTTCCAACTAAAATGTCTGTTTTTTACCATGTCTTTCTGCAAACCTCCCACCCCGGCAGATGACCATGCCTCTCAATGAAAGTGGAAGACATCAGAGAAGAGCTGCTCCGTGTTCCCACTGCCACACCCACGGGTCTACCCTCCCAGTCTGGACCCAGCCTTTTTGCTTCTCTCCTTTACAGTGAAGAGGAGTCCCTGCACATGCCAAAGGCTGGTCTCCGTCTCCTTAAGCATGGCTCCTCCAGTTTACTCTTCTCTCTCCTGGATTATTTTCCCTTCTCTACTGGATTGTTCCTGTCAACATTTATAAGCATGCTCTAAGTACAGAGCTTCTTAACTTAGTCCGTGCCTCCTCCCCTCCACCCCATAGATAGAATTCAGGAGTCTGTATTGAGGGGGATGGATTCACACCTGTGTTTTCCCTAACCTTGAACTGAATTTGGTAGTTTCTTCCATTATGAATGAAGGCAACACCCCTAGCAGTGTTAGCAGGATCTGGGAGTGTGTCAGCAGTGAAATCTCAGGTATCTTCAAATGGCATTTTAGTTGTTGCAGATATCTTGAATATTGCTTATATTTGTCAGTACTTTGACATTATCATAGTTGTTTCAAATGCCAGTAGATCTTGTTATTTAATGTGTTGACCAAGAAGCTGACATACTGTATTACTGTATAGCAGATTTAGAAAAAGCACTTTGGTAACTATTTCAGTATAATTACCTCCCTTTATAATCCTCTGTATTTTATTTTATGTATTTAAAAACATTATTCTGAGGCAGGGTCTGTAGACTTCACCAAACTGCCAAAGGGATCAGTGGCGCTTGGAGGTTAAGCACACCTGCAAGACTATCTCCATCTTGAAATAACCCAAACCAAACAAAAACTAAAGCCCCTCCCTTGATTGCACTTCCCTTTCTCAGCCTATGATGCTCCCACTCAGAGCAAAGCACCTTGAACAAATTGTATGCTCTCCCTTTTCCTGCTTCCCCTCCAGTGTTTTCTTCACTCAGCCCAGCTGGGCTTCCTTCTGCATCCTTTCACGGACACTGCAGGTCGGTCTGCCGCCCATGCCTGCCATGATCTCAAATCCAGCGACTCCCTCTTTGTCCTCATCTCATTCTACTTTGTGGCACAATTTGACCCAGTTGATTACTCCCTCCTGCTCTCCTCCTGGCTTCCAGAGGGCTTCATTTCCCCTGGTTTTCTCCTGCCTCCTCAGTGTCCTGATTGGCTCTTTCTCATCTCACCAGCTTCTAAATATTACTTTTCCTAGTTGGTCTCTTATATTCCGTGGCTTTACTTTTTTTATCATTAGATTTGTTTTTGGAGATAATTTCAGACTTATATAAATGTTGCCAAAATACCATGAAGAATTCCTGTATACCTTCCCTCTGCTTCCCCAGAAGTCAGCTTTGTACTCTGCTTTGTCATCCTTTCTCTCTTTGTGTATCTATATATATATATATAATTTTTTTCCTGAACCATTTTAGAGTAAGTTGCAGACCTGGTGTTCCTTTATCCCTAACCACTGCAGTGTGTATTTCCTAAAACCAAGGACATTCTCTCACGTAACCACAGTACAGTAATCCACTTAGGAAACTGACATTGCTCACTGAGTTGTCAAATCTTTCTTTTTTTAAATCCTGAACAGCTTCTTAGTCTGTCTTTAATTTTCGTACCTTGACATTTGTTTTTTTGGGTTTTTTTGAGGAAGATCAGCCCTGAGCTAACATCTGCTGCCAATCCTCCCCTTTTTGCTGAGGAAGACTGGCCCTAAGTTAACATCCATGCCCATCTTCCTCTACTTTATGTGTGGGATGCCTGCCACAGCATGGCTTACCAAGTGGTGCCATGTCTGCACCTGGGATCCGCACCAGCGGACCCCAGGCCACCAAAGCAGAATGTGCACCAGGTTGGCCCCAAATACTTTGTTTTTGAATAGTGGAGCCCAGTTATTTTGTAGAATGCCCCTCAATTTGAACTTGTCTGATGTTTCCTCAGTCAAGTCCAAATGAATTTATTCTTTTTTGGCAGGAATACTACAGAAGCGAGTGTGTGTGCTTCTCAGGGCATCATATCAGGAGGCACATGATGTCAATTCGTGCCATTACTGGTGATATTCACCTTTTTTATAATTGTGGGAAAATACTCATAAAATTTACCATCTAACCATGTTGAGTTCAGTAGTGTTGGGTACCTTGATGTTGTTGTGCAACCATTGGTGTTGTTAACTTTGATCACTTTTCACCAGTTAGTTTTAGCATCCATTGATGATTCTTGCTTGAAACAGTTATTATTGACAAATGGGGATTTTCTAATTCCATCATTCTTTCTACAAAGTTCATTAGTGTCCCGTGGCTTTTAATACCATCCATACCCTCTGATACCTAAATTTATATCTCAACACCTTTCTTCTGTGTTATAGACTTATATCGGCAATTCTTAATTTAAATATACCCTTAGATGATTTAGTATATCCAGGAGGTAGCTTTTGATTTTCATCCTTGGAGTCCTAAACCTATTCTTTGCCTACTTTTCCCCACCTCAGTTAAGTGGCCTTACCATCTTCCCAATTGCTTAAACTTAATAGCATCGTTTTTGATTTTGCCCTTCCACTTATCCCTCACCTCCTGTATATCAGCAAGTTCTGTATCTCCTCTCTCTCTCTCCCTCTCTCTCTCTTTTTTTTTTTTGGTGAGGAAGATTGGCCTTGAGCTAATGTCTGTCAATCTTCCTGTTTTTGCTTGAGGAAGATCGTCACTCAACTAACATCTGTGCCCGTCTTCCTCTGTTTTGTATGTGGGACGCCACCACACCATGGCTTGATGAGCGGCGTGAGGGTCTGTACCTGGGATCCAAACCTGTCTCTCCTATCTCTAAAATCATTCTCTCCATCTCTATAGTCTACACTAAGGTCACAAACTATGGCCTGCTGCCTATTTTGTAAGTAAAGTTTTGTTGTGACACAGTCATGCCCGTTCATTTACTCATTGTGTATTACTTTTCTCATGCTACAAGAGCAGAGCTGAGAGGGGCTGGCCTAGTGGTGTAGCAGTTAAGTTTGCACGCTCTGCTTTGGTGGCCCGGGGTTTGCCGGTTCGGATCCCAGGTGCAGACCTATGCACTACTTACCAAGCCATGCTGTGGCAGGCGTCCCATATATAACGTAGAGGAAAATGGGCACAGATGTTAGCCCAGGGCCAATCTTACTCAGCAAAAAGAGGAGGTTTGGTGGCAGATGTTAGCATAGAGTTAATCTTCCTCAAAAAAAAAAAAGAGTAGAGCTCAGTAGTTGCATCAGAGACCCCCATATGTCCCACAAGCCTAAAACATTTACTGTTTATCCCTTTAAGAAAAAGTGTTGATCTCTGATCTAAGTGGTCATCTCTTGCCTGGATACTTACGGCGGACAATTGCTTCTGGGTGACCTCCCTACTTCAACTCTCATAGAAGTCGAAATGATCCTTTAAAAACATGAAGCAGATAGTGTAATTATCTTGCTTAAAATCTTCTAATGGCATCCCAATGCTCTTAGAATAAAATAAATTCTTACTGTGGCCTGTATGGGCCTGCACACTTTTGCTCCATCCTGTCTCCCACCCGGTGTCATGCCGCTCTCCTGCTCACTATGTTCCGGCAACACCAGCTCCCTTGCTGTTTTTGGAATAGTCCAAGCCATTCCCATCCTCTGGGCATTTGTACTTATTCTCCTGCCTGAAATACTCTTCCCTTGGCTCTTTGCACGTCTGATTCATTCTTATCCTTCAGGTCTTCTGTCACAGCGGCCGTCTCTGATCATCCTGTGTAAAGTCATTGCCTTCGCTACAGAGCAGGGTGTGTCTACATTGTTCACTGTTAAATTTCCCAGTGCCCGATACAGTGCCTGGCACAGCGTAAGTGCCAAGTAAAAATTTGTTAGAAGAATGAATGAATGGAGTCTGTGAATAGACAAACATGTTTCAAAATCATTTGCTTTTTCCATTACTTTTTGAGGCATAGTTAAATATAGTAAGTCTTTCCTGAGTACTTTAGACTCTTTGGTTTGTTTAAAAATTTTCATATGCAACAGTTACTTCTGCTAATGCATTCTTTTAAAAACTCTGTTTAGGAATTCCATATTTAAATCAGGAAGAAGAAAGACAGTTAAGAGAGCAGTATGATGAAAAACGTTTACAGTCCAATGGTGCAGGAGCTCTATCCTATGTGTCTCCTAACACTTCAAAGTGTCCCGTGACGATTCCTGAGGATCAGAAGAAGTTCATTGACCACGTGATGTAAGTTCCTAAACCGAAACCAGATGTGCATTGAGGAATGTGTATTGGGCAGGACTGACATCGGCATCTGAAATTGGCACTACACGTGCACAGTACACACAGCAGTGTGATATTGTGAGTGGCAGGATTTAATTGTCACACATCTGAATTTGTGTAACAACAGCACATTGTAAATAGAATTCTGTGCACTGTACGTAGACGTGTCACATGTCACTAGGCAGGAAACTCTCAGCAAGTGAGTGGACCTCCTGCATGGACCAAGGGCCTGACAGCGCTGTCCAGTTTCCCTAAGGCAGAAGAATGAGGCAGGCCCGTCCAGATATTGGCAACATGTCCACGTGTTTTTCTCTCACAGAGAAGTTTCTGACAAGCAAATGTGCCACTGGAGGAGTGTCTGGTCTCGCTTAGCTTACTTATCCGTATAACTGCTTTATTAGAGAGGTAAAAATTTAAATCACTGGTATTGAAGAATCCTTGAGAGGTTGTCACTAGCTCATTAATAACAACAACAAAAAGAGTGTGCCTCAAGAAAGTATTTTCCTTTAAGCCTTACTGAACTAAAGTTACAGCATGATTTGGTAAAAATTACATCGTCATAGGTTCTCATATTTAGACGGCTTTTGAGTATGATTGTTCTGTTGGTTGATGACTTCATTCCTTAAGGGTACTGCTGGTCATGTTTTTATTTTAACTCCTCAGAGAGAAAATAGAAGATTTATTGCAGAGTGAAGAGGACAAGAACTTGGATTTAGAGCCGTGTACTGGGTTAGTTGCCATAAATATTTTCACATGCTCTTTTTTTGGAAAGGTAGGTGATTTCTGGCATGCATTTGGTCTCTTAAAAACACGTTCATAAATAGTCTTTTTATTCTAAATAGTTTCCCAAGACTTCAGCGCTAACTTTAGCATTAACACGGTGGGCACCACGGTATATTGAGACACTGAATGAACGCTTTGTCTCTTCCTGGAGGGAGAAAACTGTTGTGCAACTTTGTCTTTCAATTGTACTCAAGAGTGGCATAATTATTTTAGCCTTGAGGGGTACTTAATTCACAAAGGCTTTACAAGAGGAGTTCACTGTCGGTCTCCTTCCATCCTTTTAATTTCTCTCTGCTGTAAAAAAATCAGTGTTTCAAAGAGTCAGTGACTTAAACATCCTACTTTCCTTCTACTTTGTAACTAGCTTCACAAAAGTGTTTTAATGCGTCTGTCTGCTTTAAACTCTTTATGCAGCCGCAGGAAGTAATACTTTGGTTAGACAAGAACATCTGTAAAGGCCATAGTGTAATATTTAAGAACATTTTGATGAAGATAGTGGTGAGGAATCCTCGCACCTCAGACATCCTGCCTGTTTTTATTTGCTGTTACCCGTCGTTTCTAATGAAGTCTCTTTTAAAAATTAAATGTCTTTCCCAAACAGTGCTTGGTCAGTTAGGGTTTTCTTTTAATGAGCCCAAATCAATACCTTTTCTTTTGTTTTTATAGGTTCCAAAGAAAACTGATTTATCAGACTTTGAGCTGGAAGTAAGTGTTTACATTATATCTAAGAGCTCTGTGAGGGACCCAGGATTTAAAAACTAGTTATGATCTCTTAGCTCTCATTTCGTTTTTGAAATTCTACTCTTCTTGGGAGCTGACCATACCATGTTCTTGGGCAGTGCTTTATTTTGTTATTTTCCCCTACTTTATTAGGTGCCTACTTAATTTATTTTCTTTGTTATTGCTTCCTAGTCCATGCTTTAAAGCCTTTAAATTTGCTTTTAATTAGCTCTTTGGCCTTGTCCGTCAAGTCCTGGCTGTATAGTAGTTTTCTTCTTTGAAGGTATATGATAAAGATTTGGTTTTAAGCCCTAGGAAATACTCAGATGAATGCATTCTCTAAAGCAGAAGTTAGACCATGGATGGGTTTCAGGAGGTCTGTGAATCCCCTGAAATAATATCCAAAATTTTGTGCATGTACTTTGCTGGAGGTGTTGCCATTGGTTTCATTGTATTTTCGAGTGGTTCTCTAACCCCAAAATTGAACATCAATATTGGACAGATGGATGTTTGCATTTGACTTTGTTTGGGGTTCTTGTTCTTTCTTTAGAACCTGCTAGTGACGTGTATACTGGGGATTTACTTTGAACAAAACAGGAAAAGGGCTGTTGTCCTTTTTTTTTTTTTTTTGAGGAAGATTGGCCCTGAACTAACATCTGTTGTGAGTCCTCCTCCTTTTGCTTGAGGAGGACTGTCACTGAGTCACCATCTGTGCCAGTCTTCCTCCACCTTATGTGGGATGCTGCCACAGTGTGGCTTGATGAGCGCTGTATAGGTCTGCACCTGGGATCTAAACCCATGAACCCTGGGGTGCTGAAGCGAAGTGCACGAACTTAACCACTCTGCCACCAGGCCGGCCCCGCCCCAGGGTCATCGTCCTTTGACCAGGCTCCTTTCCTGTTGTATTATCCTTGCAATGTACTCCATGTGGATTCCAGCTTCCTCTCCTTGGTTGATGTAGGCTACCATGCCAAACTACAGCAGACCTCTCCTGAGTATGCCCCATACTGTCTAGAAGGACCTTCAAAATTCCACTTAGGAAGTAAGCATTATTATATTGGGAAGCAAGATTTGACTGTGTGGTAATGAATTGACTGTATTACGTGATGTATGACATTTCAGAAAATGCCTAAGTCCTAAAAAAAAAATTAATTTGAAATCAGATACATTTGTTTGTTGTAAGAGCAAAGATAGAGAAACATTTGGCAGCCGAAATATTATGGAATAAGCTTACTGTAAAGTCTTCATTGTAATAACACTTATTTCATATTTAATAAAACGTACTAAGCTAAATTATAGCCTTATAGTTACTTTTAAAATAGTTGGGGTTTTAGCTATCATTGTCTCATCTAATGTCATATTTTCTTTCTTTTCTTTAGGTACCCCAAAGGCATTCATGTTGAGACTTTAGAAACTGAAAAGGTAACCCCAAGAATTCTCCAGGGCCAACATTAAGCACATGCTATGATTCACTGACATTTTGAAAGGCAGAATTTACCCCTTGGCTCCCCCACCTATGAGTTGGGTGACCTTGGGCAAGTCATTTCACCTCTCTGAGCCTCATTTCTCTCATTTGTACTTCGAGGGTGAGCATGATAATGATGATCTTTCCCTGTCTCACAGCTTGTTTATGGTGATCACGTGGGTAAATGGGAGTAAATAGGCTTTGTAAACTTGAAAATATGCCAGTGTTAGTACATGTGCCTATGATGGCAGAAAGCTGTAATGATATGCATGAAAAAACGGCTTTCTGTGATGTGGGCAAGTAAAATTAAGTTTCAGAATCTGGGGCAGAAACATAAGCATAGCTGTTGTCATAGATTTCCAAGGTGCTCTGGTAGAACCCTGAGGGGTAATGGTGGGCTCGAGGTGGGTTCCTTTTGCAAAAGTTTAGAATTTTAGAATTTGATTATTGCTCTTAAGTCAGATGTCAAATAAGAGATTAAGAAAATTAAAAAGTCTTACTGAAGATAAATCTCAAACTTTGACATAGGAGGTTTTGTGGTGTGTTTAATTCGTACAAAATGCAGTATATGAAAAAGAAAGTGCTGGTATCTAACAAGTCACCAGAAAAATCTAGGATTTTTTTCTTATGTTCATGAAATATGATATAGGAATTTTATTTTAAAACCACCTACTTAGAAATTCATTCTCAAATGCAATGTAACATCTTAGTGTTCATCATGGAAAATGTCTTATTCTTATAGTCTGTTGGTACTTTTAACAGACTGTGTTGGGGTGAATTAATAAACCATGGGAAAATGTCATGGAATCCCAGAGGCAGAATTTTGTCTGTAATGCATCAACTCAACTTTTGGTGGCATTCAAAATACTTTGTGTATTTAGCCCATGAAAGACTGTGCAGTGGTAAAAATTATAACTTCTAATGGTAGCAGAATCTAAATTTTGAGGGGTCACGTTGCTTCCAGAAGATTGTACATCTGCTTTATGTCTTTTAGAAAGAGCGATATATTGTTATTAGCAAAGTAGATGAAGAAGAACGCAAAAGAAGAGAGCAGCAGAAACATGCTAAAGAACAGGTAATTGAGTTTTGTTTATTTCCTTTGGGTGAGAAATGGCAGCATAGATACTGATGTATTACGTTCTGTGTATTTGTAGATCATATGTTAGATTCTATTTAATGAATAGTTTTCTACCATGGAAGAAATGAATCGGTAGAAAAACCTAGAAAAAACGGGGGGAACTTAAAGTTAAGTATTTAGACATAGCCAACAAAGTGAGTCTGACATTGTGGTTGACCAATCTTCCCTCGTATGAAGCAGTCTCACAGAAAGTGTTCTTGATTAGCATTCAGATGGTTTGTCACTGAGCTTCACTGCCCACTGACTAATATCTCTATGTCTAACTTCAGGTATAGCTCCTAGTTTTCGTCAAACAAATTTAAAACATAGGATTTGACAGGTTACGATGACATCGTCGTATTTGCACTGTTGGAACATCACCCTGGTTGCTGTCTGGTGAATGGATTCAAGGGAGTAAGACTGGAGGCAGGAGACCAGTTAACTCCTGGAGTAACATAGCTAAGAGATGTTGGTGACCTGGAATAGGATAGTTAGCAGCAGTTTAGGTGGAACCTGGAGATACTTAGAAGATAGAATCAATGGAATTTGTGGTTGGATGTGGGTGGTGAAAGAGGAAGGGAGGAGAAGGAAGATGCTCAGGTCAGAAATATAAGCAGCTGGGTAGATCAGTGTCAGTTCACCCAGATGGTGTGGACTGGAGTGGTATTGATGGGGGGACACGGGCGGAGGAGGCCAGAAGTGGGTTTGGGTGTGGGTGGGTGTCAGTATATAAGGCAGGGCCACGTCTGACTGATTCAGCCGGTAAAGAGACGATTTAGACAGTTTGTTACTTATATAGAGAAGGACAATCAGCCTGAGGTGCCAACTGCATGTGGTCCTTATCCCACACACCAAAAAGACAACACTGAAACAAAAGGGACCAGATGACTGCAGCGTGCGTTGTGGATACCCTGTTACTGAGGAGCCGGTTCTAGACTGCAGCTAAGTGCTTTTGTATTCTGTAGCTCTATTCTGAAGGGGGCGGAGCAGAAAGCCCCAGGCCTCCTCAGGACCTGGAGGCTGGTGAGAAACCGGCTCATGATGGCCTCCCAGGAGAGAGAGGGAGGCAGGTGGCAGATGGCCTTGTAGCAGCTCCTGGCAAGCCTCTCCTCTCTCCTCTCCTCCTCTCCTCTCCTCCTGAGCTCTTCCACCAAGACACAGAATAGTTGTAGCTAATGCCTCTGCGTGCATGGCCTATTTGGACATGTGCAAGGTCCCCAGGGCACTGTGGCAGAGTTGTCCCCCTGCAGTGGAAAAAGAGGTTGCGTTCTGTTTTTGCCCTGATGAGGTTTTAGATGTCTTTGTAACATCCAGGGGTAGGTGTCCTGTAGGCAGACTTGTCATTCTGGAATGCAGAAGAGACATGAGGGCTAGACTTGGTAGTCATTGGCACAGAGACTGGGACTAGATTAGAGCACCTGCAGCTTGCATGAGGAGTGAGAAAAGACGGCCTAGGGTAGGACCGTGAAGAACCCCAGCGTTTCAGTGGCGGGCAGGAGGAGGAAAATGTGCCAGGAGGTGACTGACACGGCAGCCAAGGGAGAGAGTATTTGAGGAAGCGGGTGTCAACAGTGTCTGATACTTTAGACAAGTAAGAATAAGGACTGAGATGTGGCCATTGGGTTTAGCCTTGGGAGTAGTTTTTCTTTCTTTCTTTTCTAATGTTCTTTAAATTTTTACTTGTGGTAAAATGCACATAAAATAAAATTTACCTTCTTACCTGTTTTTAAGTATACGGTTTTGTTAAATATGTTCATATTGTTGTGCAACCAACACCATTATCCATCTCCAAAACTCTTGTCATCTTGCAAAACTGAGACTCTTTACCCATTAAATAACAACTCCCGGTTGTCCCTTCCCCAGACCCTGGTAAGCACCATTCTACTTTCTCTCTCTGTGAATTTGCCTACTCTAGGGAGCTCATGTAAGTGGGATCATATGGTATTTGTCTTTTTGTAACTGAGTTATTTCGCTTAGCATAATGTCCTCAGGGTTCATCCGTATTGTAGCAGATATCAGAGTTTCCTTCCTTTTTAAGGCTAAATAATATCCCATTGTATGGATAGACCACTCTTTTCTTCCATTCATCTGACGGTGGATAGACAGATGTCTTGCTTGCACTGATTGCTTTTACCTTTTAGTTCTTGTGAATAGTGGTGCTGTGAACACAGGTGTACAAGTATCTCTTTGAGTCCTTGCTTTCAGTTCTTTTGGGGGTAGGGGTATACCCAGAAATGGACTTGCTGGGTCATATGGAAATTCTGTTTAATTTTTTGAAGAACCACAATACTGTTTTTCATAGTGATTATACCACTTTACATTCCCACCAACAGGGAACAAGTATTCCAATTTCTCCACATCCCCACCAACACTTGTTAGCCTTGGGAGTCGTTTAAAGAGGTGAGCAGTGTCAGTGAAGGTGAAGCCGGAGAGCAGAGGGCTGCAAGTACCTGGGAGTTAAACTGGAGCGAGTGAGCGGAGAGAAGTCTTTGAAGTCATCTAGCTGCGAAGAGACAAGGAGGAGGGGCAGTAGTTGCATGGAGCTTAGAGTTAAGGAAGGGGTTTCAAGATAGGAGAGAAAGTGAGCCTATTTAAACACCACCAGCAGGAAAACAAGACAGAAGAAACTGAGAGAGGATGAATGTCAGAGTGCTGTGCTATGAGAATTTTGTAAAACTCCCTTTGACAAGGAAAAAACTCAGCATCTCCGAGAACAGAATTGATCAGTCAATTGCTGGATGGGTTTCCTCAGAATTTAACACAGTATTGAATTTGGCCAGCAGGTGGCAGCTTCTAAAAGTTTGCGGTTTTAAGACAGCTTGATAGACTTGGAAATTTCAACAAATGATGTGAAGTGGTGGGTAGACCCTAGGCACTCTTATTTTAGTAACAGTGAATAATTTGCCACTTTCTCATTCTACTCTCTGAAACAGAAGAAGCAGATGTACGTAGATCATTTCACATGGTGGTGTTGGGATGATAGACGCAAAGCACGTGAAACTAAAGCTATCTAACTTGATACAAAATTTCGGTGCCTTTTTTTCTTTTGGCTAGGGTTTAACCCATTCACCAAAGGACTGTATATACGTCAATAGTTTTTTTGGTTTGTTTCTTTAAATTAGGAAGAACTGAATGATGCTGTGGGATTTTCTAGAGTCATTCATGCCATTGCTAATTCGGTAAGTGAACCAGACTTTTTCTTTTAAACTAGATTCCTAAGCGTAATACTTAGGGTGAAATGCCTAGTTGTCATTGCAAATTAATCATTTGGTCACATTTAGAATGTGTACCTGACATAGAGGAATAAGTTAGACTGTTGTCATAATGTGCTTGGTGCAACATCGTAATTGCTGAGTTATATCCAGACCATTTTTCAGAAAGCTTTTCTTGTAAAATGCATAGGAGGATTATACTGTGATGTCCTTATATGGCTACATGAAACTAGTATGTATTATTCTTAAAGCCAATAAGAAGTAGAATAAGAAAGTAAGGAATATGAGGAGAAACAATCCGGTGTTTGACTGAAGGTATTTTTTCCTTAATCAGAAGAATCTAGAGGATAAAAATAACTGCGTTGAGTTCTTCTGCATAACTAATTGAATGTATCTGATAGCTTTAGTAGTTGGTAAGTTTTAAAAATGTGTTGCCCACTTGTGTAATTGTGCTAGAGGGTTGTGTGACAGATATGATAGACATTTTCCTTGTTTTGTAAGTCCTTTTGGAAAAGAGGGATCCGCATCTTGCATAGATAAACCGGGCCACACTGCTGGTTGATTTGCGAATTACACCTCCAGGTTAGACTGCTTGCCTGGATGCTGCCTTGCTGGGAGTCTAAGACTTCCTTTTCCTTGAGTGGTTGGCATGGGAGAAGGAATCGTCCTCCTGGAGAAGGAATCCTCTTGTCCCTTAGATGCTGTGCTGAGCATCAGGGAAGGTTTCAGGCCACAGAGACCCTCTCAGAGTTCCGTGGCTCTCACTACCAGGGGCAGGCTTGTCAGAACAGGAGCCCCTGCGGGGAGGCACACTACCGTCCTCCACTAGGAATAGCCGGAGTTACAGAACCTTGTAAAAGAGGAGGGCTGGCCCGCTAGGAGCCCTTTCTCTAAAGTAAGTGAGGTAATCAGAACGGGATCGAAAGTTGGCTGAGCCTGGAGAGAAACAAAGGTGTGAGTCTCTTCAGAAGTGCCCGAGATAACAGGCATCCGGAGAAGCAGAGAGTTGTTCCTGGTCACGTTTGCTTACGTCATACACACTAGCCAGCAGACTTGAGATAAGTGGCTGGGTTGACTGAGGCTGGCCCCAACCTGCAGAGGTGTGGGGCATCGTTTGGCTTTGAGTTCTCCTGTAGCCATCGTGATAGTTTGGTTTGCTTTTCCAGGATTGGGACCTCTGTTTGCCTTGTACAAATGCAGCTTGCCTTAGCTTGCAGTGCCTCTGCTGGTTGTTCCTCTGTCGTCTTTTTTCTACAGAATAATTCATAATATGTTGTTGACCATTGGTAGTGAACATAACAAAACATACCACCAAAAAAAGCCTTATTTATTAGTGAGCCAGAGTTTTAAAATTGAAAAGTCACATACCTTAAAAGCACTAACATAGTTAGCTCTATGTATGAAGCCAGTGAACCGTAGGCACTCTTAAATATTATAGCACACTAGATTCTTTTCCCATCACTCTTATTAGTAAATCTATGTTTTCTGTAGTTTCAAAAAAGTTTTTATTTTGTACTAATTTTACACTCAACAGAAAAGTTGAAAAAATAGTAGAGTTTCCATGTTCCTCACCCAGCTACCCCTAATGTTAATATCTTATATATCCGCACAGTTGTCAGAACCAGGAAGTTGACATCGGTACAAATTATGAACTAAACTGTAGACCTTATTTGAATTCCCCAGTTTTTCCAAGTCCTTTTTCTGTTCACAGTTCTCTCTAGGACCCCACATTGCGTTTACTCGTTCTCTCTTTAGTCTTCTGCAGTCTGTAACGGTCTTTTATAACCCTGATATTTTTTAAAAGTATTGATTGCAGTTTTGTCAGATGTCCTTCAGTTTGGTGTTGTCTGACCTTTTCTCATGATTGTGAGGATATATAGTTTTGACAAGAATACCACAGATGTTGATGTGTTGACCTTGGTCACTTGGTTAGTGTGGTGTCTGCTGAATTTGTGTACTATAAAGTTGCTACTTCTCCCTTTGTGGTTAAGAAATATCCTGGAAGAGAAACTTTGAAACTAATGAAAAGTCCTATTTTCGTCAAACTTTTGCCCACGAATATAGCGTCTATCGGTGGGTCTTGCCTGCAGCCATGTGGTGTTCTGATGGTGACTTTGACTCTCTCTTTCTTTCTATGTTTGTCCTTGGAATTCTTCTATAAGGAAGAGCTGTCCCTTCTCCCCTGTTTATTTAATCATTTTCTAATGTAGATGAGTATGGACTCACAGAAATTTATTTTATTCTACAGATTATAATCTAGTATTTTTACTGCTTATTTTGTTGCTCACGTTGTACCACCTTTGGTGGTTGGAGTTCTTCAGTCTGGCTCCTGTGTCCTTTGAACAAGCCCCCATCCTTTTTTTGAGCAGTTCCTTATTTTCCTGCAACACAAGATGTTCCAGACTCCTCGTGTATTTTCCCTGCCTTGAATCTAGAGTGGACAGAGCTAAGAATGATGCATATGTATGACCATGCATATGGAATGCACAAGTCTCTATTTCTGTGTCTATCTGTCATATATATATGACATATATATATAAAACCATGCCTTTATACTGATACCTCAAATTCTAGTCTAATACCACAGGGTGTATTTTTAGTCTACTCTCTTTTCTTATTTGTAGCTTCTTTTTCCCCAACAGTGGGAGATCCACTTCTTATGATTTGCATTGTATGTACTTGTTTAAATCTGGTACACGCATAAAGGAGCTTCAGAATTGCTACCCCTACCCTGTGAGAAGCACGTTCAGTGACTAGTCTGCAGCGTTTACGTGCAGGTCTTTTTGTCCTTTTAGCCTTAGGATATCGAGTCAGGGTGCTGTTTTCCTAGTTAGTTCTTTTCTTCCAGCCTCCTTCAGTGTGGTTATAGGATTCATTTATAATATAGTTAGGTTCATCTTTAGTGCTTGTCTTCCATTTTGGGTTCCCTCCACATCTTTTCTGTGGTTTCAATCAATACTTGGTACGTTAGCATTGTATAGGTATTCAGAAAGTGCACAAACACAGAGCCAAAGGACAGCTTGTCTGTTAGAGTTGGGAGATTTTGTGTAGAATTATTTATTTCAAAGAATTATGTTTAGCCCTGTGAGTCAAGGAGTGTTGCTCTCAAGGTGCACTGGGATCAGAGTAAAAAGGTCCGCTGTGGTGACCAGACGCTTTATGTTAAAAACGGTGTCACTGGGCTAGCTAAATCTAACGTGATGTTCCATTTTGGTAGCTGAATTTTTATCAAAACGGAGTAACTTATTGCACATATATTGTACTTTAGTCTGTTGAAAAGCAATGAATTTCATTGGAAATGGTATTTTCCATTTAAGAACATGCCCCATGAATTTTGACATAGATGATAAAGGAAATAAAAATTCATTGTTTAGTATAATTAGAAATTAGTTATTTTTTACCTATTAGCATTATTATGAATGTATGAAAATAAATGAATTGTTTTAGAGAATCCACTTCTAAAATAGATACCTGGAGTTTGTTCACAGATTATTGAACTGTTCAAGATACTGAGTATTCAGTTACTTTTTTAACTTGAGCTCTTCAATAAAAATTTTATTACTTCTGATTCTTGAGGGTGGCAAGATGAACAAAAATCAGAGAAAAAGATCAGTGAAATAAAAATCACTTGGGGTTTTTACTTTGCATTCTGGATTTAACTCCCCCAAATTTAAGAGAAATGAAGCCAGCCCTAATTTATTTATTTGCATATATTTATACATTTTTTTAATGTCGAATAGTGAGTTTAGTGCAAAATTCTCGTGGAATCTGAACCGTATGTTTCACTCTCTAGCCCCAATATAATTTTGTACCTGGAAGTCTGTTTCCTAACCTTGACTTTCTTTAGGGAAAACTTGTTATTGGACACAATATGCTCTTGGATGTCATGCACACAGTTCATCAGTTCTACTGCCCTCTGCCTGCGGTAAGTGATGTGTCAGCCTGTGTGAAAAATTCGCGAGTCTTTATTACCGAGAAAGTGTTCTCACCCCAGTGCCGTCTCCTTGGATGCAGTATGTTCCCAGAGAGAGTCTCCCAAAGAGAGACTCTCATGCGCCTGGTTGTACATTTTTGAAGAGCTGTACATACCAGCCATGTTAAGGGCTCTCCAGCCATCTGCCATTGCCAGAGCAAGGTTAGACATTCGTTTCGTCTTGACGTCAGTGGTTTGTTCTGTTAGTGCTGGGCAGGGCTTCCGCGGCCACAGGTGTGGCCTTCTGGTTGCTACTGCTGACGTTCGACAGAGCAGGGTCATTGAAGGTGCGTGGTGCTTCAGGTCAGCTGAACTGGCCCAGGGCCCGCAGAATTCTTCGTTACCTCCTGCTAGGCTGCCTCCCTTACATTCTCTGTTGACCTTGGTGTTTTCTCACTGTTGGAGTCAAGTCGTCTCAGTGCACCAAAGCATCAGCTTCTTTGGCCCTTCAGGAAAGGAGTTCCTCTCTCTCTCTTCATCTTTTGCTCCCTGAGTCCCTCTCCTTTATTTTCGCTCCATATTTCCTGTCCTCTAGTGACCTCCCCCACTTTCGTAACTTCAGCTGAACACACCGACATCTTTATCTCCAGCTGTGATCTCTCCTAGGATCTGAGTCCACAGTTCACGCAGGGGTCCACACGTCTCCACCTGGATAGCCTTCAGGCTAGTGGTGTTCCGAATGTCTCAAACGAGATATGTAATTTACACAACCTTTCCTTTCCTTCTTACTGTTTCTAAACCAGCTATCTGTCACATCTGGATTGCAAGTAGCCTTATTTATCATCTGGAGTTTAGCCAACTCCGGGCAGAACACCCTGTCTCGCTTTAACCTTTAAACAAGGTTTAAACAAGAGGTTGCCTATCCCTTCAACAAGAGGTTGGCAAACTTTTTAAATAAAGGGCCAGATAGTGAAATATTTTGGGCTTTCTAGGTTGTGCAGTCTCTGTCACAACTCTCAACGCTGCCATTGTAGCCCCAAAACTGCCGTAGAATGCATAGCCAAATGGATGTGCCCTTGTTCCAGTAAGTTTTATTTAAAAAATAGGCAATGGGGCAGATTTGGCGTGCAGGCCGTAGTTTGCCAACCCTTGCTTTAGAGTGCCACCAGATTAATCTTTTATTACTTCTGGCTTGGAAGATACCTACCTTAGAGTTCAGTCTCATTTATATGTCTGTGAAGCCTCAGTAACTTAGTTTTCTTTTGTGACATTGTTCCGTCCGCATCTTGATTTACTTTCCTTGGAAAAGTCCAACACGGCCCAGCCATGAATACAGTGGGTCTGTTGCTTCCTTTGTCCTATTTCTGCAACCTTAAGTTTCATGATAACCATATCACGCCCTGGGACTCAAAGGCTTGTGAGTCTCAAACATGACGGGTATGAATTTGCGTTGTATAAATCTAAAGAGCTGATATGCATCTCGGATCAACCCCTTCTCGTTGGCCAAACAGACCAAAGTAGCAGCTTCTCTCATGACTTTTTGACCTTTACAGCAATGAAGTTATGAGTAAGGAAAGAAGAAAGTATGTTTAATACTGCATTTACAGCTATTTTGAATACCAAACAGAGCTTGGCACGTAGAAGGCCTTAAATATTGATTTAACAAATGAGTGTGTTCTGCCAGTTTTAGAATCTTCTGATGTATGGCTCTGTTCACATCACTGACCCTGCTCAAAATTCTGAACTAATCCCATATTCTTTGTTTTTCTATACAATTGACTCGTATTAGCATGGCATACCAATCCTTCTATGATCCGGCCTAACCTTGTGTAGTTTAGTCACTCGTTACTCTCCTTATTCTCAACCAGGCTCATTAGTTCCCTGGGAAGTGCTTTGTGCTTTTTCTTGTCTGTGGTTTTGGTATATAATTTCCTCCAACTTGACTTTTCTCTAGCTTTTCTCAGTGTTTGCTGTGTACAATTTACCTGTCTCACCAATGTCCAGCTTACGCCTCTTCTATGAAGTTTCCCTGCCTGCTGCCTTGCCCAAGAGGTGATCTCTCCTTTCCCTGGACTCCACAGAACTGTGTGCCTCTTATGGTGCATCAGTTTTATCTTTACAGCTTGTCCCTCTGCTCCTGGGTGACTTGCTCCTTGGACAAGGAGCATAACCTTCTTGTCTGTCTAACTGCATAGCCTAGCACTTTATACATAAGCACTTAATAAACGTTAGCTTGAATGAGTCAATGTTAGTTTTGAATGAAATTCTAGTAGAAAGAGCATGTGATTTGTTGCAGAGTAAGAGGCGGGTTAGGATAAGTGGTCTCATCGCTTGCGTTATTACTGAGGTGACCTGAGTAAGTGACTTAACTTCTTTGTGTTCGTCACTGTCAAATGGAGAAAGTGGTTTTCTTCCATCTACCTCTAGAAGTGATGAGAATAAATGAGAAAACATATTTAAAATGGTAGAACATTTATATTGCACCAGTACCAAATTTTGCATTTAAAAGTAGACTAAAGAGGGGCTGGCCCCGTGGCCCAGTGGTTAAGTTCGCGCGCTGCGCTGCAGGCGGCCCAGTGTTTCGTTGGTTTGAATCCTGGGCGCGGACATGGCACTGCTCATCAAACCACGCTGAGGCGGTGTCCCACATGCCACAACTGGAAGGACCCACAACGAAGAATATACAACTATGTACTAGGGGGCTTTGGGGAGAAAAAGGAAAAAATAAAATCTTAAAAAAATAAATAAATAAAAGTAGACTAAAGAATCCATATTTTGGAGCTGTCATCCAGGAGAGAGTCTTTTTTTAAGAGTCTTCTTGGTACTCAGCATGACCTTTTACAAGGCATTAGTCTAGAACTCTGCTATATGCTGGCCTTGGAAGTAGCCATAATTCTAATTTTTTCTTGCTTGTGAGGCTTTGTAATGGTCCTGAGAGATTACAAACAGTCATTATTGCATTTTTGTTTGCCTTAGCATTGAAACCACTTGTTCGTATATTGTCTGTTAATTTAATGATAGCCATTGAAAAGCTGGTGAATATTTCAAACTAGCTAAATACAGTCTGTATTTACAGGCTTGAAAAGCTAATTGGAAATGGCAGTTTCCTATGAAGCATGAATAACGCTGTAGAGAAGTGTAGTTACAAGGGGTCGGGAGTGTGACTACTCAGTCTAGCGTGGCAATTATGTATGTAAATGAGTTGATTCAAAATTAGAGCACTCTCATTTCAGCTTTAGACTTCCTGATCAAAATAGACTTGGGAAATGAATTCTCTAATTTAGGCACTTGCTGTTGGTGCCACTTTAGCAGTTTTCTGAGTAGTTAAAGCAGGAATCACGTGTGTATGGAAAAGTCTATGTTTTAGTGACCATCTTAACCCACATTTCAAAGGTGCTCCCAGTAAAAGTATAACCTAGTTTACACTATTTCAATTTTGTATATAAACCATTTTATTTAGATAACTCTGCTAGTCTCACCATTATGGTGAATTTGTGTAATAGAGCAATTACTGTAAGTTTTCTATATATAATAGAAACCTTCCCCCCTCCTCTTTCAGCCGTAAAATGCTTAAATTTGTCTATTTTTGTTACACAATGGTTTTACTTCATGATTCCCAATCAGTGAGAAATTGTGAGGATTTTTAAAAAGTAGTTACTAAATGGAAATGGGTCTGGCACTTTAGCTTAAAGGACCTGTATGAGGCATCACAGTTTGTTTGAGAAAGAGCTATGGAACTTGAAATATTTGTGTTTGTTTTTAATACTGTGAGTGTATTAGTAAAATTGTAAGAAGTCATTTTCTTGTTTTTTAGGACTTAAATGAGTTTAAGGAGATGACAACGTGTGTTTTCCCCAGGTAGGCTTTCTTTGAGGATTGTCTTTCATTTGAAGCAGTGATCATGCCATATATAATATAAATAGGTATGTAGTAATTTATTAAAACCATTAGATCATGATTACAATCCAGTTGATACAAGCTGGGAAATCATTTAATAGCTCCAACTTTGCGTTGGTTTGCTCTTATAATTGATGATTGGTTTTCTTTCTCCATTAAAAATCAAAATTTGAACTGAGAGTGAAAATAGATAGCAACTCCTTTTGTCTTGTCCCACGTCCTGCTGTCTGAAGAACTGGTGACATTTTCTTGAGTTGGCGCTTGTCTTTCTTGTGTGTTGGATATATAGTTGTGTGCTGCATAATGACATTTTGGCCAGTGATGGGCTGCATAGATGACAGTGATCCTGTAAGATTAGTACCATATAGCCTGGGTGTGTAATAGACTCCACCATCTAGATTTGTCTAAGTACTGTAGGGGAGGAAGAAATTTTCCTCTGCTCTTCTGAGTTCTTCTGGGTGGTCTGCATAATACATAGTTGACATAATACAGATTAACAGGAGAAAAACAAAAGTTTATTAGCTTGTATACAGTGGAGAAACCCAGGAAAATTGAATAACTAACCAAAATGGCTGAAGCCCTCACCTTAAATACTGTCCTCAGCTAAAGACGAAAGAAGATGTTGGGGGCAGGGAGAGTCAGGGACTTCAAAGGAAGAAAGGCAAACGCACAGGTAGGTGAAAACAAGTGTTTGGCCACACAGAAACAGAGGAACACAGAGGGGAGCCCACAAACAGGCTTTTCTAGGTTCCTCCCCGTCTCCAGTTCATGTTATGCTAAGGTGATAGCTCACTTCCTGAGACAGGTTTTTTAGTTTGAATTCTTTTAGACAGTTCAGGGGGCATTAACAAAAACTTTGAGTCTTTTGCTTCTTAAAAATAATCAGCCTAAAATAATCCTCATGTTAGAGAGACGTTTTGAGGTGGCAAATTTTGTTCCCCTTTAGTGCTCGCTGATGTTTGCACAATGGCAAAATCGCCTAACAGCTCATTTCTCAGAACGTATCCTCATTGTTACGCACATGACCGTATGACCTTGTCACAGTGAACTGTCCAGTTGAGAGTATTTTGTGTTCAGTCGAGAACTGTCTAGCTAGAGATATTGTTCCTCAACCTTAAGTCAATGCCTTTACCTGTTAGTATTTTCCACAGTTCATATTGCGTGTTAGTTCTCAGATGTCACATGTCTGCTAGATCACATGCCAGCCATGTGGAGCCTGCAGAGCAAGCCTCTGCGCTTGAGGACCCATTTGAAAAGGGACAGGTGTGACAGCAGAGCAGCTGCTCTTTCCGCTGCGTTATTTCTCTCCTATTGTCTACAGTGTTCACATTTATGTGAAAAGCAACAGAGTTTTCATATTAGTGTGTCTCTCTCTTTTTTTAGTCTTCCGATATCTGCAACAGAATAGTAAGAAATAACAACAGTAACAACATTAGCATGAAACTACCAAGTGCAGATTTTGACCCTCCAAGAATTTATATCGTGCAGAGCTGGGTGGTGGTAGTAGATGGGAATATTCCCACCAGCTTGGGAACGTTAGACCTGCAGCAGTGTTTGAACCGTGTAAAACCACATGAGGATATTAGACTTACCCTTGAGATTGACATAGCCCACACCCTTTCAGGGTACAAGCAAATCTAGAACATGTGCTGAGTGTGGCAGGGTGTGGACTCTCCCACGGCCTCCTGAAGAAGTCCCTGGAGGGGACAGGACTAAGTCCTCACTGTAATGTAGCAGAGATGCCAGTGCTGGGTCAACAAGGCCAATGTCCTTAATTCCCCTATCCATTTTTAAGACAGTAAGCTATTCACTTGAGTAAAATACATTTTGAACATTGATATACATTTTGTTTATCTTACTAAAAATTCTTTTGTTTTTAGACTTTTGGATACCAAATTGATGGCCAGCACACAACCTTTTAAGGTATTTAAAAAATTTGAATATCACTGATAACCTGTATTTTTGAAACTTTCTGAATTGCTAACTAAGAGCTTTGGAATTCTGGTCTATTTAAATGTAATTTTCAAATACATCCAAAAAAAGAAAGAAATGAAAAGGAAAAAAATGGGAAAAAGGCTACAAATAAATATATCAAAATGTGCATAAGCAGTTGTCTTTGGGTGGTGGAATTATGTGGGGTTTTTTCTCCTTTTTTTTTTTTTTTTTTTTTTGCGGAAGATTAGCCCTGAGCTAACATCTACCACTGATCCTCCTCTTTTTGCTGAGGAAGATTGGCCCTGAGCTAACGTCTTGTGCCCATCTTCCATTCTACTTTATATGTGGGATGCCTGCCACAGCATGGCTTGACAAGCGCTGCGTGGTCCACGCCCGGAATCTGAACCAGCGAATCCCAGGCTGCTGAAGCAGAGCATGTGAACTTCACCTCTAGGCCACTGGGCTGGTCCCTTTCTCCTTTATTTTTCGAATGTAACCTTTTTAATATTAAAATATATAATGTATTTTTGAATAGGTTACACATGTACATACTTCGTCATTTCTTTATTTTCCTTATTTCATATATTTTGGATATATTTTCTAATCAAGAAAATTCATATGAAAGTATAATCATTTGCTACTTTGTGAAGTGACTATATAACTGAGTGAAATGAATGTGAGAACAGTGTAGCTTTCTGGCCAGAGGTCTGTAGATATTTGATACATCTGTAAAAAGCTTTCATATGGTTATACTTTCCATATGGTGAAAATTGAACTCAACTCCTGTGTTTCTTTAAAGAACACAAGGGGGCAGTACGAGATGCTTTTTTTTTTCTGTCCTGGCATTCACTGAATCTGTTTAATATATGTTGCACTGAGATGATGAAGGCTCGTAATTCTCTGCTTGCTGGCTTGCAGGATATCATTAACAACACATCCCTTGCGGAATTGGAAAAGCGGTTAAAAGAGACACCTTTCAACCCTCCTAAAGTTGGTAAGAATATAAAATGATCCGGAAGACCCCCAAACTCTGTGATAATTATTGATGTATATTGTAGAAGAAAGGTGAAGCTGGTCTAGAAACTGTAATGCACGTTTATAGATTTTGGCTAAGTTAGATTGCTCGAGCCCTGTGTTGAATTACTGTTTTCTGAATAAAGGTGGTCTTCTAATCCTGCGTTTATTTTCTGTTCATAGAGTTGGGTAGCCTGTTCATTGAGAAGTTTAGCAATTAAAGCTTCAGGGCTTTTATTTCCTAAAGCTTGGAATTCTCTCAAAACTTGATGTGTCCTTCTTTTTTATGGTGCCTTGTTTAAGCAGAGACAAAGAGTTCGTGACTAATTGCCAGGGATTGAATGGAAATAGACTTTTTTGTCTCAGAAAAGCCCGAGAACTGGGTTTACGGTTGAGAAAGGAGAGTCTCCTCCCCTGCCTCCTTCCGAGGTGCCTTAGGAGTGGGCGCAGCAGTGAGGAAAACCAGATGGAAGAAGGAATGTTTCTCAGGGGTGCGGATGTTTTGTCGTCTGGCCGTGGCCCCTCCCCAGGTGTTGCTGAAGCTTCCAAGTGTTGCTTCCTTGGCTCCTGTTGCCCTGATTGTGCTGCTGATAGGGGAAAGGTAGCTGCAGCTTGCAAACTTCTGAAGACATTGCAGTAGGACGAATGGTTCAGAAATTGACAGTGGAAGGTACAGATCAGGCAAGAGTACAAATATTTGCTTCCATTTCTGGGTATAGTCCAAAAAAAGAATTAAGAAAAGGGATGGGGAGAAAGAAAACCTAGACCTTTTCTATAACAATATAATGGAAATAATCTCTTCTGGAAATATGTGTTTCAGCCTGTGGTAGGGAACATTACTCAGCTGGCTATCATCTTAAAAGACTTTTTTACAGCCTAAAGTCTAACATATTTAATTCTTACAGAGGTTAAGGAATTCTTGCTTTGAAGAGCATTGTATTGACATAAAAACAGTTACAGCCTTTTCATTGTTAATTTCCATTCATGCTTTTGATTCTGTAGGAAATAATTATTTGTGACTTATAGTTTTATCCCATTATTTCCATATAATATTCTGGTGTCTGGTAGAGAATTTACGCTAAGCAGGTCACTATTCTCTGATGTTACCCTCTCAGCATTGATGTATAGCAGTGTGACAAAAGAATCGTGTCATTAAATGGTCTCTTCTATGAAGTGGCCCCATGTTCCAAGCGCATTGTAGCCGGTTCTGATGTATTTTTGGAGTTAGTTGTGCTTTCATCTTTGGATCTGTAAGCTTGGAAACATAGTAGAGGACAGTATTGAACTGAGCTGCCAGTATTGATTGGAGTCTTTGCTTTTGGGAAGGGTCACTTGGACATTTACAGATAACAATTACTAGGCGTTTACCTTGTACCAAGCACCGTGTAAGAGCTTTACTTATATTAGCTCATCTGATCCTCACAGAAGCCTAAAGAAGGACGTTTGATTATCATCTCCATTCTACCAAAATGGAGTTGCAGTGGTGAAGCCACTTGCCCAAGATCACATAGCAAAATAAGTGATGGAGCAAAGATTCAAACTCAGATATGGGGCTCCAGAGTCCATTCTGGTAATCTTTACTCTGAGATACTTGTTGTGTCCCAATGTTATCATTATCTATAAGAGAAGGAGCTCCTTTTCGTGACCTTAGAAAGCAATCAGAAGAGAAATCATTATCTGAGAGTAAGTTATGTATGCATGGCCATAAATAGCACCCACCAATGTGCAATGAGGCCTGCGGTTGAGTCTGTGATAGTATAACTGAGGCATTTCTCTGTCCAGACCAAGGCCCTCATTGTCAGTGACTCTGTTATCTCCTATTATAAAGTGTTGTGTGGAGAGAATTAAGACATAGAGAGCTTTTTTTCCTGCTTATTCAGGACCTTCCTGAAGCACATACTAATGCAATTTGGATGTGGTGGGGCAGCGTGCTTCCCAGTTTTCATGATTTGTGATGTCCTTGGGAAAATGATTTTTTCTTTTTTCTGTTTAGAAAGTGCAGAAGGTTTTCCAAGTTATGACACAGCTTCTGAACAGCTCCACGAGGCAGGCTATGACGCTTATATCACAGGACTGTGTTTCATCTCCATGGCAAACTACCTAGGTACTGACTAGACATGTTTCTGTCAAGCACGTGGATCTTACCTGTCTACCGTTTCCCTGGGACCCTCTGCCCCCATTAGAAGTGGGAGGGTTTTGAGATTGGCGGGGTTGGGGGGGGGGAATGGAGACTACATGGGAGGAACCATTGACACTTCCCTTTGGTGTGGTATTTGGCCCATCTGAGCACCTTTTACCCTTGCTGAACCATACTGCTGATTTAAATATATTTTTGCCTGAACTTTCAGGCTTTGTCTGTTCGACTGTATATAATACTCTGCTTCTTCTCTTCATTAGGTACTTTTCTTAGTCCTCCAAAAACTCATGTGTCTGCCAGATCAAAACTCGTTGAACCCTTTTTTAACAAGTAAGTAATCAGAGGGTCCCATTCCCCAAGTTGTCTCTCTGTGGAAGAGCCAGTATCTGGGGATGTGAGTTAGGGATGACTGGGAGGTGTAGTGCATTTTTAGATAAAATATTTCTCACCTGTAGTGACTCAGATGTTTTTTGAAGATAGAAATTGACCTTTTGGGAAATAATTTATTAAATATGTTGGCTTAAAAGGAAAAAAGAAAGAAAAGAAAACATTGCCAAAGGTAGCGCATCTCTTCTAAGACAAAAAACCGGTGGTTTTGGAAATGAAATTACACAAGGGAGACTGTGTGTGTGTGTGTGTGTGTACCCAGACTTAACCCCTGATAAACTGTACATGTGAGATTCTTTCTAAGAAGATGTTGGTTACACAAATGGCTTTTAAGATCGTCTGTGGAGAAGTTCTGATGGTCATTGCATCCCAAGCTTGTGTCTGAATGGATCCAGTGAAGTCAAAGCTTGCTCACGTCCCTCCCTTGTTGGAAGAAGTCAGTGTGATTTAAGGAGAGGTCTAAGTTCAGAGCATTCTCAAAGAATCTCAAGATTACTACTTCAAAGTGTTGTTTGGGCTTTCTTGGCACAGTGGAGACTAAAGTTATGGATATGATCCTCAAGCAGGCCACACTTTGACTCTGTGCCAGAGCCCTAAACCTTCCTTTTTACCCCAGATCTCTTGGCAGGGTTGGTTCTAGGAGATTCTGGGCGGGCCAGACAGAACAAGGCAGCCCACATCAATCACGACCGCTGAGAGAGAGAAGTATTTCAGTATTGGGTGGGTTCCATCATTTCCTTACATTACATGCAGCGCTTTACAATCCTTTCAGTGCTTTACCGGCTAAGAATACTGTCTCCTTCACACGCCTGTATAAATACTCATATCACAGTGCTTGTACTCAGGTGACTGACGTGCTGTAGAGATAGATGTTAATTCCAAACATCTGGATTCGTACAGGTTCGGAATTTGTGTAGTCTGAGTTAGTGAATTTTATCATACTGTGGCTTCTTGTTTTTTTAATCTTTGTTCTTCTTTTCCATGGAAGTTCAGAGGTAAATGTGTCTGACTTTCAAAACGTCTTTTAGAGAGGACTGGGTAACAGTGTTGTGTATATTGAAAACTAAGTTGAATTTTTCTGCATGGAAAATTAACTCTGCTAACAGTAGAGTCCTTGGTGTCTGTCTAGTTTCTTATGGGTAAAACAGGATTTTCTTAGCTTTTAACTCTTATTTTGGGAGCAGCGCTTATCTTTGTAAATCTTTGGAAAGGCAGCTTATGTCATAGACTATTGAACTTGCAGGTGACACTAAATATTGTTTGGATCATGGCATTCCTTGCAGTTTTATGTGCACGATTTTAAGTTCGTTGTTCAACCATGTTTTTCAGTTGGGAGATGTTTACTCAGTTTTAAATATTTAAAACAATTATCCTGTTTCTCCACTAAAATCAACTCCTTATAAAATCAGATGATGGATACAAACTGGGTTAGAGATAGGCTGCATCTAGTTTATCAGTAATCTGTGACCAACGTGAAGAGCAATCAAAATAAGCTTTGATTTAAAAAGCTTAACTAAGACTATATCTTTGTAGATCAATTTAATACTGCTAATAATGAGCAAGACTATTACTCAAAAGAACTGGACAGTAAACACACAGCTTCATTTTCAAATTGGGACGTGTGTCCATTCGCTGAAACCTAGATGCATACCAAAAATAGTTGAGGAGTCAGGAATCCTCCTGTGATGTTGCACTAAAAAGTCTTGCCTCATTTGATTTTTTGCTCTGTTTTCCCCAATCTGTAAAGGAAGGATATTTTCTTCATCTTTGAAGGAAAAAAATTCCAGCAGGATTTGAAATGCAAAATAAGAACTATCTTTCTTCTATATTGGAATAGCTTAGTCAAGCACAGTCATCCGTTCTTAACCCATTTAGAAACTGGGAAAAGCAGCTGCTGCTTTTGACGTCTCTATGTGTGTTAATATTGACCTCATTCTTACGTGCACGTTTGATTTATGACGTTAAACCTTGATTTTGTCACATTTTTCAAGATTACCCTTACAGAAAAACATCCGACAATTGCGATCAACATTATCTCAAGCGACTGATTTTAGAAAAATCTGTAAATTTTTCTGAGGGTTTATTTGTTTCGGCACCAGGCTTTTCTCAATGTAAGCTTAACCAAATATGCATAGTCCTAATATAAATTTGGATGAACATCTAACTGCCTACATATGCAAATAATATTTTCTTCTGCTCTCACCAGATTTGTGTTTAAAACTCCACCTACTCCTGCATTATTCTAAATGAGCGTTTGGCTGCATTGGGTGTGCCTTTTTGGGAAGCTTTACAGAGTCAACTATGGAGAAGATGCTGAGACAGCTGGTGTCTGAGCAGTATGCAGAGACCCAATGTAATATAAGGTGCTTTCTGAGCCATATTTGGCTAGAAGAATGTCCCATGAGGATTTTGCATGGTGCCATTTTGTCTCTTTCATGGCCTGGTCACCTCCAGTATCTCTCCTTACTTTGTTGGAGTCGGAATGAGAGTCATAAGATAGTGGAGCAGCGGCAATCAGGATCAGAGCAGTCTAATGACAGGCTGTGTGTACTGTGCTCCTCGTGTATGTTGCAGGCTCTCTGGTCCAAAACTGATTTACCTTCTTTTATAACCTTGGTCAGTTTGAATCAATGCGTGGAAAACCAGACTTAGAGAAGATCCTCTGGTCAAATCCTTTTAGGCTGGAAAGAGCTAAAAATACTGTCTGTGTTTACTTTTTATTGCACCACGGAAAGCACAAAATCAGACTTTTGCCTTAAGTTTTATTAAGAGTCATCTGTTTCTGCAAGACAGCTTGAACTCTCTTGTAGATAACCTTTTATGAAGATTTTTTGGGAAGGTTGATTTTCTGTCTACCTCAGTTCTTAGAAAGAGGAAGGAAATGAGCAGATCTCTTATTTTGGTTCATCTCTGTAAGTAACAGAGTTAAAAAGGAAGAATTGCCTGCACTTTACTGTATAGGGTGGCAACCTTGTGTTTTTTGTTTGTTTTTGTTTTAGGATTGGCACCTGAGCTAACATCTGTTGCCAGTCTTTTTTGTTTTTTTCTTTTCTTTTTCTTCTCCCAAAGCTCCCCTGCCCCCCAAGGTACATAGCTGTATATTAGTTGTGAGTGCCTCTGGTTGTGTGCCTTGTTCTTGACACAAGTGTTCTGAATCTGAGCAGGGGTTCTCTAGAAATCTAGGTCTTCCTGGGATGACACTGCCGGAAGATCTTTCTAAGCTGCAGATGAGGAGACAAGCCATAAGCAGGAGTGATGTGCCCTTGAACAAATGGTGTCCTCCTCTGTCAAATGGGGCTGAGGCCATTCACCTCCCATGGAAGTTAGAAAGATTGCACGAAAACTTAGTAGGTGCCCGTAATATATTGTTTTCCTTTCTTGAAATATAAAAGAATTTAACATGCTAGGAGATTCAAAAAAGTGATGTGGTAGTGGAATATGTTTTATGTTTTTAGTTTTGTGATAAAGAAGAAAATTTCTTATCCTGTGGATGTAAGATTGGAGCAAATGTGAAGTGTCCACTTCTGGTTATACCCACCTTCTAGAGTTTGCTCATGACAAATCAGATGATGTTGACGTGTGTCAGACTGGGACATATGGAGGCAAGTTCGCTTTGATTTGGAGCCTTTTTTAAAGTTTTGTTATTCAAGCGAATACAGCCATTTATGGAAAGTGGTAGAGTATATATAACAGTGAAAAGTATAGAGAGGGGAAGAACCATTACTACGGCCCCTGAAATAAAGCACCCCGATGTTTTCTCCCTTTTCCTCCGTGGAAGGCAATCAGGTGCTGGCAGCAAGTTGTTTTTTTAAATAATGTGCATGTACTTCATACTTAACATCAGAGAGATTTTTAAATGAACGATTTAGCAAAACAAAATACTAAGGATCAGCACTGTGTGTCCTTTCTTCCCAGCCCTTTCCTTGATAATGGGCAGAGCAACTCTTATTTGCTCTGTTTACTAATATCTGCCGGTCATGCTGAGCAGCGTGGCCTGCCAGGTTGCTAGCGAGTTGGCAGTGGGCCCATGTCTCCAGAATTGCAGACCCTGCTTGTCTCTCAAGTGAATGGTGCCTGATCACCCACAGGGAGGCCCGCACTCATCCTTCGCCTGTCCTGCCTGTCGCTCCTCATGCAGAGGAGCAGAAGGTGTTGAAATAATGAGAGGACGAGGCCAGTCTGTTCTGATTCCCAGTATTTGCTGTCGGCTTTTAGCATTCTGGGTGATGGATTGAATGTGTCTTTACTGAGATACTGTTCGGGTTGGGTATAAATTAAGTCCATTGTGTTGAGTGTTACAGTAATTCCCACCATAAGACGTGCAACTTGCCACCATAAGCGAGAGTTACAACACAGTTTGTTCTGTTGGTGAGGCTGGGTGTCACAACACTCCACAGAATTGACTTCTATTTGCAAATTTAAAAATGCTTTGATTAATTTCTCCAGGAAAATTACTTCACTTGAGGATCTTGTGTAGTATAGTGCAGTTGTGGTCTCTGGGGTCAGGCACCTGGCCTGGAATCCCAGCCCCACGCCTTCTACCTGTGCGATCTTGGGCAAGTCGCCCTCTCTGTGCCTCAGCTTCCTCATCTGTAATGAGAATATTAGTACTCATTTGATAGGGTTGTTGTGAGGGTGAAATAGGAGAACGTGTGTGAGGTGCACAGTGCCTGGCACATCACGGGCCTCAGTCAGCTTGTCACTGCTGTGGGGACACTTATGCTTTGAAGACGTGTTTCTCTGACGAAATGCTGGGAGCAAATGAAGGGCTTTTTCTTTTTAGAGGAAATACCATATAATCGTACCTCTGGTACTGTACACACCTTGTAAGTAGGGCTTTGTATTCAATTATGAGCTTTGATCAGAAAAGGGATGTAGGGGAGGAAAAAGTCTGCTCTAACTACGTGGTATTCAGGGCATATGGTTATTTCTTAGTCCTCTGTAGCATTTTCAGTTGTAGATTTTTATTGGGAGAGGAGAATAAAGAAATAGCATTCACTAAGTGACCTCCTGCAAGCTGTGTCTTTTTATTTTTTTAACAGCTTTATTGAGATATGAATTCGTATACCACTCCAGTTCACCCATTTAAAGTGTACGATTCAATGGTTTTTGGTATATGACATTTTCAAAATTATGGTAAAATATATGTAACATACAATTTGCCATTTTAACGTGTTTTTTTTGTTTTTGGTGTGGAGGATTGGCCCTGAGCTAACACCTGTTGCCAATCTTCTTCTTTTTGCTTGTGGAAGATTGTTGCTGAGCTGACATCTATTCCAGTCTTCCTGTACTTTGTATGTGGGATGCCGCCACAGCATGGCTTGACAAGCGGTGTGTAGGTCTGTGCCCAGGATCTGAACGTGCAAACCCCGAGCTGCCAAAGGAGAGCATACAAACCCAACGTGGCCGGCCCCATTTTAACCATTTTTAAGTATGCAATTCAGTGGTCTTAATTACATTCACATTGTTGTGCAACCATCACCACTATCTATTTCCAGAAATTTTTCCTCACCCCAAAGAGAAACCCTGTAACCATCAAGCAGCAGCTCCCTGTTCCCCCTCCCATCAGCCCCTGGTAACTTCTAGTCTACTTTTCCATTCTCTATAAATTTGTTCTTTTTGACCTATTTCTTTTTGAGTGACTCATTGCTTCAGTGAGATTTTAATCTATTAAAACAATTGATATTTTGCAAACACCTGGAGCCTTTTTCTTTTCTATTTGTCCTGCTGTCATCTGTTTGGATCATTTCGTGGGCATGTAAAACTTGAGATATGTGGATGTGAAGTTGTGCAACCACCTCGACGGAGGTTTGCTTACATGCAAGCCATTCGGGACATGAGGAATAGAGCAGAAGCCCCGGGGCGGGCCAGCTTGTTGCACATCATGCCACTCCGGCAGGACATTCATCCTTCCTCAGCGGGCTTTCCACCTCTGAAATGGAGAGACTAAACGTCCATCTTGTAGGGCTGCCCTGAGGTTGCGAAGTAGCATCGATAAGGCTGCTTAACATAGCGTGTGTCCTGTGGTAGGTGTACCGCGTGTGGTTGTTACCGTGACTCTCACCACAGGCAATGCCCAAGAAAATAACGTGAAGCTAGTTTTTCCTGGGATTGGGGGCAGTGGTAGGTAAACAAACTGGGCTGTGTGTACTTAGCTGAGTATCCTTGGGTGGCAGTCTGTCTGTGTCGAGCGGAGGAAAGAGGCAGAAGTGCATGGTACTAATAAAATCTTTTTTATAGAGAACAGCAACCAAGAAGTCCTCTTACGAAAACCCTTCGTAACTTCTTTTGTATCTTAATGAGAAAGGTCTCGATGCGAGGTTGGGTTGTGATGAGAAAAAGAAAACATCTGCGCTGTGCGTTGGTCGCACTCGTGTGTTGAGCCTCCCGATGCTGGTGAGGCAGCAGAGTGACTCGCACAGCCTCCTCCGTTCGTCTGCCACCAGGAGCAGCTGTGCTGTGCATGGCCCTTCCCCAGAAGCCCCTGGTGATGCCAGAACCAGGGAGGTCAGGGCGGGCCGCATGGAGGCCGATCACAGCAGTGGCGATTGCGGGGCCCTTCCTGGCTGATTGGCTGGCTTCCCCAAGAACATGGTCGTAGTTAGCCTTCAGTTTTATGTCAGTGGTGTTTGACTAAAGGAGTAACGTCCCCTAGCTTCCACCAGACGTGGCCTCGAGCCAGGGATAGGAGCGAAGCTCATCCCTCATTCTGACCATGGAAGTGGTCCATGGTGCTGTTGCGGACATTACTTTTTAATCATAAAGAGCCTAGGAAGTAAGCTTTTTAGTAAAAACAGAGTCTGTTTTCAACCTCTTCCAGATTGTACAAATTTTGGAATCAGGCGCCATAAGGAGTAAAATCGCATTACGAACGCTTAGAGCAGCCTCCCAGATGCCAGAATGTTTGAAGCCATTTGTCCCTAGTTTATAGAGTGTATTTTTCCGTAGTACATAGATGTATTTTATCGTCGTAGACCTTAACCGAAGCTCTTTATTTTTAACCCAAGTCATGCTAAATTACTCGGATGAAAAGAATCTCCAACAATTGGCTTGGTTTGATTATCCTGAAAGTTCTCTGGTACATTGATTTTCACAAAGGGGAGAGAGAGGTGAGTCCAGGGCACGGTGAAGTATTCTGAAGCCTTTCGGCTGGTTCCCTGAGACTGGGAACTAGTGCTGATTTCCCTGGCTGCTTCAGGGAGCGCGCTGCTCACCTCACAGTGATGTTGCCTTATCCACCTTGTACCTTCAATCTTGACTGCCAGTAGATGGATTAGGTAAACTGCTTTGGCTTTCTCAAAGGGCTACTTTTTAAAGAAACCTTAAAAGGCACCAACCCTGTAAACCTCTTCTTGGTGTGCTAGCCCTGTAGGCGCTTGTTTATCTTTCCGATCAACAAGTCATTTGCAGAGGTAAAAAAGTCAGTCAGCCCCTGGATGTATATTTAAACGGCTTGCCTCTTCCACAGGAGGGCATTACATTAGTTTCCTGTGACTGCCGTGACCAGTCACTGCAAGCTTGGTGGCTCCAGACGACAGCAGTGTATTCTCTCCCAGTTCTGGAGGCCACAAGTCTGAAATCAAGGTCCGTGCAGGGCTGTACCCGCTCCTGAGGCTCTGGGGACAATCTGTTCCTTGCCTCCTCCAGCTTCTGCTGACTGCCGGCATTCTTTGGCTTCGGGCCGCCTCTCTCCAATCTCTGCCTCCATGGTCAGCTTGCCACCTACTCTGTGTGTGTCTTTTCTCCCTCTGCCTCTCTCTCATAAGGACACTTGTGCCGGCCTTTAGGGCCTACTTGAATAGTCCAGGATGATGTTCTTGTCTCAAGGTCCTTAACTTAATTATTCATTACATCCGCTAAGACACTTTTTCCAGATAAGGCAGCGTTCACAGGTCCCAGGGAGTAGAATGTGGACATCTCTTTTTGGAGGCCACCGTTTAGCCCCGTACATGCATGTCAGTAGTAAAGTCAGCATTCTTAGATAGTCCTCGCCCAGCTTGGGCCTTGGGTATGAGGCAGTAGGCAATAGTTATTTCCAAGACCATTTAACATTTAATTTTTATCGTTCAGGGCTTAGCAGTGTACTCTAAGAAACTTAGACTAGCTACCAAATATCTTCTCCATGCCTTCCACTCTTCAGAGTCTGTCACCCGCAGTGACAGGGGTTTCTGACAGCAGCCCTCAGAGGTAGATAATCATGTCCCCATTTTAAAGCTGAGAAATGGCAGAGTTGGGGATGAGCCAAGTCTGTTCTTGACTGAGTGCTCCCACAGTGCGCAGTCTCTGAAAGACACAGTTCTGCAGTTGGTGGCACATTTTCTTAAGAGGCGATGCTGATACCTTGGAAAGATTTCTTCTCTCCGCCTGAACAGGGGTTCTAAATGATGTTGACTTTGACCATTGGCTTGTGTGGGGCCGGTTTCCTCTGACATTTTACAGTCTGTTCCTTGCAGGCCCTGCAGACACTCCCTTTGTATAATGCTTAGTTGAACATTTTTACTTGATGTAATTTGATGCTGTTCATTGATGGAGACTGCTCAGATGAGCTGCTGCTTTCCTTTTTTTCCCCTTCCCCCTTTTTCCATGTTTCTGGTGCTGTATCTCTGTTTAAGAAAGGACATGAGTCGGCTTCAGGACGGATGTCGGTTAACACTCTGTCAAAACGTGAAGTGACTAGATTGAAAATCGTGTGCCCCCCGCCCCCACCTGAGTGAAATTAAAATAACGGATGCCACAGTAACTCCCTTCCAGCCAGTGGTTGCCCTCTGATTTTACACAAGAACTTTAGTGAGCAAAATAAATGAGCTTATTTTGTGAGAGATGTCTGCATGCTTCCTACCCTGGATGATAAAATTAGCTTTTCATAGCACATAAATATGTATAATGATGAGCTCTTGCATACAGAGTTCTTATGAAGTGCTTTTACTGCTGGGCCCTCAAGGAAACACCAGGACCATTTGCAAGTACCGTTGAGCTGGCGGTCGTTAAAGGTTTCAATTTTCCTTTGGAAGGCTTAGGACTTGGGTTGAGCTGTAAATTAATTCACTGCTCACATTGTGTTGAGATGAGATTTTACTCAACATTTCTGTATCCCAGTCTTCACTGGTATCAGAGGAGTACAATTTTACTTGGAAATCTCTTTTTTGAGATAAAGCTTTTTAGGAAGAGGTGTAGTCTTGATGAAAGCGGATGAACAAATAGAAATATTTAGTCATTGAATGAAATACTGCGTTTCTAGGAGGAAGAATGAAGAGTTTGGGGGGCTTGGGGTTTTTTCTTTTGCTAGGGAAAAAGACCAGAATAAACATCATCTTCTTTATTGAGACGTGTCATAACGTTAGAAATCCTTCTAGATCATTCGGGCCAGTGTATGTGTGCGAAGCTGACATTACATAAAATAAGCTCTTGGATTCATGCACCACTAGGTCCCTCTTGACCCTGAGAGGTGCCGACTCACCGGTTTCCTGTTGGGGATCATGGTGTGTGGGGCAGGTGTGATTGGAAAGCCCAGTGCCCAGGGAGCAGCTCTTTGTGTAGTGCGTGCATGAGAAGCTTGGCCTTTTGGTCTTGGAAACATGTGGCCTCTCTTCGCTGCATTTTGTTCCCGTTGCCTTGAAAATTCAGTCTGCCCAAAGCCCTTCCTCAGACAGCAACGTCATTTGTCGTATCTGGGCTTCCACCCCATCACTTGAAGCTATCATTTAATCAGCCCTTAGAGCACTGAAAAAAAGGGTTTCTGGGATCGTGTACCCCAAGCTCTTGCTTCGCTTATATACGCTGGGGACTTGGGTCGTGATCCAGGACTAAAATCCTGACTTGTCCCCAGATGCTCCCGCGCGGACTCACCAGTTCACGTGGAGGCTTTGGAAATAGCTCAGGTTAAAAGCCAAAGGTGAGGGGGTGGGGGAGAAGGTGGGGGCCGGCAGCGAGAAGGTTTGCGTGTGAGTCTGTCTCTGCTCCCATGGTGGCCAAGGGTCAGCCGCTGAGCTGGGAAAAACCTGCTTCCTCGTTCCTTGTCTCTAGGGACCGATACTTCCCTGCCTGTCCTCCAGACGCCAGAGGATCAAATGAGGCTGAACGTGCAATAATCAGTATTGTTGTTTTAGTCAGGAACTTTTTACTTTTAAAAAATGAATATATTTTTTTCTAATCGAAACGTAAAATACCCACTTATTATTCCACCAGTCAAAAAGAAAAAAGAGCTGTCGTTTTAGTGAATTTCCTACTGACGTGTTTTCTGTGTCTATTTCATTTACTAATTGAGATCAGTATACTTGATTTACTAATTGAGATTATACTGGTTATGCAATTTTGTAACTTAAAAAAAATACAATAAAGGATTTTCAAAAGACACCGAAACTGGTGGTCACTGTCGTGTAGCAGGCCTTCAGTGGTGCAGCAGCTGGATCTCATGGTTCACTGATAACGGAAGCTTTGTGGTTGGGCCTCTTGTCAGAATGTGCTTCCATTGCCCTGCGCTGGGTGTTACCGTTTTTTCCCACTTGCTTCTTAAAGTGGCCATCACTGTACCTCACTGATTCACTTTCTTTCTCTGCCATCAGTGACAGCATTGGAAAGCATGCTCCTGCAGGAGCAAACTTAAGTATTTTCTTTCATTTCTGAATAGAATCATTGATTTTATATGTAGATTTGGTAAGGCAGAATTTTAAAGAACTTTAATGATCTTTTTACTTCCCAGAGATTTGAGCCTCTTGTGCAAAGTAGTCCTGAATCGCTTTCAGGACTTCTTGCGTGCATTTTTGAGTGTTAGTTTGCCCTTTTTGTTTCTTGGCTTAGCTGCATAAAATGGGTTAATACTGGCATTATTTTGCAATCGTTTCTTATTCAGTGGACAACTAGGGAATGGTTCAGATAAGCCATAGTCCAAGGCACACTATTGTGTCATCAGAGAATAACCTTTGATCTTGGTGTACTTCTCAGAGCAGCCTATTGTGTTTTGTGGTTGCCAGAATCCGGGTCTGACCCTTGTTGGTAAGGTCGGAGAATGTCGCTGAGATTGAGGTATCTGAGTCTCTGAGTCATGTGCGTTACTCCTTCAACTGTTTGCCACTCTTCGGTGCTGCATTAGTGGCTGAAGTGGAATTTCTGCTGCTGGAGGTGCGCATTTGTGGCCCGTTCACAGAAACAGGTTGTGCTTTTGCTGCTGACTTGCCACGAGAGTAGTATAAGTAATCTTTTTTCACTTTCTTCTTAAACGTGAGAACAATAGCTGTCAGCAATAATTTCCTCAATTTCTCTCTTGCAGAGGGCCTAGTTGCTTGCCACAGTTGACCTCCTGGTTTCAGGGAGTGCTAGAAGACTTATGTTATTGCTTCCTGGATTTTGAGGTAGCCCTTGGTATTTGTTTTAATAGTTTTGTGTTTTTCTGAGCCAAAATCGTTTAATGTAAACAAATCAGTAAGACTAATTAATACTCTTTTGGAGAAGTTGGCACAAGTCGCTAAGTTTCTCCAGTTGATTAATGAATCATCATTATTGGCAATTAACAATACAGCTTGAACATTCTCTTTTCTTGTTAACTCAGTGATCCTCAGTCCCCAGAGTTTCTGAATCAGTAGGTAGGTAGGGCCCCAGGAACTTGCATTGCTAATAAGTTCCCAGGCGATACTGGTGTTGCTGGTCTGGGGAACATTTTGAAAAGGGCTCAAGGTTCTAGGCTCCTAAGAGGTTTCATATCTGAAATGAAATTCTTTAGTGACTGGCGAGCCTTCTCATACAGTCTGGGTCTCAGTGTGATACTGCCCTGGTTTGAAATGGACATTGGCGGATGGCTTTTTGTGAGTGCCAGACAGCATATAGGTCACAGGGATGGGAGGCTCTTCAGAGATAAAGGCACTGTACACAGCCAACGCTGTGTAGCCTGTTAAGAGGCTGAGCTGAACTCACCCAGTCTGCTGAGCAAAGGACTCTGGAGTCTGCTGTACTCTACCCTGGGGTCTTTCCAGACATGTTTGAAAGCCGAGATAAACAGCGTCACCAGTAGTATGTAAAAAACTGACAAATGCCAAAAAGGATACAATTTGTTTTATGGCATCTAGAATGTGAACCTAAGTTACACAGTTTCTTAGGATAGAATCCTGGTGTAAAATTGGCCATTGTATCAAATGGGAATTTTAATTTTAGTGTTTGACAGAGTTAGTGTCAATCCTTTAGAGAGTAAGTGCTAAAATAATATTTCATCAGAAAGCTTGCAGGAATGTGGCAAGACTCCCGCACAGACTTGAGTGTCTTTCCCAAATTATAGCCATCTTGAGTCTTCACTGAAATAAGAAATAACGTTTCATGCAAGTGTTGGTCTGAGCATCTTTTTGATATCTGCAGATGAAAGGCCTTCTGGGACAGATTGTTCTTCGTTACAATTCACAGTGAAGGAACAGCCTTTCATGTATTTATCAGCATTTCTGCTTGCCTGGTGCATTTCCTCATATGTTAAAATGAAAACTGTCAGGTCAGATGATCCATATGTGAAGTATTTTGTCAAATCGTTCCAAGGAGTCAGTCTAGGCCTTTTGACAGCCAGTTTGTGTGAGGCATGCGTGCAATGACGTGTTTCAGTTTTGCTTCAGAAGGGCAGGGATGTTACAGAGCAGTGGCTTGCAAACAGCCTGGCCAAGGGGGTTGGGAGGCCATTGGAGAGTTTACTTTGGGTCAGTTCCACAGGCGCTCAGCTACGGTTTTAGAGTCCGTTTCCCAATTGCATGGCTCTCTCCAGAGGCCGTCTGCCAAGTCACACACACAGTCAGTTTTCGTGTTCCTCCAGCGTGTGGGACTGTGCAGATTTCCCCAGAGCCCAGACGTGAAGATGGAGGCATGGGGGAAGAGTGAGAAGTGCAATGGATAATTCATTGGAAAGGAGTTTCTATTTAGTTAAAGTATTGAGTAACCAGACAAGATAGTGTAGGTTAACTCACTTAAAAGAATCTTTTGTGTATTTTGGCTGAGAATAAATTTTTGTCTATTTTAATCACAGAGAGGAAATATTAGAAAACAAATAGTCTGTATGTTGCTTGACAAAAGATATCGTTCAAAAAATTTTTTGAAACCTTTACATGGTGAGGTAAATTGGGGAAGTCTCCTTTTTCTTTTTAAGTGTAATCCTTGTTGGTATTTATAGGACAATAGGTTTTCTAAAGTTGTTAAGGTCCCATGATTTTAGAAATAAAACAATATTTTTTAAAGAAATAAAGCAATTATAGACTCAAACTTGTGGTTTTACTTTATCTTCCTCCCCTCACAACAGGTAAAATTGTAAAAATTGTAAAAATCATGTAAAAAATACACAAGATTGAGTCAACCAGCACATACAGTTGACCTTCTCTGAGAAAGTCTCTAGTTATTTTACCTGGGCCTCTCACTTTTGGAAGCTTTTATTTTCCTTTTTAAGTTCAAAAAATAATAATAAGAGAAATTTTGAAAAACAAAGCTTAGCTTCCCCAAACCATGGGCTTTTTTTCTGGGGGGTGGGGGTATTTTTTATTCTTGGTTTAATGACATAAATATTTTACAAAGCTGTAGTCATAGTATAAAATTTTGTGCTTTTTTTGAAACTTAAAATCATATCATAATTTATTCATGTTCTGAAGTTTCCAGAAGCTATTTTGATTGTTTAATGCTCTGTCGATGAACTATAGTTTACCGACCGTTGGTGTGTTTGATAGCATATCAGTGAACATCTCGTCGATTCAGCTTTTATTCTTCTGTTGAAATTAGGGTAACAAAACAAATTATTTTTATGGTGCTTGATGTGTTCTGTTAACTTTTAAATTAGATTTTTTTTTGATTTGGTTTTTCAAATTGGGTATCTATCTCTAAATTGACTAAATGGAGAATTGAAAATTATATGAAGCATGAAAATATTGAGCCTTCTAATGCAGGAAGAATTTTCCAGGTGCTGGTGGCAATGATAGTAATAGCTGCTGTCACTGAGACCCTGCTCTGCGCTCTGTGCTTTATATGACTTACTGTCTTCTGGCGTTGCAGGTGGTATTGATTAAATTGGGTAACAAGCTACCAGAACCAGAATAGTACACTTGAGCCTAAATTAGTGAACTAAAAATAAATTTGGTTTCTTAGCCATAGGATTTGGTTTATTAAATTGTAGGCTAGGCAACAAGTTCTCAAACCACAGAGTACCAGGACTTCGTTTTTTCTGGCGTTAACAGAACAGTGTTATTCATGCTGATGGCTCCATTTGTAAACGAGATCATGCCCTGCTTGGCTTGGAATGCCTGGTAATAATGTGCCTTAATTGCAGGTCAGTGAAGCCAAACTAATTGCTTGCTGGGCGTTTGGATTGCCTTTTTAATTTGCTGTCTAATGGAGTCTCTACTAGAAACACACAATGTGTCGTTATCTACATAAAACTCATTAAAGTCATCTTACAACAACAGAATGCCTGATATTTTGTCCATAATCTTGCAAATGAAAGCAAATTGAATGGCGTTACTGAGAGTTGTAATTTACAAGTACTCTTTTTTAAGTGCCTTTGTATCCATCTTGGAAGGTATACATGAGGTGACTGCTATGGTTTGTAGCAGCGTGATAGTTTTCTTCGCCAAGGATTGATCTGCGTTGTACTTCTAACATGTTTTAGATGACAGTGATGACATGAGCTTTTGAGACGGTCACTTATTTTAGACTGTGCAGTTCACCCAATATGATTAATATTCATCCAGTGACTTTGCATTTCAGTGAAGAAAAAAAACCCCAACCATCTCTGGGGTCATTCTCAGCTCACACAGCACCGGTCCTAGGGGTTACCCTTACAATTTGTAGGACCAAGTGTTGCAAAGTCTGTAGGATGGTTAGCATGCTGTAACCTTTGTTTCCCCTCGGTTTCTCTGGACTCACAAGGCAGCTCTGCAAAGGACTGTCTTTGAAGTCTTTGATTACTAACTTCATTCATTTAGCTAATATTTATTAAGCAGCTACTGAGTGCCGGAACTGTTGTAGGTGTTGGGGATGCGGTAGGTTTTTTTTTTTTCTGTTTATGATAAATATTTAGCTCTAGAGAAAAATCTTTGAGGTGAACTAAGAGCTTTTAAAATGCTCTTAGAAATAGAGTAATATAATTAAGCTTCTAGTAAAAGATTTAATAGATGCTGATATCAGTTGTTTTTTAACAGGAATTAGTCCATTGCCTGTTTTTCTTTTCTTCTTATAGGTTATTTCTTATGAGAGTCATGGATATCCCCTATCTAAACTTGGAAGGACCAGACTGTACGTGAATTTTTATTTTCTCATTGCATCTGCACATTTAAGTGTGTGGTCTGGAAGGGATAAGAGGAAAAGTATTACTGAAGAAAGAGCTTTATTCACTTAAAAATAGGCAGTGATTTTGTGGTTGATATGAATGGTATGCTTAAGTTAATGGTACCCTTGGGCCATGATTAACTGATCTCTTTACTTATATTTTCCAGTTTGTGCATGAGTTGAATTTTTTAAAAATATATCTTCTCTTAATTATTTCATTTTTACCCAAAACTCTAAATTCATAATTTCTTATAAATATATGTATAATAGATCTTAACATGTGCTAGCTATGTCAGTAACAGTAAGTTCTCTATTTTCCACTTATCTGAGTATGTGTATATTTAAGTTTAGTAGGTCGATTTTTTGTTGTTGTTGAAAACCTGTTTGGGAGATGATTGGCCCTCTTTTGATTATTCTCTACTTTATCCTTATCACCCCACTCTTCTTTTCCATTGCTCTTTTAGTTTAGCCTTGGTTTAGTTGCCTTCATGCATGCCAGAGGGATATAGAAATGGTTGAACTATACTTGATAGTAATTGTTGTAGTGGTAGTTCGGGAACATACTATGGTGCACTCCATGTTAGATTTTCATTTTAATCTGTCATTCTCACAACAATTGTGCGAGCTGTGTCATCATCCCAGTCTAACCATGGCTCTAGTGGCTGGATCTCTTCCTTAGAGTTGCACAGTTGAGTGGTGGCTTAGAGCACAAGATTGTGACTCAGGACTGCCTCTGCTTAAACTCAGTTAGTCCATTTAATTTGGACAGGGTGTTATTTTTTTAGCTAAATAAACATGTGGACAACTAGATTAAAAGGAGAAAGTTAAATGTTTAGTGAAACTTTTTGAACAGAGCAGCCTTTTTTTTTCTTTAAATAATTTCCACAGGAGCTTGATGAACAAAGATGTGTCTGCACAGACTTGCTAGGGTTCAAATTGTGGGTTCTGTAAAATGTCAGAGCCTGAGGTTCAGGCTAAGCTGACAGAATCCTCTTATTCCTGGAATACTGGTAGGAGTTGTTTGGTAATCAGAAGGTATTCGTAACGATTCCCCAGGTCAGCTTGGGCTTAGTTTCATCAAAGAACCACTCACTTTTCAGCTGTCAAGATTTCATCAAAAATTTGTCTTGTAGTGCAACCTAAACGCGATCACGTTCTCCACGTGACATTCCCCAAAGAATGGAAAACCAGCGACCTTTACCAGCTTTTTAGTGCCTTTGGTAAGTAAATCACTGGTACAAATGTACTTTCAGGATTTTGCTATTCTTTTGGTCTAGGTGGTCGGAGGTATATAGACGGCTTCATCTTGGGCATAAAAGAAGATTAACATGCAAGGTCTGAATCTCACTGATGGAATTTTGGGGGGTTTGGTCTACTGCTGTCTTTGTACTGATATGAGCTGAGGAACTTTTAATAGCCCCCCACAGGAGACTGCAATTATTTTATCCATGGAAAGCAAGATACAATTCAATTACTATTACTGCCCTTACTGCTGACCATGGAAAATAAGTCTAGGCCGAGGATAAATCATTTTTAAGATTAACTTCAGAGAGAATGTGTTTCATAAGGGCAGGTGGTCGCTGCTTGGCACTGAAGGGTCCAAGCAGACGAACACAGATGTTTGAGAGGACCAAGCTATGTGATGTATGTGAGGTAGGCCAGTTCTTCTCTTTCCTTTTTATCAGGTCAGCCGATTAGGTTGAATTGAAGCATCTGATTAGGGTTTATAAAGAGGGTTCTGGTCGCAAGTCCTCAGCTGTGCCTCTTTATTTTAACACGTGAAGTATTTAAGCTCTTCTCTCTGGAAATTCTTGATAAGGTGAAGGCAGCAAAAACCTAACTATCCAATAATAAGAATGTTTGGTAAATGTTTATGTATGTCCTCAACAGACTAGTATGTAGCGATTTAAAAAACGTTTGAAGAGTTTATTAAAAGATGGTAAAGTGTTTATATTTTAGAGTAAAAAGCAGGTACAAGTAGGATTCCTGTGTAACTAACATTATTTTTTTTTAAACTTTGTAGAAAATCACACTGAAAGGAGGCATCGTGCTAGTATCACTGAGTGTTTTAGATAGGATTTTTTTCTTCCCCTTTATGTTTTTCTGTATTTCTAAAATAAGCTTATATTAGCTTTTTAGAAGTAAAAAACTTTACACACTTAACTTTTAGAAAAGTAAGTGAAAGCAGGTATATAAATGGAAAGTTATCCTAATCTTTGCAGATGGTCTAAAGACTCCTGAAATTCCGCTTTTAAATGTAAATACAGATATAGAAATGCAGTTGAATTTTACAGCTCATTTCTTTTGCGAGCTTTTGGTGGTGTTGTTTCTCATCTTGTGTTAAGTTCTTACCCTTAGGTAGTCAAACTTTAATTGGCTAAATTAAGTAGACTGCTCCAAGTAGAATTTTTTTTTCATTTTAATTAAAAAAAAAATTAGCTGTGTAATATTGGACACGTAACCTCTCTGTATCTTTGTTTCCTCATCAGAGATGATGATGATGACAGTAATAATACCACCTGTTTTGTAGACATGTCACAGGATTAAATTAGCTAACCCTTGGAAGGCATTTAAAATAGTAGGTGGCATATAGTAACTACTTAATAAATGTTAGCTATTATTGTTTATCTGCGGGGGGAGGGGTAATGAAATAATGGTAAATGACGTTTGTAATTGAGAAAGTTGTATGGCACCTCGTTGTGCTGCAGGAAGTCAGAGTTTTTTCTCTCTGACAGTGGAACAAAGCAGTTTCTAAGCATTCCTAGCCTTCAAAAATTTTAGTAGGAATTAAAACTCGTTTTCATTGCTAAATTCCGGTGATGGTTGCCCATTTTTTAACATTCCAGTCTTCTGTGTTTTTTCAAGAAGAGTGGGAGTAGAATAATTAGACCTCTGCTTTTCCCTGGGTTCTCTCCCACTTCCTACCCCACTGCCGCTCTCCCCTCTTCTCCGCAGCGCTGTCCTGCATTCCATTCTGTTTGCGTTTAGTCTTTTTTGAGGACTTCTCTCTCTGTGTGTGAAAATCATTTTGTTTCACTAATACTGCTCTCCGCCCCTCTCTGTTTTCCTTTTCTCTGTGAGTCTGTCTTGGTTTTCTCTCTCTGACGCCTTCTTGTCCTTATCCTCCATTCTGCTGCTTGTTTTCTTTACTTGGTCTTGAGATCAACATTGGATTTTCCTTACATCTTGCTACATTAATTCATTTCATGTTTCCCATTGGTAATTTTCAAAGTTCTTGTCTCTAAAAAATAGGTGTGTTTTTGAACTTAGATAGGTCTCTGATTTTTGTTAGAATCTTGATGGGAAAAAAGTCTCCATCCCTGACATGAGGTTGGGTTGAATGAGGAAGTGCCCCAGGATTTATTCTAGAAGGAGCTTTCTTTTGTTTTGAAAACAAAGTTTTAAAGCTTCTTTTTGTTCCTGGTTGTCTCTTTTCTGGAAGTTTTGACTGAAGTGACTGCAGTAGTAGATGGAAGTTTCAGCTCTCTGTCGTGTTGACATTTTGATCACACTTTAAACCAGCACCTCCTCTCTCCTTAGGTTAACACATATACTGAAATATATCAGACATACAAAGGAAATCTGATAGCTATCGAAGTGGTCAGATGTTCACTCTACCTTTAATTCAACGTTACAGGTAACATTCAGATATCCTGGATTGATGACACGTCAGCATTTGTTTCCCTGAGCCAGCCTGAACAAGTACAAATTGGTAAGTTTTGGACATTTGTTTTGTCTGTTAATTGAAGTGGGGGCTTGCCCTCCTTCCCTCCAGCCCCCGGTCTGAATGCTGTGGGTGCAGTCTGCTGATTCACAAGCATTGCTGACTGGTTTGTTTTGAACTTGTCTCTAAAATAAAGGAAATAATTACTACGTATCATGTGTAGGTGAGAAAATAAGACAAATTTATTGATTTATCAGCTATACTGCATAATGTGTCTTTTCATTTACTTCCATTCTATTCCTTTCCCATTGCACTGTTTCTAAAATGATTTGCAGATTTACTTTGAGAATTAAGAGTAGCAAATTGAGAGGAATGGGTGACAACAAAAAGTGACACCTGTATTGACCCATTCGTGTCTGTACTTTTCTCATTTATTTTTTATAAATTTTTGTGATTTATTCATTCTATTAAATTTGCATCAGATACTTGTTTTGCGAACAAATAAACTGAAAGATATTTTATTTGCTTTTAAAATAGGATTGTAAAAAAATGGAGCACCACATCTCTCGTTGGACCCTAAATAATTTTGATATTAATTATCACAAAATATTCTATTTTCTTATGTTGGAAAGTTATTGAAGAAAATATGTATTGTTAAGCCACTTATTCAAATAGAAGTCAAGTTTCCTGGTGCTTAATTATGTAGAAGGTGTGCAATTTTTAAGTGATATGTCTAATTAATGATTTTTTTTAAATTTAACAAAGGGCCATATACTAAAATAGTGTAATTCTGATCATGTAATTCTATGAATAATTATACATGAAAACTTCTACGAATATACAAATTCAGATCAGAATTTTTTTTTTAATTACTTGACCATTGCAGGAGTATAGGCTGTGTCGTAGAGGTGGAAAGCTTAGGCTCCGCAGTCACGCTGCCGTACCACCTACAGTCGTGTGATTCTGGGCAAGTTAACCTTGATAAGCTTCTGTTTCTCTCTCTAACCTGAGGATGATAGTATGGACTTCTTAGGGTTATTCAGAGGATTACATGAGATTCTGTATATAAAGCTTGGCATAGCTTGGAACGTTTATGATGGTTATTTAATAGTAGATTTCCATGTGAAATGTACTTCAGGAGCACATGACACCAGGAATAGTGTCAGATGCAGGATGTGAATGATGTCGCTTGTTAAATGTTTTAATATTTGCTTATTTCTGTGATCTATTCCCCAGCAATCCTGAGAAAGACAGTTTTAGATGGACTCCAAAGGGACTGAATTATTAGAGAACTAAGGATAACTTCAAGTGGGGCCCAGGGACTCTGAGATTAAGACTGTAGTGAGACTTCAGTGTGGCTGAGAACTCCCGACCCAAAGTCCAGTCGCGCTTCTTCCGCTCAGTGTCACACTTCAGCTCCCTTGCTGGTCACATTCGGGTGACAGTAAGGCCTTGCGGTGGGATGGAAGGAGATGCACAGGCTTTGAAGTCAGACTTGCCTCTGCCACTTGTTGGCCACGTGTCTTTGGGCAAGTTATATAAACTCCCTAAGCCACAGGTTCCTCGTTTGAGACATGGAGATGATGATGTTACTTTGTGAAAGGAGATCATGGATAGTAAGTTCCCAGCAAAGAGCCTGGCACTCTACAAGCAGCGCTTGACAAATGATAGGTAATTATTAAAATATCTGCTTGGCCTCCCTTGCTGTGAACAGTAAAAATACTTTGTAAAACACTAGTTAGTGATTTACTTAAAAATACAGGCATAATTCTTCATGTGTACGGGGTGTCAAAGCTTCTTTTAAAGTTCCTGTTATTCTGTATTTGATTTTCTGTAGTGATTGCTCCCTTACTTATTATTGAAAGATGTTTCAAACAGTAGCTTTTAAGTTCAGTATTTTATTCAGCGATACCTGAAATCAGGGAGCTCCCTTTCAGAATCACGTAGCCACGGAAGGACTCTGATTTGATCATCTGCCTGTGTGTTGCTTCCCAGAGGGCAATACTGAGTCCCTCTTATTCTCGCTGAGTCCTTCTCCAGTGCCTGGCGCATGCTGTGGCATGAGTAAACATTGTGTTTGAGTGAGTAATATGGGGAATAGGCCAAGATGGAATTGTGACGTTTTTACCTTTTTTCCTCCTAGATTAAGAGGTAGATGTCGTCTTTTGATATATGCAGCTATAGTCTCTTTTCTTACACAAAAGACAACTCAACATAAATGCCTGGCTGTTTTCATGTGCTGTGCCTATGACCATAGTTTTCTTTGCCAGAAGCCATCTTTTACTCAACCATCCCCTCCCTCCAGAGCCTGGCTGTGTCCTTCTCCCCTCCTCACTGCAGCTTAAGCATCCACTTCTCCAGACGTCCTCTCTTGCTCCCTTGGCAGGGGGTTGGACCCTGTTTACTGTGCTAGGCTGACATCCCTTACTGACACACCTTGTTGTCTGCCCTGATAGACTGTAAACTCTTGGAGAGCGGGGATCATATCTCTTGTTCACCATTGTGTTTTCAGTTCTTAGAGTAGTAGTGTCTGACATTAGTAAGTATATGTTAATTATTTAAGGAGCTGAATAAATGATTTTCAAGGTATTATGACTTAGAAATGCCATTTTGCACGTGATGGATATATCTAATGTTGCTGGTGTTTTACTGTGATTTCTAAAATTATGCAGGTATTTCATTGAAAGACAATGGAAAATTTGTTTTTTATAGTGGTAACTAACGATGAGAGAGACCTAGGTTATCTAATGTGATGCAAATCCTATTAATGTTATCTTAAACAAATTACTTATTCATTTTAGCGGAAACAGAGGGCCTGTTAGATCAATAATGTAACATTGGAAAAATCATTAAATGCCTATTTATATAGCAGCTCATAATGGCTTCTTTGGCTCTGTTACAAACTATTTTTGATTTACGTTTAAGGAGTTGTGTTTTAACTGACACCTCTATTTTTCTTTGATAATGCTAAGACTAATCAAGATTTCTTAAAAAATGTTTTCAGCATCTTGAATGTGAAAGTTCTCTTTTTCGAGGATACCTTATTGTACTAATTATTAAAACGCTCTACCCAGCGCCATTTGGTTTGATTCCTTTTGTTTCTTGTTTGCTGCTACTGTGAAGATGAGAGTCCCTGGTGGCTTTGGGGTTCAATAGTGACGACTCATACAAGCCGTACATTCAGTACTCTCCCTGCGGCTGTTCAGATACAGTACATGGCCAGTGGGAGACCTGATGCCAAGGAGCGGATCACAGCCTCACCACTTGAGAATTTTGCTCAAAGCAGTCGAGTAAGAAATCACCTTGTATGGTCACACGTGAATAGCTCATTCAGATTTTTATATTTCTGATGTAGTTTTGTTAAATGGGAGAAGAGCTCAACAATATTTCAAGAGTAATAGAACTGTCTCATCATACCCTCAGCGTTTTGACATTGTCTTGAGTGTCCGTAAATGCCTTATAAGACATCATCTCTCTGCTTGTAATTTTTATAGAAGTAGCTTGAGAAAAATAAACTTTTCATTTCTTTTGAAAGCTGGAGATTGGCACACACTGTGAATACCACAAGAAACTTTTAAAAGGCAGGAATTGATAAAGGCACTTTAGAAGAGGTAGGAACCAGCCCAACTTCAGGTAGTTATATAAACTCCTGATGTACGGCCTGAGGAGCTTGTTCAGGATGCCTCGTTGGGATGAGGGGAGGTGCTCAGCTCCACTTCAGTCCAAAGGATGCGTGTGCTTGTATTAAACCATACTTTTCAAAGCACAGCTTTCGATTGTACCGAAAAGATAAGTATTAGAGTTGTGGATATGACTTTTTTGAGGCGACTGTTCAGCATTGTATTTGCTGAAAGCTGCTTATAACTGTAAACTTTACCTGTGCTTTTTGTCTTTTTAATGTTTGCGGAATCTGTAGTCCTTACTGCTTTTTATTCGTGATATTGTTGCTTTGCGTTCTCGTCTTCCCGATCGCTCCAGCTAGGGATTACTGATTCTGCTGATCTTTTCAGAGAACCAGCTTTTGGCCTAGTTCCTTTTTCTGTATTGTTTGCTGTTGTCTATTTTGTTGGTTTCTGCTCCTTTTTTTTTTCTTATTCCTTCCTTTTACTTGCTCTGGGTTTACTTTGCCCCTTTTTTCCCAGCTTCTTGAGCTAGAACCTTATGTGATTGATTTTGGGTCTTTTTAATTCTTTTAAAAATTTTTTAAGCCTGGCTTCCTAGAGGTTGCCCCTGGGTGAGAATAGCTTAGTGGTCAACCAGTGATCGGTCAGGAGTTGTGCAAACACCTTGGGCCGGTGAGGCTTCCGCCCTTTCCCACTGGGTTGGGGAACACGTTCAACCTTCGAGCAGTTTACGCGTCTGTCCCAGTTTTACTCTTGGCCGTACCTTCTCATCTCCTGATGAGAAGGCCTCACACCCAGCTAGCCGTGTGTGTGTACATAGCTAAGACTCTCTCCCAGGCGTGATTTCTGGCTTTTTTTTTTGTTTCTAACATAAACATTTAAAGTTCTGATTTATCCTCTAAGCATTGCTTTAGGTGCATCTCACAAATTATATGTTGTCCTTCCATTGTCATTAAGTTAGATAAGTTTTCTAATTTCTCCTTTGACCCTGGATTATTGAGAATTGTGTTGTTTAATTTCCAAGTACTTAGAATTTTCCTAGATATAATGTGGGACGCCTGCCACATGGCTTGACAAGCAGTGCATGGGTCCCCACCTGGGATCCCAACCAGCGAACCCTGGGCTGCCGAAGCAGAATGTGCAAACTTAACCACTGTGCCACCGGGCTGGCCCTGAAATGTCGTTTTTATAAAGTATACTTTTTTTTGTTGTTGAGGAAGATTGGACCTGAGCCAACATCTGTTGGCAATGTTCCTCTTTTCTTTTTTGTTTCTTCTCCCCAAAGCCCCCCGTACATAATTGTATATTCTAGTTGTAAATCATTCTAGTTCTCCTATGTGGGATGCCGCAACAGCATGGCTTGATGAGTTGGGTGTAGGTCTGCACCCAGGATCCAAACTGGCAAACCCCAGGCTCCCGAAGCAG